GTCTTCATTACTTACAGGGCAAGAAGGTCATCTTTTCTTTTCATCACTTTGGAATGGAAGCTATCCAATATAAGCCAGCCTTGGTTTAAGCTTTCAAACTCTTCTTTGTGGTCTACAGACAAAAAGTAAACAAATACATTGTATAAGCTGTGTAAGTTAAGCATGGCCTATAACACCTGAAATAAGTGTAAAAACTTGCAGTATCTCTAGTTTGGGGATTAGCTGTTTTTTAATATTTTTAACCCTTTCACTCCTGAGAATGATCAAGACAGAATTTATCCTTACAATATCAAAACAATATAAAGCAGGCTATAAGTCCATTCAATACCAATTTTACTGATCTAATATCATAAGAATTGTACTGCAGACAGTAAAGAGAATTACCAATAAGATCCTGGAGTTAAAGATTTATAACTCATTAGTGGGGAAAAGAACTTAACATAAGTTTTTTGGAATTACAAAGTATTTCACTTTATCATTTTGGAAATGGATCACCTACCTGATGACATAGCTCTCTGCATTTCAAGTTTTACTCTTGAGCGGACTTCTTCCGAAGATAATAATTCATCCTGAACAAGCTTCAGTTCCTCTTCAACATAACTGGCCAACTCTGAGTGAAGCTGGCTTCCACTTGAGGCTGAACAAAAAAGTTAACATCAATAATCAACAAAAATAGTTGTAATTCAGAATAAAAAAATGTAAAGTTATGATTTTTATTTAGTGCTTATAGCTCAAGGTTCCAAGGAGTCTTACAATAAAACTGTTTGATTGAAAATAAATCAGATCAAAAGTATTCAAATTTAAGCCCCTTTCCATTTGGAATGGGAGGCTGGAAATCAAAACAGAACTTACATGAATTTTCACCTCTCTTGGGAATGCACTTCTCTTTTGTTGCAACTTCATCTTCCTTCATGAAAACTGTTTCTCTGTAAACAGTTTCTGAAGACAACTCAGGCAAGGAGTCCAGTGCTTCTTCATCATGTACAACAACATGTAATACCTCAGGCTGTTCATCAATTTGAAACCTGACAGTTTTATGAAGGTTCCTTTTACTCTGCACCTCTTTTTTCTCTTCACTCTCTAATGGCAGACCCTGGCTAGCAGGTGGGTGTGTTTGGGGTGAAACAGGGCTAAGATGTGGATGATGAGGTGAAGACTGCCTCCCGACCTTTCCTGACCCCACTTTGGTATTGCTGCCAGATGAGGGATCCACCTGAGGTTCAGCATTTGGGAAGATGCCACCTTGTTGTTGAATAGTTTCTTTATCTTCCGCAACAGCAATTTTTGTACCACTTGAGCAGCCAACTTTATTGCTTTTATCTTTCTTTTTGTCTTCTTCAGTCGCAATGTCTGTATCACTTGAGCAGCCACGTTTCCTGTGCCTTCTTTTTTTCAAAGATTTTTGTTTTGCTGTCTTTCCCTCGGCTTTTCTTCTTGCTTGTTCCTCCCTGACCTCCTGCATTATCTCTTCCCATATCTCTTCATCTGTGGGACTGTAAAGGTAATGCAAAAGAGTTAATGGAATTTCACAATACAATTACTTTTAGACAAAACAAATAATAATTGCATGAATAAAAACCATTGAGCAAGTAAACTTTAGATTTTAGTTGACCCTTGTGATTATGCAGCAAAAATGATAATATCTCACTTTGAAAGTTTATTGATCAAGTTCATGGATCTAAAATAACATTATGATAGTAACTGACCTATAAATGCCAAACATAGGTTAGATGATCATTACAATAACTAGCTATGGAAATTACTGAAGAATACTCACTGAATGACTCCGTCATCTTCCTGGATAATCCATGATAATTCAAACTCAATTTTACCAGAAACAACTTTCTTGATTGCTGGCTTAAGAGTGACAGTAACATCCACTTTTCCAGGCATCTCTGTAATGTAATTGCTGATATCAATACAGCCAGTGGCCAGAAGCTGGCGACAACCACTGGGGGACACCTAATGATTTCAAAGGAGGCAAGAGGAAGATGAAAAGTGTTCAGATTGCCTGGAGTGAAAATAATATCAAAGGCAAAGAGCGACAACATACTCATGTAAAATTGAAAAGGGAAAAGCTTACATTACAGATGTAAATATTCCACTGCTTTTCTTGATATTCTGTCATTTCATCTTCTGGGTTCTACAAATACAAATAAATATTGTTTTAAAACAAAGAAACAAACTTGATAACAACAATATTAGGGACCTTGAACAAATCATAAGAATGATAGAAACAAAGATGTGGCAAAACAAAAGACCGAATGAGCAGAACAATAGCTAAGTACTAGCATTTAGAACTTTTTGTATGTTGAAGCTGTCCTTGGCCAAACAACAACGTGAAGTAACCAAATTTGGCGTGGTCTGCGTACAGGAACACTGACAGAAAATTATTTCACTTTCAATATGGAACTCAATGTGAATCACACACATTATGCAGAGGTTGAGATGCGGCACTGTTAGAGACAGTAAAAATATTCATGCGGCCATACAGGAAATTCCAAACAAAATATAGATTTATTTTTTAATCAGTTTGTCTTCCTTGGCATCACTCTCCTGACTGGTTAAGGTCCCTATTAATTTTGCCAGTGCAGTGTCTTCTGACCTCTAGGGAGCATTATAGTGAAATAAAGTTTATATCATGGTTTTGGCAATATAAATTTAATCATCCATCCTCAAACGTTTCATAGATTCAATAGCATTTCATAATATTTTTTTCTCTTCAGCTGTTGTACTTTGAACTTTTATAATGAAAGTTATAATAGATTTAACATTAATAAATTAGCATAATATTACATAGTAATCCAACACAAGAGGCTAAGCCATATTAAAAAACTTGTGGCTTCAAAAAGGCTTCAAAACGAAAGATGGACTGTTTTTATTTCAAAATTTTTTAAAACGTGACGCAAATTGAATCGGAGGAAGGAGCAAGCCTAAGAAAAAAGCAAGGAAGGCTTCAGTAAGTAGGTATAACGTGTTTACGAAAACGATGGTTTCAAAAGGCTGGCCAAGATTTCCGCACTTCCCAATAGTTCATTATGCATAGAGCTCTTGGATAAAGAAAACTGTAAAAAAGTAAAACTGTGACGAAAGCAAGTCTTTTGGCCCACAATTTCGTTTCCGAATGCTGTGGCACTTTACGGAAATCTGTCCCCAAATATCTACCTCATGTTGCCTTTGTTTGAAACTTACCTTGAGGAGAGTAAGTTTACTATCTACTGGATCAGGCTCAGGCCAAAATTGAACACCACGATAACCATTTTCAACACCTCCAAACCATGCTACAGGCTGAGAGAAAAAGTAATTGCAAGAAATATTTCTTAACTCAAACTGACGATTAAGAAATCAATAACGTTTAATGAGCTAAGAGAGAAAGATAAGAGATCCAAAGTCTAAGTTGACTACCTTTGTACTGTATTTCGCTTTCCTTTTTTTCCAAAAAACTGCAAGCTTATGAGGAAACCTAATTGAGGAAGAAAACACGAATGTCAGCATAATATGAAAAAGTTGCCATAGTTAACCATATTTCTGTTCAGTGCGGATTCTATCCTTGTATAAGCGATTGGCATTTTACGATTCAAGGGCTGAGATGCACTTACATCTTTTGTTATTTTGGAATACGACAAAAGGCAAAGAAGTACATCGTATCTTCAAGGCGGCCGCCATGATGTCTTTATGCCAAGACTGGTAACTAGTAAAACGTACCCCTCCCTCCCCCTCGCTGTCAATGATTGACCGTTATCAAAAACTTCAAAGGGCAAACAATATTCAGTTTGGGGAATGACCCTTTCTTTCTGTTGCTTAAGTCACGCGGTATTGAACAGTGAAATCGGATTCAACCAAATTCTAAAATGCAAACTTTTTTTACTCAATTCAATTAATCATAATAATATTAATATTGTTTTCGAAATTGTATGCTTCGTCAGAGTTAAACTTTTGATCACTTTCTAATCAAAAAAGTAAAAAAGAATTTGACTCTGTGAGACAAGCAGCTTCGAAGACTAAACTCTTAAGAGAAAAGAGAGAAAGAAAATACTTTATCGTGTCGCTTACCATCTTTTCTTGCGTAATTCAACATTCAGTAGCGAAACAGATGCTGTGATCAAAAAATTATCAGCTCTTGCTTTATCCCGACGGAACGGTATGATAACACAAGCCATTGCTGTTTTTCACAAAATCTCTCAGACGAACTCCAAGGATTTCTGTTTCGTTCATTGTGATGTCATGTTGCCATGAAAATAATTTCTTCGAAGGCATGTTGCGCGCGCTCAGCGCATTGCATTGACTGAGGCCGGTTGGTATAATTTGAATTTCTCCATAACAGTTGAAGTAGAAGTAGCTAAATGAGGAAAATAGTTGCATTTGGGAAAAAAGATGTCCGCCTCTTTACATTTCCTCACTCGTGTACCATTATGGCTTTAAAGTCGATTCATAACGATTTAGGTAATTGTAGTTTTTGTTTTTCTTCCTATTTTTTTCTAAATGAAACATTTAACAGTCAGCTGATACAAGGGTCACACTTTCGCTGAAAAAAGGCGTACATTAGTACCTCCCCCCCCCTTCCTTACGCTCAAAGATATGGTGGATCACTCCATTTCTGCGCCGGCCAAACTAACTTTGTTGAAAACTGTGGCAGCGAACTAACCAATCGCAGCTTTGATTTCACCGCACGAAGGCGTGAGTCCGCATGCAAACATTGATTTGATTCCCTCTCTATTTTTAGGGTACTTGTCTTCTACTTGATTTGATTGAGCAGAGTAGCAAAGAGATGTTAAGCCTTCTACACCTTTTTTGGACACTAAAGGCTTTTTATTATATTCATAAAAATGCTGGAAACATTCAGGAACGCTACATTACTTTCAACATTGCAAGGGGAGAGGAGAGGGGTTACTCGTGACAATAATCTTAGCTAAGAAGTCAAATAAATGAAAGAGTCCTAACAACTTTTGACCAGGCTTGCAATACGCACTAGAAAATTAAAAACACGCGCGTGTTTAGTCCTTAGGTATAAATCATGATTAACTACCGCAAAAAAATCAGTTTAAGATTTTATTTCCTTAGAACCGCTAGTTGACAAAACAGTAGCAAAATCCCAACACCTTATCTGAGTATGAAATTGCTAGTAAAATATAGTCGTTAGCTCATGTTGTTAATTGTGAGTATGAGGCTTTCCTCCGATACCTGCTTCCTTTGCTAGTATAATGATCAGGTAAAAGTAACATCCTAAATCTTGATTAAAGTATCATTTTCCTTTATCCAGCATCATCCCAAATTGTAAACTCAGTTACAGAAGGTATGTTTTTTGTCGTTATCATTTTCGGAAGTTTAAAATTTTCTCACACTTCTACACGATAAAATGTTTATCAAATGACCAATTTGATGTAGTAGTTAATACAGCGCACTGACAAGCAATCAGTGTTGTCATAGGTCAGTACCTCCTTGTATTCTTTTCACTTCTCTCTAAGCATCTCTCCTCAGAGTTGGTAAAAAAACTGAACAACTGCTAACGTACTCCCGCACTTAATGCAGATTTCTAAACTTACTCAGAATACTTCAACGAAAAAAAGCAAATACTTCTTTCTACTCAGCAAGCACCCTTATTGAATAATACTTTTCGACATTTCCGGTAATGAGTAGATCATTGAAAAGTCCTATAAACCATGCTTCATTAAATAAGCAGAGTTAACAAAGTTTTGAGACCAGCCAATCTCTTCGTATTGAGTCAAACTTGAGTAGCAGATATCAAAGTAAGGATGTTTCCTTTACCAATGCATCATAACTAAGGGGTTAAAGAACTTAAATTTTTTTAATAGTGAAGATAATCTGGAGCAGGTCGGATTTAATTAAGTTTTAAAGGCAAAGGCCGGAAAACAACAACATCGTTAGGCTGGCATGATAATTTTTGAAATCTTCTTGCACTGTCAATTCTGCAATGAAGAAAGTCTTGTTGAGTTTGGTGTTATGACTCCTTTTCGTGTTCCCGAAAGGTAGTCTGGTTATTTCAACTTTCATCATTCAGGAGTTATGATATTTAAAGATTCCATCGAAATGTGCATTGCTTTGTTTGGTAAAGGGAAAGGATGAAAGGAAAGGACTTCCATGCTTTTTTTTTTTTGGTATCTCCTACTCAAGTTTTCACAAGATTTGTCAAGTCCGTTCGTTGTCATAGAGCATGTGTTTACTCCTGACCTCCGCTAGCAAGCGGAGTATAGCCAATGGGCTTGTCACGTGACTTCTTAACGATCATCAGCGCAGTTCCTACCAAGCAAGCAGCGCACATCACAAACACAGACATCATGAAGAAAGGACTGGATCCTAAGGAAATAGAAAAGAGAAAATGATGAATAAAATTACGAACTGGTGGAAAATAATAGCAAACCTTCTGAAAGGGCCTTTTGTTTAGAAATCCAAAGAACTACAAATATCAACATTGGTTCCACCACTTGCATGTCAAAGAAACCACAACACCATAATAACACTTTTATTTCATGTTATTTACCATTTTCAGTAAAGGCATTCTCCTTCTTTCTCTCTCGCTTGCCTCGTGCGAGGCGGATCGGGCCCTGGGCCAAAGAATACACGTCATCAGTCACGTGATCACTTACTGCACGTCTACCTCGGCCACTTGATGGACACTTTTTTGCACACTGCGAAGCAGGGTTCGTTGCGTTGCATACAATTACGTGGCAGTGCACGAATACGAATGGATGATCTGCAATGAACTTGAAAGCCTCCAAGCTAAACCGCTGAGCACTCGATGAAGGCCCAGAGTAATACTTCACGGTAACGTCATTCTGACATCTAAGAAAAAACGTTATGCACTGATTGGATTTCAATCCCTATTTCACGAAGTGCCTGTTACCTACATTTATTTTTCCTAATGTGCAAGAGGTGGAGATCAAGTTTATTAAAGATTAAATGGAACCTGCGCACCGATTAAAAAAAGATCAAAAACAAATAAGATATTACCTATAATTATCTTTCACATACCCTTTCTTTATAAATTCGTAATTTACAGAACTTTTCTCATCCTGAGTGGGCGTGGCATAGCATCGATCAGCCATGATTGACAACTTCTTGTCAGTCGGTGTCACTGACACTTCAAAGAAGAGAGGTTTACGAAGCAGCACATCAACAGGGAAGTCATCCTTCATGTAAGGACTCACGAATCTTTTGTCACGGAACATATTCAGAGAAAGTGTGAAGTTTCCTTTGCCTTCATCACTGAACCTAAGTTTTGTATTGCTCGGCCTCCAACCAATTGATGATACCACGCCAAACTTGGATAAGTAGCAGCTGAATGGTATTTCTATTTCCCGCACGCGTGTTGCGACGTCCTTAGCGGCCACAGGGATTTCAAAGACTGTGTTGGAGTAGACGATAGCTGTCGGTGTAAGCCTGCGTTTTGTGTCACAGCCAGTCAGCGGAGTTGTCAGAGAGAAGGAGGCGTTGGTTTCCTCAGCCTTGCATCTTGAGTCTAAGAGCCGAAGACGCCCACGGTCGCGACCACGGAAGAGGGACTTAGGAATGATAATTGTCATATTGTTGTTGTTGCACTGGACATTGACCCCTGGAGCTTCAGGAAAAAATAAAAGTTTCTTTATCTCTTAGAAGGAAGGAAAGTGAAATGTCGTAGAAAGAGAATCTTACTTTGTCGGAAAAAAGTGGGATGGAGAAAATGATTACTTTAGCAAACGAATGAAATTATGTTATTTCTACTCGTTTATACTAACCATGACATGTTTTGTTATCTGATGATAAGCTTAGCTCTAGGTCTGGACATTCACATTTGTAGCCCCCTGCAATATTGACGCACTCGTGACTGCAGCCACCATTTGACACAGCACACTCGTCGGTGTCTGAAATAAGAGTTACAATCTGAGTGTTGCAAATAAAGTTTATTTTAGTTAAAAAACTGACAGAATAAAGTAAACTTACCCTTGCACGTCACAGATTTGGCACTATCCGTCCATTGACCATTAGTCCCACACTGTTTCTTAGAAGGACCTTGTAAATAGTATCCCTGTGGACATGAGAACGAGCATTCGGTATTGTGTTTCGCCGGTGATGTCACACAATTGTTTGGAATGGTTTTGACGAGACGACCAACTGTAAGGACTGGACACTCAACTGAAAAAAAGGAGGGAATCAAATCCACATGATTGTACAAGCTCCTAAAGGCTGAATTTTTAACGAAATTTATTTCACTCAGTGGTAAGGTAAAGCTTTGGAAAAAATACCATTTTTGTCGATTAGATTCCGTATTTCATGTACAAATACTAAAAACGTACGCTAAACGAGAGAGTTAAGAATAATATAAATTTATCATAGTACTCAGACGAAGGCTTATTTTTGTATTATTCTGAGATGAAAAAGACCAATAAGTGTCCGCTGGTGCGAGTAAAACAAGTTGATCCAAAGTTGTGATTTAACATGTATAAAAATTGGCAGACGTCCGTTACGGCAATTGTGCAAGCCATGGATATAACACGCGTGAGGTGATAGGGGAGCTGAAAGATTCTGTTAACATGGGCATAAGTGCTTGGAAAGGGGTCAAAAAACTTTTCAGTGAAGCAATGTTAAATTCTGTTCCGAAAGTAATCCGGGAATGCTTTAATTTGGCATTGATGCATTTTACTCTGCGGTCGGTTTTGAAAACTCGTACCACCAGGCAAACAGTTGTAGTGAGAAGGAAAAAATGTTATGATGACCTTACTCTGGCGCTTTTCAACGCTCAATGTCGGTCACATGTAATCGGGAAGGAACTTTGACGGTTGACGATTGAAATTTAGGGCTTTTGACGGCTGATAATTGTTAGGAAGAAATTTGTGATTTGAAACTCACTTGATATTGATTTCGTAGTTTTTGATACGAATTATCTTTTTCAGAAGTGATTTCGGTCTTTCAGTGATGGCAATGAAATGAAATGAAAACTTAAAACGCACTGCAAAACCATAAACAATATTTAAGTAGCTGTCAACTCCTTTCCCAATTTGAGTTCTCTGGTTTAGTGATTGTGAACTTTGAAAATATCGCTAGAGGGAATCCCTCAAAATTTTTGTCCGTGTCTTTATAGGAATTTTTAATTTTCCGTACAATACTTATTGGTGTGTATAGCTCGACCTCAAATGAGCTCCAACAAAGGTTGTCGTAGAAATCAATATCATGTTCTCTCAAATGAACAATGATGATGTTTTTGGTTTCCTTTCTCTCGACTGATTCCTACTCTGCTTTACACCACAAGTGTGTGTGATTCAGAACTTTCCGGACATGCTCTCGACTTGCAACTCGTGATTGCAGGAGTATGGTACACCATACTGGCGTGGTCACAACGTGAACAAGTTATCCACTGAGAATCTGTTTGAATTTTTTTAAACCTAATAGAAGTATATTTGGATAGAAGGTAGTTGCAATGTTCGTTTTGACGCCGTTTAGAGATTGAAAAATCTCGAAATTAGTGGAAATGACCATAAAATTAGTTTTGATTTGGAAACGTGGAAACGGATTTACCGGTTTAGAGATTTTTCCGAGATATTAACTGTCCGCGACAAACAGCTCTTAATTGAAGGATTTGAAAGACCGTGATATATTTTGACAGCAAATATTGCGCTGCTCTTGACAGTTTACGGTAAACATTGCCCTTTAACAGTTGTCAAGTTAACGTCGTTTGAACGCCAACCGTCACCACATTGAGGCTCTCGATTGAGTATGCTGTGAATATTTGGATTTCAGATTTTAGGCATCTAATCGAAATGTGTTCTTAGGCCATGATCGGATTGACTCACCACTGATTTCGCAAATGTAACGACGTGGACCACTACAGCCGATGTCATTCCATTTCAATCCGTGCTTCTGAGGATACAACTCGCCACACGCCTCCCTTAGGTTATTAGGTTCTCCACGATACCAATTGGTAAAGGTTGGCCGCGAACCATCAACCCAGAGCCAGCGAGACTGGTCTTTAGGATCCCTGTGCAAACCAATAAACATAGTGTGTGAAGAACGAGTGCCAATCGCTTGATTTTCAGCTCGAGAATTAATCACAACGAGATGGGATCCTTGAGCTTCGCAGGACGCTTTTGCTGCATTCCAGGAGGCTGACTTGGAAGAGAACTTGTAGCACGAGTTATGAAAACGTACCCAGTTCTTTGGACATACTGTTAAAATAACATGCATCAAGAATCAGTAGAGGTTTAGAGGAAGCATCTAAAATATGAAGATTCATGTCTTCATCTCTTCATTTACATTTAGTTAAAAATAAGGTTGCTTCTGCGCGTGTGCCTCTTTCTTCTGTGTGGTCCAGAAATAAGGGATCATAGAAAAAGGGGAAGCTTAAAAGCATTCGACTGCAATGTATCGTAATAAATTACTCGCGCTCCCCCAGAATGTTTTGGCTTCCTCTTTTAGTTATTAATTAATTATTTGGATTTACGCCTGCAACATACACAAGGACTATCTAGGTTACTTTCGTGTACAACGCGCGCTACTGATAAATAACGGGGTTCGCATGTGCTTTTGGATTAGCGTGGACACATGAGCTTAAGTATAGAATTGACTCAGTTTATTTAGCTTTTTCATTCCCGTCAAGCCAAAAGATTTGAAGATGGGTTTAGGAAAGAGGCTAGGTGGAAAACAATTCAATTTTACACTTGATTTCGAAGAAATCTATAGGATGCCGAAAATAAAAACATCGATTAAATTGGAACACATGAAAGCTTTGTATAATTCAAATTCTAGTTTGACCAGATCAGGAACGATCGATGGCCATTAGTGATTTAACTGAAGGGAGTTGTTCTTATCTCGGGAAAAGTAATGATGGTGTCACTAAGCAAGAGTCGGAAGAGGTTAAACTCACCTTGAGCACTGCGTGGTAAGACAAGGACTGTAAAACCCACAAGGATAATAGACAAAAAGCGGGTGATGAGCATACCGATATACAGATCTAACCGGTCCCTCTTGTGAGTCTTTCTCTTAATTTCAAGCAAACGTTTGAAGCATTTGTGGAAACAAAGCATCAACATACAACCATAAAGCTGGACAATTTACATAAACGGGAATTTTCTTGAGTAAGCTAATTTAAACATCTCATGACCTAAACAGTTTCGGCTTTGTGTACACAAATTGATTTAATATTACAAGACTCGATAGAGCGAACAGTTTACGATTGATAATCCTAAAAACAACCTCGCAATGAGCATAAATTCCCTGTAGCTATTTATTGAGGGGTGTTGCACAAATCACAATGAAAGTTGTGTACTTGTTATTTTCTGCATGAGTGCTTCTGTTTTCGCGCCCGAAGCTGCAGTGTCATATTATTCAGTTTTGCATGTATTAGGATGATCTCAGAATAGATAGTCTTTGAAAGTGAATAAACAATGTAAACTAATGCCACCGACGGCTGCCCTCTGAATGCTATTTTTTAGGTCCTGTCTACCATAACAAAGAAACGTGTCATAGCCAAAGGTTTATCAATTTGTATTATGAAATGTAAATTCATCTAAGTGCCAGCTAATGCGCAACTGAATTTTACGCGCATTGACGACCTAATTGTGTTCATTACACGGAACGAGACTAATATCGACAAACCGCTCAATTTCAATTTCGAAAGAGTTACAATCACGGGAACGCTCATCAGAAAGTTTCATTTTATCCCTGAAATGAAAGAGGTAATTTTAGTATCGCTCGAACTTCTTTAACACCTCGTATATAAATATAACTTTAAACAGCAGACAAGCACATGATACCACGTGCACTAGTCTAATCCGATGATTAAAGATCTCACTTCAGTGTTCCGTGAACGTTAACTATTGGTCAACTTGCATTTGCAACCCTTATCAAGCTTTGTTAAAACACCCCAACACCTCTCGATGTTGAGTATAATTTTTTTGTATTTTTGTAAGGCGGTCTAATTTTTCCGTCACCAAAATCGACAAGGCGTTTAAGAAGGGTGAAGGGGAAAAGTATCAACAATTGTGTCAAGGATTGTAACCCTGTTCAGTAGAAATAAATATCTATTAGCCAAAAAGAATCATGTCGATCGCCATACAGCGAACCACTGTTTTACCACTCTTCCTTGTCTTCTGGGAACTTGAGCAAAGAAAGAATATTTGAAGAATTAAACTACAAAGATAAAGCTTTAATATGATTTATATTGTAATTACTAATTATATATAGAAGCATTGTGTTGTGGCGTACGAATTTGCCAAAGTTACATCATTTTTCTTAGTTTTACCGGAGGGGAGGAAGGAAAACGGCCATTCAGGAGTACTTTGAACTTTTCGATTTTTCAGAAAAAAAAGCGCGATGGAAATTGTTAACGTAATTTTTGAGAAGGGTTCATCAAAAGAGTCCTCTAAGAAAACATACAATGAATACCAAAATTTTGCAACTGTCGACGGATTCCATATTTAGGCTGGTTAACAACGCACGTTTAACAAATTTTCACCGTAGTTTCTGTTGCATCATCCATACTGCGTGAAATAATCCGAATACGGTCCCGTATGTAGGTCTTATACAGTCATTACACAAAGTCGTGTACGGCATCTATAAGGAGGTGTCATGATGTTTAAGGTACTGTTTAAGGATCAGTATACGTCAGGCTATGCCAAGAAAATAGCAGGATCTTATACACTTGTAGCAGGATTTCTTATACGCCAGTACTCGTTTCAGCATACATGTTGTATACTGAAGGAGTTATGAGGTCTACTGATGTTGTGTGGAAGGCACGTATACGGGACTCTTACAGTCGTTGCAGGATTTCTTATTCCTCATTACACAAGTCCGTACATATAATGTATACTGCATGAAGCAGGAAGGGTACTGATATGTTCCGTAGAAAGTACGTGTACAGATTCTTTCACTCGTGAAAGGATTACCTTTATGTCATTACAGAGGTCTGTATACTTCACGTATACTCTAGGAAGTATAAGATGTAGATACTACTGTTGTTTCAAGGTAGGTATACGGATTCTTATAAGATTCATGACGAGATTTCAGGCCAAATACCAGTGTACACATGAATACTGTAAGAAGGCAGTTGTTTACGTATTGTGAGGGCTTTAACGAGCCTTTTTTGAGCAATCTTAATAGGAAAATTTACCATTTTCGAGTATTCTTACGGGGTACGTTCAGCGTCAAAGATTCTTGCATTGCTTAGGTGTGATCTTGGTGGAATCATAAAATCGAGAATAATCTCATGCTTCAATTACAAATAGCTGTTAATTTATCTCTGTATTCCTCAGTCACGTGTTGCTTTTTTCGCAGTACATATACATTAAAAAAAAAAAAAAACTTAATGTAACATTTGTGTTTCTCAAAAATAGCATTGTTAATAATAATGCGAAGAATGAAAGCTGAAAATCTAATTCACGAAGAGGTATAATCCAATGATTAAAAGTTGTGATTTATGTACAATCACACTATTCCTTTAACACACCCACACAGAAAAACAAACTATTCGTTCGCAAAATCACAATCGCTTCCTGAGGAGCTGTCATTATCACTTCCTTCTCCTTCTCTTTCTTCCGCTCTGGTTTCGTCAGTGGTCTCTTCATTCTCAAGTTCTTGTTTTTTTCGCAGTATATATAAATTAAAAAAAAAAAAAAACAACTTAATCTAACATTTGTGTTTCTCAAAAATAGTATTGTTAATAATAATGCGAAGAATGAAAGCTGAAAATCTAATTCACGAAGAGGTATAATCCAAAATAAGGAGTGTAAAGGCTTAGTATTCTCACATTTTCGTTTGTTCCTGCTCTCTCCTTTGCATGATTTCCCTCCATTCATCGGACAGAGCCCATTTAGGAGAACCTGTGGGTGGTTCTTTTTCTGCAGGCTTCCCTTTACGAGCCTTTGTTCGTTTCCACCTTTTGTTCGTTGCGTTTTCTGTCTTTTCGCTGCGCTTGTCAAGCCTAAGACAATAACAGTATTATAATTAGAAGATGCCGTTGGCTTGATTGAAACCGTGAAGTAAAAAACCGGGCAAAAAGCACTAATAGGTGACTAACAAATAAATTTACTTTAAAGCCTTCCTGACATTTACAATCCATCATTGCCGATAACAAGGAACAGTTTGGCAATACTGGACAGTAATATTGGCAATGTGTAAGGATAAAAACATTTCCATCTTTCTTGCTATAAGGAATATCAGTAAAGGAATAAGCCTTTAGTATACTTCTTACTTGTTTAGCAAAGCTTCAAGAGTTTTGCTCCTGTATTTTGGGGGCCTAAGCACCCATCCTCCTTCGCTTTCATCAGTATCTGTGTCACCATCGTCACTGGACATGTGCTCTTTACTTAACTTTGCGAAGGCACGGGACTCAGTCTCATCCTTGACATGAGCTTTTCTTCTCTCATATTTCTATAAGATAAAGAAAAATTTGCTTTTTAGTACTCTTCAACTAACTTTCATTGCATCATTCAATTCAAGATGTGTCATTTTAGTTATTTTAATGCATATTAACTGTATGCTAGCCCGTTCTTTTCGTAAAGTTTTCTTATTTTTCAATTTTATTTCATCCGTTATTTTTCCAAGGGCAGTCCTCTGTAAGTGCTCATGATACTTTTTTGCAGTCCCTGAACAAAACAAAAAAAGGCTTTAATTTCAAAATTGCGCGATTGGGGCCTGATTACAAGGAAGATTTTATAAAGGCTGGTTGCACGTACTGGGATATGAAATGTTTTACACTCCTAACAATACATGCTTAGCGTGCGTATATCGAGTTAAGGATGCACGCAGGAAGTTTAGAGAGCACGAAAAATGCCTAAGAGTAGCTCTAGGCGCAGCCGAGAGCAACTCTAGCTTTTTGAGCTAAAAGCATGAGCAAATTCTTTTATGACAGAGCGACAATAAGGATCTGCGCGAAGAAGCCTTTTATTGCGATAGAGAGCAAAATTCTCACAACGCTCACAAAAAAAAGTAAACAAACGTCCCTATTGGCTGGTCAAAAACACGCCACATTTTATACTTTGGTTTGAGCGAGGACATTTAAGCCAGTTAACCGTTAACAGTGAATGGAAAGCACAAAATCTACGGGGGAAATGGAGAAAATTAAAGCCAAATGAACTCAAGTGACACTAAAAAATGTTTTAAAAGTCAAAGACCCGAAGTTATCAAGGGTTTTGATTGTTCAAAATAAATATTTACGCTGCCGTGCCGGTACAATTGGAGAAGACAGACTGCAGGAAACTTGCATTAATAATAAAGAAATAGCCAACATGTTCCGTGTTTCTGTCAAGTCATAGAATTGAGGGAACAAGAAATGCCGAGGGAACATTAGGCAACAGGCAAGTGTTTCCTATACAGCTTTTTCGAGTGCTCCCTAACTTTCACGAGTGTTTCTATCTAACAATTAGATTATGAACTCGAGATTTCTATCGTGTGATAGTTGACGAGGGCGAAGATACTGACTATCTTTATCTATTATGGACAATAAATCTTGGTTGCAGTGGTGTCCTCGAGTTTTAAATTGCTTATATGGTAAACTTACTTTGTACAGCAGCTTTACCAAATCCACCTCGGTGGCCTTGGCGGCAAAGTTCATCAACATTCAATAGAGGGGTAAGTTTCTAAAAAAACTGTGGTGCTGCGTCGGTGAGAGAGTATAGCAGGTAATTTAGTGTTAACAACTGAGTTGGAAACGTAAATTAGCCACCGTAAAGGGTAAAAAGGCTGACGTTCCGAGCGTTAGCCCTTCGTCAGAGCAATAACGAAGGGCTAACGCTCGAAACGTCAGCTTTTTTACGCTTTACGGTGGCTAATTTACGTTTTCAACTCAGTTGTTAACACTAAATTACCTTCATCAACAATCAGCTAGTTACCTTTTTTTTTTGAGGGCTGGTGACCCTGACAGGGAGAAAATATACAAAATATTTAGATTTCTGTATCTCGTTGAAAAAAATTTTTAGTGCCTTTACTTATTCACTCTTAAACTTGGGTTAAATGTATGGGTCCAAGTCTACATATGAGAAAAAGTGCTCATGGGTCCTCAAGCCTACCTTAGGCTCCGTCCACACTGCGTCGGAGAAATTTAAAAACGCAGCTTTATTCCACGGTTAAGACTGTCCACACTAATCCGGAGACGAAGACGGAGCTTTTCGAAAACGCTCTTCAAACCGGAGGAATTTGGCTTTGCGTTTTAGTGTGGACAGTAAACATTTTAAAAACGGAGCTTTTCGAAAACAATGACTTCACGATAATCTTGTGATTAATCCTAACCCTCAAGGGTGCACTCAAGCGTTTTTACGACTGGTGATTGTTGCGTTCTCAAATTTCTCCGGCGGAGTGTGGACGGAGAACATTTGATGCGTTTTCAGAGTAAAAACTCCGTTTTCAAATTTCTCCGGTGCAGTGTGGACGGGGTCTTAATTAGGTAACATCAGTCCCACAAAAAGAAATACCCTAAAACCTGCATGATAAATTTTAATTACCAATTGATTTCCGTTGTACAATTTTGATTTGACTTCTTTCCTTATTTCGGGTTTTTTAGCACTTAAATTTCTTTCGAACACTGCCGATCGACTTAGAATACCTTCAAAATCCCCCAAAATCTGATGTTCAATTTGTAAAATCCCCGCCAAGTTTCAGCAAAGTTGGTAGCTCGCGAAAACCAGGAAAACTGGTGAACATGACCTTTGGTCAACAGCTTCCTTCCTATGAAAGCGCGGGGAAATGGTGCAGAGGTACAGCAGATACAGTGTTTAGTTAGCGGGAATAATTCTTACCCAAGAAAGCTTGCCATGAGTGATTCTTCTGCCGGGACCTAAAAAAGTCCTGCACGAGAACTCACCGGGTCCGAATATTTTCGCGCGCACAAGTTGATTGAAACTTTCGGAAACGGGCCCCTATTTTTATACAAAATACTTAGGCGGCAAGTTCAGAGTTCTTCCTCAAATGGAAGATGGCGGCAAAACTTTGCCAACAAAATCACAGAGTTCCGCGTGTGGCTTTGTCTTCGCGCTGGCATTACATGAATCATATACAATTTCATGCGATTTGGAAATAGATATACATGCACTAGGTCTTTATCAGAATTTAAATTCTAAACAAGTGCATAATTTAATTTTTACTCACGATTCCCTTCCTCTGTATTGCATTGCGGGGTCTCTGCTATTGTGGAGCTTGTGAACCTCCTCCTATAACACAAATTTGAATACTGCCGCATTCAGTGCAACATTATAAACTTCCATTTTCACGGTAAAGCAAGCAACTTGCTTCACAAACAGGTTGTGTTCAGCCTCTCATGAAAACTCCACAAACTAAATGAAATCTAAGTGACCCAGATTGAGCGGTACCAAGACAAAAGCTTGTAAGCTTTAATCACGCTTACATGAAACTTTTCTCACCTCGATCAATAGAACGACTGAAAAGTCAGAGCAAGCAGCTTCCCTTAAACTTTTAAAATTAAAAAGTTAACCAGCGACTGACATGTATTCATTAAGCTTAACTGAGATTTTGAACGATATCATGTAACTGATATAAATGAGCAAATTACCATCAGGGTGTAGTCTTAAATGAGAGAAATTTACATCGTTGTTCGATCGTTTCAAAATGACGTCAGCTTAGCAGAGGGAATCAGGTAAACAACAGCAATCCAAGGTTTTTCAGTCAAAATTTTTAAACATACCTGAACAAGAAGAGATGATTTTGTTCTCTTTCTCTTTTCCCCTCGTCCACCAGAACCACTCTCAGTTCCATCTACGGGATGGGAAGAAAGCTTTTCTACCCTGCCGTCTAGGATTTTTACTTTTTCGGCCAGTTCTTCAATCCGCTCGTTTGAGCTTCGCACAGTCTGAAGAAGTTCCTCGATCGACCTCTGGCAGGCAGCCAGGCCAGTGATCAACTGCTGTGTTGTGTCTCGTGAGGATAGGGGTGTAGATCCGCTGTATTGGACAGAAGATGACGACAGACCAACTGAACTTACTCGCGAACTCGAACCGCTATAAGGGGATGGAGTTCCTGACATTGAATAAAAATTGCTTGGTGCACTACCGCGACTTTGTGCGCTGGAAGTCTGATCCATGCTTTGGAAATCTGATGAATGAACACTATTTGAACCGTGGACGAATTTGCATAAGTCGAGAGAATCAGTCTGAATCAGCGAACCTCGTGAACTGAAAATTCCCGCCTAAGAACCAACAAATAACCATGAAGCGGCTGCGTGAGCTTCGTAACCAAGCCTTTTTCCCACGAGCTAGCATAGTTTTTCAGTCACGTTGGCGTTGGAAGTGGATACTGTTTTACCTGTATATGAGAAAATTGTGTATTGTTCGAAGAGGAAGAAGAAAAGATTTTGTGATCACTGCGATCGTCTGGTCTCAATCAGGACGTTTAATGCTCACAAGCGAAGGAAGACCGTTGATGTTGCAAATATTGGTACTGAGTCAGTGTGACTTTGAATGGTTGTTTGGTCGGCTTTTCAAACTTTGCTTGTCGATGTTTTATTCCTTTCATATTCAGGAACAACATCTTAATCTGTAGCTGTGTCTAATTTTATTTTTGATCGTAGATTACACAGATGAATTGCCTGGCCAAGATCTTCCAATTCAGATTCAAGCGACCTGGATCTTGACTTTGTGTTATCAAGTGATGAATGTTCCGAAGTTGCAGAATTTGCCGCCGAAAGTCCGGAACTTCAAGGTATATATTCAAATATCTATTTACATCAAACTTTAATGTTATTCACCTTCAGAATAAACCTTCTTTTAAAGCAAAGTTTGGGTGAGATTGAAGTTTTGGGGGCTTGGAGTTTATTGGCTTATAAAGTGCATTTTTGTATTGCAGATGTTAGCCCGCTCTAGGCTGGGGCTAGATTTAATTGCAAAAGACAACCTTTTTTTTATAAATCAAAATTCAGCTAGGCAGCTAGGCAGCTAGACCTGGGGGACACAAAAATGCAGTTGGATTTGCATGTTTATTCATTGTTTGTGACCTATAGGCCTCACTTTTAAGCTGAAATATAAGATACTGTTTTACAAATCATTGTAATTCCTCTAAGACAAAATTTTCCTTACACGTGTTATAATTTTGTGTTCACGAGTTACCTTTTTAGCATTGACATCTAAGGTAACAGATATATGAATAGTTGGGATTGTAATGCATATGGTGTCACAATAGAGAATCATGCAACTTCTTTTTTGAGTGAAAAAGAAGTTAGTTATATATTTTTATGAGCAAAAATGCATTTAAAAAAAACACAGTTCTTGTTTTTTTGTTTTGTTTTGTTTTGTTTTTGCTGGTGACTAAACCTGTGCTCTCACTCTCTTTTGAAGTGACCTATATTTCTCTTTAACCAACAGATACCCATGTTTCTGGAAGTGATGGCAGTAATGGGTTGTCAAATGCTGAGTCATCTGACAGTTTACAAGTAAGCCAGATGTTTTAATTGTCTGACTAATACATCAGTAAATATCATCTAGCCTGTCATTAGCCTTTGCTGCTCAGTGGGTGCTGAGCATGTGCAAAATGAAGAGCTGCACTGACATTTATTTCAGGTCAATTCTATTTGAAAGGAATTTGAACTGTATTTGTAATTAAATATTTGTATTTTATTTGTATTCTTTTTTCTCCACTTGACTACATGAACACAATATTTTTAACAAATAGGTATTGTCTTTGAAAAGCCCCTGTGGGGAAAGTCACTAATGGATGTATGTATGTATTTTCCTTCATTCCTTGTTTATTACTATAATCCTCCTTTTGCTACTGTTCTGTTAAGAAAACCCTGCAGGAATTCCTAAAGCTTCCTGGATTTTCTGAGAAATGTGAGCAATACAAAAAGCGTCCTCAAGATCCTAACTTCCTTGGGGACATTTATGATGGAAGAGTCTGGAAGAATTTTAAGAGTGCAGAAGGAAAGCTCTTCTTTGATGCCCCAAATACTCCAACTGAATATAGAGAAAGTATGAAACTCAAAGCTGACATTGGAACTGACCTGTTCCTTTTGTAATTTGTTGACAAATGCTCCATTCAAGTGTTATCTCCTATCAAGGAAGTTTACATGGGTGATGACGAAGTTGAAGCCTTGACAACAATGTACACTTTCCTACACAAGGAAGACACTATCTTTTATGTTCCCAAATTATCATGTCAATTTCTACAGTTGCTACTTTTTGACCAGAAAGTTGACTCCTGGTATTCAAGAAGTGAGTAGTCAGCCTGTATACTTGCCCGATGGTATGGTGCAAATGGTTTGGACACAGTTTCAGTGGATCTGCGGTCAGGTGAGTTGGTACATTTTGTGGTTCAAATCTAGTTTTAAATTTTTCAAACTAGTTTGATTTGTTTATTCTTTTGTTCCAGATTTTTCGCCATGACTTAAAGACCTGTAGAAAAAAACAATCAAATCAGTTTGAAATCATTTTTGCCCTGAAATTGATTTGTGAGGACAGTGAGGTGTGATAAGGGGTCATACTTTACCCTATTTTCTAAATTAAATGCTAGGTTCCAGATAAATGCTGGTTTTTAGTGGAGAAAATAAAGTGTATTTATTCCTGTGGACTTAAAAAAAGTGTAGAATGAACAAGAGAATTATTAATAGAGGCAACAGTGATATAATGCAGAGGAATACTTTTCCTTTTCCCCTTGAATCTGTCTTGTGGCAATTTTTTTTACTTCCCTTTTATAGTCGCTACAATAAATATTAAGTTGGCTCTTCAGTGTTATAAGATTTTCAGTCAAAGTAGACTTGTTTATCCCCTTTTGTGGGCTTCTGTGTTTGAATCTGTATAGTAAATACTTTATTGACAAACAAGCAAGAGGAGAACCAAACCCAATAAACACCTGCTTAATTAGTGAGCATACCCTTTTGCTGTTATTACCTTGGTATATTTAGATGCAGAGGACAATAATAGTAAATACTTTCAGTGTTTGCAACTTAACAGTTTGCTATTTATCGCATTACAAAGCAATACTCTACATGTATATAAGAAGTAAGATTCACTAGATCTTAGTGAATCTAAATTCTTAAGCCTTTTGCACTGAACGATGAAGATTACTACATGTATGTTTGTAGCACTCATCCTCTCTACTATTTCCTCTTTCTCTTGCAGGGATTGTCCAATATTTTTTCAAGCACTCTTTAACTATCCGTTCCCCAACTGGCAAAAATGTGAACCTACTTTACACCCTGGCTTGTGTTCATTGGTACAAAGTTCACCCTCATGCAAGGTTTTACTCTGGTTTACTGATTCAAGCATGCCTGCCATCATTTGAGGTTGAGTCAATGGCAGCTTTTATTCCAGTAATGAGGATTGATAGTGTATGTGGTATAGCTGAGTTGAGCTACAACTTAGGGACTGCTAATGGTAAAGAGAAAATTGTTGTGGCTGTCCCTCTTGACCTTAAGTTACATGTAGGAATATTAAAAGCAATTAGAACTTTTAAAACTAATTTAAAGCAATTAGAACAATTGAAACTGAACTTCTATTTTTTGGGCAGTGTAATGCCTTGCAAAGGGTGATCAGAAATGTGTTAAATGCTCTGAAAGACTTGTGAGGTTAAGCAATATTACTTAACCAGACAGAACACAAGACTGTGTTTTGTCTCAAACCTTAGTATCCAAATGTGCTTATTTTTTGAAAACTGATGATGTTGCCATTTGGCTTTAGCGTTCTCTTTTGTCTGGCTATAATTGAGGAAACCATGCTTTCTTTTTAAGTATATAGTTTTTTTCCTACTCATACATGGTCAGTGAAAATTCTGGGAATTTTTTTTTTTATTCCAGTGGGTGGCAGCAGGTTTCTGCTTGAGACATTGTAACAAGAGTCTATTGTAATTGTTGGATTAATTGTTTTTTCTGTTAGTTAAACTGTTCAATACAAGTGTATATAGGTTAGCTTACCCCCAGAGGTCAAGTGAGTGGCCCTATATATTTTAATCAGTAATGGTTTGCATTTTAATTCTTAGCAATTTAGTTAGCAAACAAATGAAATTTTACTTTAGTAAACAATTGTATGGTGATGGTTGTGACCTTTAGTGGGATAGAGCAACTTTTTGCATTTATTCTTGAGTGGGTTTTTTGGCAAGATACTCGAATACTTGTCAAATTTGAACTGCTCTGGACTATTGATTATTTTCACCAAACTTAAATCATAGATTGTATGGACTGATTGGACTGTTTCAAATGATGACACAGTACAATCATTACTCAACTGCCTCAAACAATCACAATGTCTCAAATGACCAAAGAGGTTCACTGGTACTGACTCTCTCAAATGACCAAACTGCTTCAAATGGTCCAAATGGCTAAGATGAGCTGACTGACTAAAATTACTAAAATGACCAAACTGGTTAAAATTCTCCAACTGCCTCAATTGTCCAAACCTGTTCAAGTGACTCAATTGCCTCAAATGACCAAACTGGTTCAAATAACTCAACTGCTGCGAATGACCAAACCAGTTCCATCGACTCAATTGCCTCAAATGCCCAAACCAGTTGAAATGATCCAAACCCTCAAATGACCAACCATTTCAATTGGTCAACCCAGTTGCCTCAAATGACCAGTCCAGTTTAATTGGTCAACCCAATTGCTCTGAATAACCAAGCCAGTTCAAATGACCCAACTGACTGAAAGACCAAAGCAGTTCAAATGATGCAACTGTCTCAAATGGCCAAACTGACTTGATTGCCCCAACTGGCTGAAATGGCCAAACTGGCTGAAATGACCCAATTGACAGAAATGATTAAACCGGCCCAAGTGACTCGACTGGGACAAAGTTCCTGACAAAGTTGCTGAAGAGTGGTAAAGTGGAAAATCTCTTACAGCTTTAGGGTAAGAATGTCTGCAGTAGTTATAGATGAGCAAAATAAGAGCTTTGGTTATATTTAGATTTAGCCAAGCCTAAAAGCGGAGCTCGCATTTTTTTCCCCACACGTCCCAAGGGCACAACGTCTTGCACCGGCCAGGACTAGAACCGGGGTCGTCCCATTCGGAGCCCAGTGCACCGACCACTGGACTACGGTACAAAGCCGTGCCCGCGGTACAGTTGACCACGCATGTTAAAAGTAGCGCCTTGTACGGTCGGTCGTACGGTCGTAAGTCCAAATTTTTTCGGCTTGATGGGTTACTACTACTACTATTTTGTATAATCATGGGGCTACGCTCTGCGAGCTCCGCTATAATTAGTACAAATAACAGATATACAATGTCCTTACACTTAGTATACGTGTATGCATAATGATCAGTATACAAAACAGTACACACTTGTGTCCTGACAAAATTGTCGGAAAGGGTGCAGAAAAATTGCTTTTCAGTAAATTTTTAGGGCAGTACCTGTATGCAAGTAAATTAAAAGCGTTATAATACTTGGGGAAAAATTGGATATAGGGTGTCCCAATACTTAGTATACGGTTATGTGTAATAGTGGAGCTCGCAGACTACTATTACTACAAAATAGTAGTAACCCATCAAGCCGAAAAAATTTTGATGTACGACCGTACGACCGTACAAGGTGTTACTTTTAACTTGCGTGGTCAATTCTACCGCGGGCACACCAAGGGTACGGCTTTGTTCAGTAGTCCAGTGGTCAGTGCACTGGGCTTTGAGTCGGGCGACCCGGGTTCTAGTCCTAGCCGGGGCAGGGTGTTGTGCCCTTGAGACGTGCGGGAAAAAAAATTTGATGATTTGTAAGAAAATTGCTTCGATGTTTTTAAGGTATGAAGTAAAATCAAGTCACGGAGAGATTTCTATTTCAAGTGTGCCTCATGTTTGCTTGCCGTCAGGTGATTATTTTTAATTTGGTGCAATTGAAAAATTATCGCAATCCTTGGTCCGTCTTAACTTAATTCTATGCACTTGAGCCTCTCTCGAGGGGTTTTATCTCTGCTTTTTATTCTTAACAGAAGCTACCGGCAGCTCTTGCTTGTCGCGTGACGGCTCTTGATGCCTCCTTGATGTTGAGTGCAACGAGCACGTGACAGGAAACTGGAAACGGTTTAGGAATGACTTCGCGAGCGCATCAAACGTTCTGCACATGAGACTCAACTAAGATTCGCTTTCTAAAAAAAGAAATAACAATTTTTGATACCCGTCGACATTTCTAAACAAACATCTGCATGGATTAGGTTGTGATACTCTTAAGAAGCTTAAAAGAACCTTTCGATAGCATTTCTGACTGTCAGACATTTAGTCCATAAGACAGAGCTTGGCTGTCGGGCATTTCGACACAGCGTTACATTTATATTTGTGCCATACTCCGCTCTGACGAAAGTGAAAAGTTATGAATTTATTTGACGTCCAGTCCCAACTTGGCGATTGAAAAGTGAAATACGATGCCCACAAAATAAATCCATGACTAACACATTCAACGAGTAATACATCATTTTCTGTTTCCAGTTCGATAAGCTCATAATAATATTCAGCTTCTTCGAAACTGCTCTTGTTACCAAGCTCATCATTTTGTTACACACCTGTGAGGGAAATCACATTTTCACAAGTCAGAGTTGAAGGTGAGAATTGGATTAATGGTAAGGATCTTTGCGAGAAAATTCATAAGATAAACGAGGGAAGCACTTGTAATATTGTTGTGGTTTTATGGGTGAAATTATTCTTATAAAATAAATCTGTGCAATCAAAAGAACATGTACTCTTAGTACAAAAAAAGTATGACTTGAGGGTTGTCTTCATCCTTCTCGATTCAATTTCACATGCCTTTGGTGGAGTCTGTACTGCTAAGAGAAAAAAGAGGATTTTGAACTGCGAATAGCGAGTGTTCTCCACTGAAAGATAAATAACTAAATCGCAGGAAGGACTAATCAGAATACAGAAATATTAAAATATGTAGATGTATATATATATAGTATCAAACAAGACCAAAACGAAGAAACAAGCAATTAAACGAACTTGTGTGAAGTAGAAGAGCAATCTTAGTCTCTAAATTAGACATTAGACGGAATTTGGTATTTAGTCGTGTATATGAAATCTTTCATATTTTCATCGAAATTGTAATAAAGCAAAATATATTATTCTTAATATTTTTAGGCATGCAAAAATAAAAATGACATATTTTGGAGGATAAACGGATTCAGAGGATGGCAGTTTAACAGGTACTAAACAATATCTATATTTAAATTCATTGCACGTATACCCCTATAGTTGCGCTACTCTCCAGGCCCGAGAGCAAGAAGGCTGTATATCGGCCAAGTTCCTTCTCTGCATTGTTAAAGAGGGAGACAAAGGCTTTGTCAATAAAGGATTTATTGCATAGAAAAATTATACAAACCAAGAGGTTGTAACATATGTACTTGTTATGGTTGTCTTTATTTTGACTAACAAGGAGACAAAATTTCGGCCCCGTTGTTGCTAAAACTGCTGCAAAACCCTTTTTTATGGCAAACAAACGTCTGGTATTGGACCGGCTACAAGCAAATTATTTCTTTTTTGCGAGTTCATTTACGGAAGTCCAGAGAAAGCACATTTTACCCTTTAGGATAGCCGATCACAAGATTCGTTTTCCTTGCTCGTGGGTCTCACTACACAGGAAAATATAATAATAGAGGGTAAATTAGGGTAACGTCAAAAAGATCTAACAAAAGTGAAAAATTTAACCCTAAAATACCATATTGATAACAAATCAGTGATCATGTATGTAAACAAAACTTCTCGTCACCATTTATCTTTTTCCGTTTTTCCGGTAGCATGCGAACATCATTCGACCTCGATCGTCTTCGAAATTTTCCACGCCAATGATCAAATCCTTGACAGGAACTAAATCATTGCCTTGAACAATAATAATTGCGTATTAGTCATATAATTCTAACCTGTTTTGCCAGATATGCTTTTTTTGCGCAATGACGGATAAAAGTAGCCGGCAAATGTGTTTTACTATTTACATCGTCCATGGAGGATAAAAATGTAGGATCAGTGAATGCTAACAATGTCACAGAATGCTGTTCTGAAGGATGAGACTAGCACAACCACCTAACATGAGAAATTTATCCTCTTCAGAATTATACAGCGACAAATTTTTTTCTCAGCAATGCGTTTACAGATATTTTTAAAGTTCTCTCCATTTTTGCGATCAAAAGATTTTCCCAGTTTCATTTCGGTTTCTGCTCTTATGGTCTGGCGGTAGATTCTCTCAATGGCTTACAAGATCAAGATATGCAAGAGCCTGTATGCAGCGTTGGTTCTCAACTTGTTTTTGATTCAGTTATCTGAGGCAACTGTTTTCCCGATGAAAAGATTAACTTGCACCATTAATCCAGTCCCTCCAAATAACACCTTACTGAGCGACTTTTGGATCAAAATAAAATCGAACTGAAAAAACAAGACTTTCCCCAACAATCTTTTAAAGGGCTTGTGGCTTCAGATCATTCATAATTACTGAGCGCCTCTAAACGAAAATTTGTGGAATGTTTAATTCTCTCGAACTCTTGACTTTGGTTAAACACACTGACAACTTAAACTAACCAGAGCTTTGGAAATTTTTCGAGGCACTACATAAAATAAATTTTTAATTTAAAGAGCGAATCTTCAAAAGTTTAAATGCCAGAGATACTGCCTTAGAAGGGAATGTTGAAACTTTAAATTAATCGACGCATACAAATTTCAAGAATTCTCTTAAAGTAAAGAATTTTCTATGCTTATTTGCGTACAATTAGGTTGATCATGTTTAGAAACGGAGAGCCTTGAACGATGTATCGAAACCAACCAAACAAACGAACAAACAAACATGAAATTAGAAGTGGAATTTAACTCGTGTGGTCACGAGACCACAGTAGTGTAACGACGAAAACCTTGAAATTCTCATTCTTTTGTTATATCTTAGTATTAGACACAGGTGGTCTATTGTGCTCTCTTTAAATTACCTTCATTTGCGTCAACTTTTTTATCTTGTGACGATGTTCTTTAGCGCAGTACAATCAATTTCATTTTATTTTCCAGCTATGGCGGAAGGTAATTCCCCAACAGCAGGAAAGGATCTGGACTTAAACAATGAGCTTCCGGTCACAGGTGAGAGAAAATAATTCAGTAAGACGGCTATATGGTAATCGAGTAAGTAATTGCATGTTTTGTTCGGTGCAGCTTTTTTGGACCGTTTACACTTGAAGGTTTTAGGAAACAAATGAAACGCTGATTTTCCAGCGAACGAAAAGGGAAAAAGCGAACTAAAGCACCGGTTGGAATTGCACATATGTGTCATAAAATAAAAAAGTATATTTTTGTTAATTTCAGTGTCAAACAAAAGTCAAGTTACTTCAAGTGAGACAAGACTTGGTGTATACGATGACCTTTTAAGAGGTGAGGGATTAGATTCTTTGAGATACGCCCCTAGGTATTTTTTTAAGTCTCCAGTCATGGATGAATAATTTCATATGTCCTGATTTATCTCAAATTACTCGTCAACTCCTCGGAATAGAAAGTTCTTGGAAGCTCACAATCGATAGTCTAAAACGCAAAGCACAGCGGTCAAACGTCTGCACTTTTACTGATATTGCAAAACTAGGTGAGGTGCATCAAGGCTATCAGAACCAAGTTGTCTCACAAGAGCTGAAAACAACCAAAAAAGACAGTCAGTCACGTATCTTGTTTCAAAACCGTACAACTATTTTGGTAGACCTCAAAATAGAAAGGTAAATCAACAGGAAACAAAAATACTTAAGTTTCCCCTTTCTCTATTTTTGTTTCCTTTCCCAGATTTCAGATGAATGTTTCAATTTTCTTTTTCTTGTTTTGCAAGGCAGCGATCGTGTTTCTCATTTTTGCGCGGGAAATCGGCGCGCAGCGGGTCTGAATTGATCCCCTTGCGCATGCCCAAAGGTTGACCGCTATTTTCCTTCGCATCCGTGTTTAGGATTTCGCAGGGGGGGACGTAGTGTAACTTTCCAAAGAACGGCTTCACTTGTGCCTCCTAATCGAGCTAATCCTCAGTTAGTAGTATAGAAGGGGTTTCTGTGAAATATTCACGACCGAAATAACAATCGATTCAATGAAACTCAGTAGATGTGCTACAGTTAAGACTCCCATTTACTGAGTTTATTTTACGTGAGCAAATAGTGAAATGCGCGAATAATCGTCTCCGAATTCCTTTTATTTTGGTAGAATTTTAAGTTTCTAATGACCTACAATCTACTTTGTTAAGCAAAAGTTTGCATTATCCGTCTAGGGTCGCTTTATTCATCACTAACTTATTAACACTAAGCCGATGTGTTTTCAGAGAGAGCAAAGGAATGTCTCGAGGAAGGTAACAAGAAATACAAACAAGGAGAAACTAAGGAGGCGATAAACTTCTACACGGAAGGACTTCAAGTGAACTGCAAAGATATACGGCTGAACGCCAAGCTTTACAGCAACAGGGCAGCAGCTTATTTCCATTTGGGTAAGAATTAGTTTTGAAACTTCTAAAATCTTTACATAGCCAAAATAATGAAATACATAATCTGTACCCATTTCAAACAGGATTTTATCCACTCCTGTTGTCTTTCCTGCACTTTGTGCATCTTTCCTCACCTCGTAACCCAAATGAAATCGGCAAAATGAACATTTCATGTATAACAAATACGCGGAAATGCTCCTTAAAAGAAATAATTCTTAAGTAATCTTTCATTGCATTTTTGAGAAGTCCCTATCGCATTTTTTAATAATCCAAGATTATAGCCCTCTTACACGGCATTACGTCCAACCTCGCCAATCGTTGTGACTCGCTTTTGTGCAAATTGTCTCCAGAGGAGACATTTTCCTCGAGAATAAGCTTGGAATCACTGGCATGTGTGACATTAACAATGATATCGGAGATTTGAATGGTAAAATTTTGGCATAAGGCATGGGCCAAAAGGAAGATCTCATTGTCAAATGTCAAATAGCAGAACTAGTCAAAATCTTCTAATTTTAGAACTCGCTCTAAATAACAACATTCTGAGAATCATGGGATTCTTTTAGCTCCATAAAAGAGATAACGGCTCAGAGATTTCCTCAGTTACGAACTGAGTCGTTGATATTGAAGCTTCGAAGGGATGGACGCATTGAAGGGCCATACACTTTAAGACAAACAAAAGCTATAAAAAACGAAATTTCCAAATCCAAATCATCTGTTCATCTTTATTTAGATGTTCAAGGTTGCAAATAACAACAATAAATGTTTTTGTTCTTATTACTAAGCATCTTGTTTCCTGACGGAAATTTTAGTTAAAAAGTTTGGAATATCGTAGTCAGATAATGTGGATATGAGTCGGCTTTCTCAGCCTAAGAAGCCAAATTCTGTGTGGTACAAAAATGATACAAAAGAAACCTAGAGATGCTTCTTTTGATATTTATCCTGAAAAACGAAATCTTTGATGTGCGTAGAATTGCCTAACATGAACTCCCAATGTTAGCTGCTTGTGACCCTACTCATGCAGTTTCCAATTTTAAAATATCCATAGCCAAGGGGCAAGTAGCAAAAACCGTGTGTGGCGCTGGGCAATTTAGTACTATCAACTAAGTAGATAACGTTAATTTATGGGAATAGTCTCGTGACCATATTCCCACCAATAGCCTAGCTCAATTTTCTGCATATAACTTGACACACACAACCCACAATGATTTCCACTGCAATTTGAGAATTATCTCAAGTAAAGTTTTCAAAGCCTGTCCAAATTGCACAAGCACCAGGGCGAGGGAAATTTGTAGTCGTTGAAAATTTACGAGTGCTAATTTATTCCAAATTGCACGCGAAATATCATGTGATTACCAGATAAAACATACAAGCAAAAATATGACTCTGTTTCCCTTTTTAGTGTCTTTATTTCGTGTCAAGGCTCGCCAATTGTTGCCGAAGTAGTTGAGTTTTTTTTCAATAATTTGCTTCAAACTTTTTAAACCTCTCTAGAGAATAACTGAGTGTTTATACCTTACCTCTGTTATGTATCGATCGACAGCAGTAACCATCACACGAAAGTTATCACTCTCGCAATCTCCCCCGTCTTTCGTGCCAATTGTTGCGTAAAATTCATCGATAATTTTATTGAGGGCCTCCGGTTTATACTTTCATATTTGTTCTTGTAAGCCAGACTAGTAGCCAGTTTTTGTTCCTTTGTTGTGGGTTTTTAGTTTTAGCATTTTCCCTCAAACTTTGAGTTAAAACGTTGCTACTTTCTTCATTATGTTTTGTTTTGCTTTCGCGGCTTACCTGTCAATTAATTTAACCTCAACTTTCTGCACTTAACTTCAACTTTCTACTCTGTTTGGAATTAATTGACGTGTTCTCAGCCAATAAGCACGCTGAAATTTTTGCATGTGTATTATTAGCACGCAAGTCGACGTGCGATGACGACTCACGGGTAATTATTGAATTCCGCAGAAAACTACGTAGAATGTCTTAATGATGCAACAGTTGCCGTTCAATTGGAACCCACTTTGATCAAAGCGATTAAGAAAGGTGCGTGTTTCAGCTATGAGTCATCTAACCTCTTTTTTGAGATCTCTTCCAAGGGAACTGTATAGATTAAGCAGCTAACTGTAACTCGGGTGTCAATGATATCTAACGCATCAATATCTGCTACGTAGGTAAAAAGTATTTTCCAAACCAAGTCAAAACTTATCAAAAGCTTAAACATGATTTAAAGCTGTTTTGTCAAACACGGTTTGATTTTTGTTCTTCATAGAAGCTCCACAAACCCCTTGTTTATCGACTTAAAATGTAACACATTTGAAATACAAGTTAGCAATTACTTAAATCTATGGAAAACTCAGTTTTCTAGATCTCTGTTTCTGATTTTCAGTCAGAAAACCATGTTTAACTAAACATGTTTTGCTTGTTATTACCCTCTCAGGAGCCAGTGCTTGTGTCGAGCTATCCTTGCTTGAAGAGATAAGGAGCTGGTTGCAGATGGGATTGGACGTATCCTTTGACGAGTGTTTCAAATGTAATGCGCAAGGCAATGCAAGCAGTGTTCACTGACGCCTATTAGAAACTACAGTATTTTCAAAGATCATTTCCACAAAACTTTACTGAACAGAAGGGGCCATAATATTGAATTCGCAGAGATTAAACAGAATGCTCCTCATCCGTGTCACTACAAGAAAACAGTAGGACGCTCGAAACTAAACAGATAATTGCGGTTAGAAAGCTCGTAATACTCAATCTAATAAGAGTATTGTTAAGATAGCAAATCATCCAGATAAACCCCCCGCTGGTCACGTATGTCCAATTCTAAGGTTTTTATGGGGAATAACATGGTTACAAGGGGTATTTGAGGAAAAACACCCCGAGTGATTTTTCAAAATTAAATGACCTTCCAGTGATGTTACCAATACCCGCAAACTGTGTGGCTCATTGCACGAAATTGTCCTTCTTTCTCAGTTAATAACCTCTTCAGATTCATATCAAATTTCTTGATCTCGTGGCTCAAAATATTCGGACTGAATCCTTTCGCTTCAGCCCACTTTTTCCAGACTGTAGGCCACATCGTGCTTTTCATGATGTTTATTTTTGCTGCGTTTTCCTTACGCTCTTGCAGTTCTTTCAAAACAACATAATTTCATTTACCATTAAAAATGCTACTTTAACAATTAAGTGATTCAAATTTGACTAAAATACCACTGCTCCTGACCAGTCATATGCAAAACATTTCCCAACCGTTTGTATAATATTCTCATTGTTATTGAAACTTTCTCACGTCACGTCATCAGCCATTTATTCTTGACCCATTTCAAGATTGACGAGAGAAAAAAATTTCTGGTTCCAGTAGAGATAGGAAAGGCCGAAGAGGGAATCCGTTGTAGCCATCTTGGAAAAGCTTATGATGATATAGGACAGTTCAAAACGGCAATCGAGTATCATCAACGTGGTCTAGAAATTGCTAAAGAAGTAGGAGACAAGGCTGGAGAGGGAACAAGTTATGGCAATCTCGGCTGCGCTTATTGCAGTCTAGGACAGTTCAAAACAGCAATCGAGTACCATCAACGTGGTCTAGAAATTGCTAAAGAAGTAGGAGACAAGGCCGGAGAGGGAAAAGGGTATGGCAATCTCGGCTGCGCTTATCGTAGTCTAGGACAGTTCAAAACAGCAATCGAGTACCAGCAACGTCGTCTAGAAATTGCTAAAGAAGTGGGAGACAAGGCCGGAGAGGGAAGAAGTTATGGCAATCTCGGCTGCGCTTATCATAGTCTAGGACAGTTCAAAACAGCAATCGAGTACCATCAACGTTATCTAGAAATTGCTAAAGAAGTGGGAGACAAGGCCGGAGAGGGAACAAGTTATGGCAATCTCGGCTGCGCTTATTATAGGCTAGGACAGTTCAAAACAGCAATCGAGTACCATCAACGTGGTCTAGAAATTGCTAAAGAAGTGGGAGGCAAGGCCGGAGAGGGAAGAAGTTATGGCAATCTCGGCTGCGTTTATCATAGTCTAAGACAGTTCAAAACAGCAATCGATTATCATCAACGTCGTCTAGAAATTGCTAAAGAAGTGGGAGACAAGGCCGGAGAGGGAACAAGTTATGGCAATCTCGGCTGCGCTTATTATAGGCTAGGACAGTTCAAAACAGCAATCGAGTACCATCAACGTGGTCTAGAAATTGCTAAAGAAGTGGAAGACAAGGCCGGAGAGGCATTCTCACTCTCTGTTCTTGGAAAAAGTTTTGAGAGTCAAGGTAAACTAAGGAGGGCCTTTGACTGCTTTCACTCTAGTGTGGAGGCTTTTGATAGTATTAGGGCGAGTCTGCATTTCAACGATCAGTGGAAGATTACTTATCGTGATAAGCATAAGAGTGCATACATAGGCTTGTGGCGTATAAATCTAATCCAAGGTGAAGTTGTTGATGCTCTTCTTACCGCAGAGAAAGGACGCGCTCAAGCTCTGAGAGATCTACTAACCTCAAAATATCAGCCCAGAGATTTTTCGTTCGCTCTCCTTAGTTTTGTTCCATCAAGTACAATTTTTATAGCTATCAGTGGACCTTACGTTCACTTCTGGGTTGTCCTTAGCGACGATAATATCCAGTCGAGAAAGGTACATGTGAACAATTATAAGTATCAGGAGGAATTGGAATTTTTCATCAAGCAACTGAACAAAACTGCCTTGAAAGAGGTTGGTGCAAGAGATGCTGTTGCATGCGAAAATCCTCCTCATTACTCGCCGAAAGCGGAGGAAGTGGCGAACGATATGATTCAAGTTGATGTAAAGAACTCACAATCAAGTGCTCTACAGAAGCTTTATGACATCATCGTTACTCCTATTGATGATCTGATCAAAGGCAACGAGCTTACATTTGTTCCTGAGGGTCCATTTTGTCTTGTGCCTTACGCAGCATTGGAGGACTCAAATTCAACTTATCTGAGTGATTCATTCAGAATTCGTGTGCTTCCATCCCTGACGACCTTACGACTAATTCATGATTCCCCAGCTGAGTTCCACATGAAGAGTGGTGCATTGCTTGTTGGCGACCCATGTTTCAAAGAGATCATTTATCAGGGAAGACGTTTGGTGCAACTTCCAGGAGCAAGGGAAGAGGCGGAAATGATTGGACGAATTCTCAGTATTTCCCCCCTCACTGGAGAAATGGCAACAAAAGGAGAAGTGTTAAAACGACTGTCATCAGTGGCTTTGGTACATATTGCAGCGCATGGTAAAATGGAAACTGGGGAAGTTATCTTGGCACCAAACACTACAAGAGAAACCACTCAGCCTGAAGAAAAGGACTATCTACTGACGATGAAAGATGTCATGGAAGCTGGGCTGCGGGCGCAACTGGTTGTTCTAAGCTGTTGTCACAGTGCTCGTGGGGAGGTCATGGCCGAGGGTGTGGTCGGCATCGCCCGAGCATTCCTGGGTGCGGGCGCTAGATCTGTTGTGGTAGCATTGTGGGCGTTAGATGACGAAGGAACCCTGGAGTTCATGAGTTTCTTTTACGATGCACTTGCTAAAGGCAAGAAGGCAAGTGAAGCTCTCAATCAGGCCATGAGATGTATGAGAGAATCTGGAACGTTCAAGGAGGTGAAGTACTGGGCACCATTTGTACTCATTGGTGATGACGTCAAACTTGATATCAAGGACATCTAGTTGCTGATCCATGTAATTATTCTTTTCATAACATTTATGCAATTCAACGTAGCTTTTAATCAAAATTGTATGGTTATATATTTTAGCACGGGTGCCTGGTTGTCTAGTGGGTAAGAATTGCTTTTTTTTCCCGAAGAAATTGAGATACTTTACAATTGAGTCGACACTTTATAGACTTAACGATGAAAACGTTTTCCATAGAAAATAAGATTGATAATAATTGTTGTGAAGGGTATCGTTTCTTGTCGTACAACCGAATGAAAAACTTTATGTAAACTCAAAGATTCTCCCTAATTGTGGTTCTTTTATTTTTTCAGTTCAGGGACCGAGCATTGGAGCTGTATCATAGAGATGACGAAACCCAAGGAAATAAACCTTTGCCTACAAACGTTGACATTTGGAAGAGAAACCACAGGAATACCAATAAAATCTCTGTAAGAGACTTCTATGCAAAGCAAGCAGAACAGAAAGAGCCTTTGAGAGTCCGTGCGGATTTCTACTCTTTCACAAGTTGATATTTTACTTATTATCTTAAATGTTCTTATAAGCTATAGGGATTTTGGACACGTCAAAGAAAAAGGACTTTGCAGTGTTTTTTATCTTTAATATCTGATTCGAACCAGCTTAAAAGTAATTTTTTCAAAAGCGGTTTCGTGAAATTACTGTGACTGGCTATGTAAAAAACATTTTCATCTAGCATGAGTGAGTTTGTTATCTATAAACAAGTTTTTGGGCCGGTTATATTAATTTTCCGTTTAAGCTAAAAAGCACCTGGAAAACGCCGTTTTCCCTAAAATATTTTTAATAATTTTTTTCTTTTAATCGGTTTTTGTCTTATGGCTGATATACAGCTGTCAAAACCTTGTGCATGCGTAAACGTTTTCATAGAAATTGGAGAATAATCAGTTGAGTGATCGTTCGATTATCTCACTTTCAGTTAAATGGAAATTGTGATTAATATTTGGAGGAAATTTACCAAGTTATGATCAGTTTCTGTATCACGATTATTGGATTTTTCTGAATTAAATTAACAGATTTTAGCGTTTATAGCCAGTATTGAACATTATTTTTACCAATACTTCGACAGATCTTTCCCGGGTGCGTTTGAAAGCGATAAAGTTTTTATGCATAAGGATGACAATATATTTTGAGTATGCTACTAAAATTAATTTTCCAATCGCAAAACGAGAAGTTAAAGAGGAGTTTCCTTTTTTTATTGTTGTTTTAATTGGTCAGTTTCTAGAATTGTGTATTTTATGAAACATTTAGAGGAGAATTTCAATAAGTACAATGAAGTTGTAGCCAAATAATGTAATCAGTCACTTTTATTGGGTTATTGACCCATTTAATTGTTAAATTTGATTGAAGTAACATTAAATGCTGTTTACTGAGTTACAGAGTAATAGAATTGAAATTTATTGACGGGAATGTGCTGCAGCGAGAGAGGAAAAAATCTGAGCATAGCAAAAAGTAACAAAAACAGCAAAGCAAACTTCTTAAAAAAAAAACTGGAATGTTAGCAGCTGTCTCCCCGCCCTAATTCCCCGCGGTAAGCTAAGTACTGCGTCAAACTTAAAGATGTTCTACTCACATTATCCATAACTCCGTCAAATTTGCAAAGTCATTTCTCGTGATAAGCCTTCTGAGAGAGTAGCTTACTCGTCAACCTACAAATAGCCCAGAATATTAAGCCGCCTTCCATTGGAAGTTTACAACCGTCAAGAGTGGAAACCTATCTCTACATAAATTCCCTCTTAACACCCCAAATGACATTCAATAGACTCAGATGATATCGAACAGACTAGTATAGTGCTATACCTACTTTACAGTTCTTCCGATCATACTAGTGAAGGACTCTTAACCCTTTACCTCCCATTAGTGACTAAGAGAGAATTTCTCCTTACAATATCAATGCAATATCAAGCATAGAAGTGATGAGAATAAAGCAAAATATCAGTTAAGGGAGTATGAATTGATCCAATACCAAATTCTCCAAATTGACAACATAAGAATTGTATGGCAGATAGTAAGGAGAATTACTAATGAGATCTTGGGAGTCAAAGGCTTAATATTAAACCAATCTTCTCTTATCAGTTAACTTGAGCAATAAATAAAAAGACTGGCTATATGGACGCCTCCCATTCGATAAACGCATAAGCGTGGCTATTGAGTTTTGAGCCATTGATTAAATGGGTGAAAAAACCTTGAAGGACTAGAAGACTCAGAGACATTAAATCGGCCTCCTTCAACTCCCTCCAAGAAAACTTTCAATATAATTTCATTGAGCCAGGCGCAAATAAAGAAACTGCGAAGAGTCAAGAATGAATTTTTTTACGCAGGTACATAAATACTAATGTTCAAAATGAACGTAGGTCGACTTAAGTTAAAAATTATCTTATGTGCTTTGGAAAGAGACGCGTCAATATTTTTTTCACGCAGTGTTGAAGGTTTGTACAGCCATAGATTTGTCTCCCCACTCGCACGCTTTTATACCCCAACCAACCTCAGCAAGGTTTGTACAGCCATAGGTTTGTCTACCCACTCGCATGCTATTACACCCCAACCAACCTCAGAAAGGTTTGGACAAAAAGGCAATCGTGATTACCTTTAACGAAAATTTTCATGGCAAAATTTGGTTTACCAAGTCTTATTGACCCAGACATTTGAAATAAACATGTATAGAAGTACTGAAGAAATAAACATGTAGTCAATGAAGCTAATTAATTTGCTTTACTCACACTTTCCCCCTTTATATGATTAAGTAAAAATTTTGTAAAATTATATTTCGAGGAAATAAATGAAAATTTAGGATTGTGTGAGGTTTATACGCAAAAAGATTGAGCTACGTCTACGCTGTTGTTTGGGAACATGATAATGTGAAAAAGAAAACAACAACAAATTAATTGAATGAAAAACGTTCGTTGATACCGTGGGAAAGGATAAAAGAGCGCAGCAATATCTTGTGAGGGGATAACAAGTCACGTGATGATCTCCATGCAACACTATCAACAGACTCCATCAACTTGAAATAAAAATGGCGGTACTGCTACAAGCGTTACGATCTCTCTTTTTTTTTTTCCAACAAGACAAGGGTTATTTAACGAAACTTAGGAGGATCCTCTTTTTAAACTTTTAAACTGTTTCTCAAATTTTCGACCAATGGAAAATTCGTGCGTTTCGTTCACATGGAACCACGCCAAACGTACGAAACTTTGGACGCTCAAGCGTTCAAAATTTGAACACCAAAATCGAAGACGAATTTTTAGCCGGTACAGTCAATAATTTGAACGCCACGGTGTGAACACCGTAAACGTCGAAATTTTTGTACGGCGAAGGCGTGGCGGCATGGATGCGTGGTAACTAGGTTAAATAATATACGAAGATGGAACGTGCTGGTTTATTGATTGCGGTGCTCGGTAATATTACAGCTTTATTGCATAACATTATCTCGCAAATGTGTAAGCCATGCCGGACTTACCACGCACGTACTAAATCGAAGACGTCGAAGCAGCAAAAACACTGGACGCCATTTTGCTCTGGGTTAAGAAGCGTTTTGTGCATGATAAGACGATAAAACACTCACAAATTTCACAAAATCAATCCTGTTATCAGTCCCATCCGAACAGAACGAAACTTTCACACGGTTCGATGTGTACAGAGTGTCCAGTCGAAAATTCGTCCGGTGCCGTGTGAACGTAGCCTCAGTTTATTGTGTGAACCTATGCGAGCCCGATATAGTTCTTGATTTTCAGTTCTTGCCCACAGAGCTCGTACCTTCCCTTCATTTCTAGCGCATTTTCTGAAGGCAGGCTCCGCCCAACAAAGAGGAACGCACGTCGGTGTAAACAATGTTTGGACATAATGCTGTATTACTTCTTTCCTTTTTATTTTTCTTTATCAAATAAGTCTTTAATATATTTTACGTACATATATTACATTTGATGATACCAGAAACAAAGTTGACTCAAGAGGTGTCAAGATCAGCGTAATGTTCTCCGGAATTGAGTTTCTTTGTTTGTAAAACAGCACTGTCTGTCGTCATGAACTTTTCCTGGAGCTCTTTTGGTAATGCGCTTTTTATTTCCATCCGTATTTCTATCTGCAAAAAAAAAAACAAAAACAGCAAAAGCAGTAAAAAAAAAAAAACTATATGCAAGTGATGGTCGAGGATCTGACTGAGAAATACTGCAACGAATACATTCGCAGATGAAAAACCACAAGAATAAAGACCATCACCAGACAAGACAGCTGCTGTCTTCATTACTTACTACTTTCAGTTTTCTGTCCGGAGATCTTATAGAATTTAATTTAGTCTGCTGTTCTGGACCCGCTGCAGATTCCTACAACAAATTAAACAATGTCAAAAATCATGTCATATAGCTGATTTACTCATGTAAGTTTAACGTAAAAGCCAAGCATTTCTCGAAGAGTAAAGCGAGGTGACTTCCTCAAAGCCTCCTACAGTTACTCACTTAAAACTTGATTTAGCTCTTTATATTTCCTGATTCACTAAAACCCAAAGTGAAGAGTCTCTGAAAAGGCCAAACGTAACCTTTAATCCGATGGCTTACATGTGAAAGCTTCTGCACTAGGTAACTTGTGTGTTTGGCTGAATTCTAACTTTTTTTGTTCAAGTCAGGTGATATATAGGAAACTCTCTAAATACCGATAATTTTTCAATAAACGTTTACATCATCACAACGGCGTGATGCTGTATTCCTCTATGAAGTTTCCATCGGTCGCTCCAAAACAAGACGACACAACCCACTCTTCTGGCCTGGTCCATGGCTAATTTGGCACTGAGTTATAACCTTACAGCTCCCTCGTTACAAAGAATGAAAAAAAAGACGTAGAGGTTTTAGAGGGAAGATTTTTTTAACTAAAAAAACTAAAAAAAGTAGTAGAAAAAACCGCATCTATGTGTTGTCTTCGTGCCTTACTAACTGGATTCACTCCGCTGTCAAGTGTATTTCTGGTTTTAAGAGGAAAATCAAGCAGACAACAAGACTTTTAATCTATATTCATTCCAATGTACCCAATTAGTGAACTACAAATATTTTACCTATTTTCGACATGTCTCAGGATTTTGAGGCGATCCTCTTTCAGTATCTAGAATTTGTTGTACGTATCTTCATCGCGCATAACTTGACGAGGTTTGCGCGCGCACATCAGTTTGGAACAACCACAGCTTTTTCTCTACGGCGAAAGCTACCTACAGTATCACGTCTAGCTATCATTTCTTTCAAAGAATGTAATAACTCTCTTTTTTATAAAATATCGATAAAATATTTATAGTGACGCAGCACATTGAAAATGAGAATGATATGTTGACGTCATGGCTACATGACATCACAATGGATAAATAGGAGATTTTCATTCTTCTGAAACGTGTATGATCGTTTTGACCACAAGGAAGCAATCATGAGTTTTTTGAAGAAAATGCAGAAGAAAGGTCAAAGTAAAAACCATCGAGAATTGTACTTCAGAGCTTCGGTTCCTTCTGCGACTCTGGAATGTGTCGAAGACAAATGGTAAGTGGAGAAAAAGGAGAAAAAAAGATCATCGGAAAGGTTTACCGATAAGCATGCGTGTAATAGATTTAGGAGAAAGTTTTTCCTCTCTGCACTTTTGAGGTAGTGAAAGAATACATCAGTTAAGTTGCAAAACAGGCAAGAAAATATCGAACAGTTTGTTTTTAAGTCTGGGACGAAAACTAAATGACGTACCAATGGATTTTTCAACTTAACCAGCGATGCTTTTGTCCAATTGAGGCGCGCTGAATCTCAGTTTTAAGAAGCTGATGAGGTGTTTTCGGAAATCGAGGACATAGAGAAGAAGCCCTTAGAAGTATTGGTGAGATTCGGAAAATGAAATTAACTGGAGTAAAGACAACGAGAATAAAACAAAAATGAACAAGAAAAATGAACAAGAAATTTTATCACCTTTTAAGGAATTAAGGCAAGTTCATAAAAACTGAGTTAATTTCTACTTTCTTACTCTTAGAGTCGTTAGGGTACTTCCTTAAATTACATGAGTTCAATTTACCCTCGTAATTATCCTACAGTCTCACAGACAAGGAAGACAGCACGAAGGAAGAAAGCAGAAAATTGTCGCGTCCAGGATCCTTAAAAAGCTTCCGGAAGGAAAACCGCAATGGCAATGTTACTAGTAATACTGCCTGTTCCAAGGAGGCCACCACAACGGCCTCTGCTGCTCCACGTGCTCCATTGTCAGACGTGGTTGGTGACCATGAGAAAAAGAGGCAAGGGAAAGCTGGTGCTGACACTAAGGGTGATAGTCCTAAGAAGGCTTCGTGTCGAAGGAACAAAACAAGATCAGGACCAACAAAGATCAACAAGAAAGCTCCACCTCCGCCTACTTCTGAAAGGCCTTCCGTTTCTCATACCAGTCCATCCCAATCTGTTCTGTCTCGTCCTATTCCGGTGCGCCCAGCTCCCCCTCCACCGCGTCAACCACGTCTTCGTAAGGCGGCTCCACCTCGCCCCCCTCCACCGACTATGAAGCAGCCTGGAAAAAAGGGTGCCAAAGGACCGAGAATTATTAAGAAGAAGGCAAACGAGATTTGCAAATACCCAAAGGATCTGAACCCGTTTGCAAATTTTAGCAGTGCCACCGATAATGACTACCCGTCACAGAACAGCGAGAAGGCCTCTAGACCTAGTCGCCAAAGGCACAGAAGAAGACCAAAGAATTCTAAAAGTGAAGAATATCCAATGGATAAAAATCCATTTACTGAAACTAATGAGATGAGGGAAAAGGTCTCTAGTGCTCGTCGCCAAAGGCTTAGAAGAAAACGGAAAGAATCTAAAAGTGAAGAATACCCAATGAAAGACAATCCATCCAGTGATGCTGAAGAGATGAGCGAGAAGCCCTCCCGCACTCATCGTCAAAGGCGTAGAAGAAAACGAAAAGCATCTAAAAGCGAAGAACACTCAATTAAATACAATCCATTGAGTGATTCCGATGAGGGGAGGAGCTCTTCGTGTTCGGAGTGGAACGAAACTTCTGACATATGGTCTGTTTCTTCATTGGAAGATATTCAGTTTGTGGTGAACACTGCCACAGTAGAAGAGGTGGAAGCAAAGAGTACACAGCAAGGTCTGGCAACCAACAATGAAAACGAAGAACAGGGTGGGCGAACAGATTCTGGTGACTCAAAGGCCCAGTCATTCCCATCTGATAAGGAGATCTCTCCTGACGATGTCCCTTCCTCAAACAAGGATAATAGCTCTGTGAGTGTCGGATCAACAAACCTTGATGCTTCGACTGCCAAAGAATTTACAGATGTTGGCAGTCGAAGGATCCTCAAGCAGGCAGAACCCTCTGAGCAAGCTAATGATATGGAAGAGTACCAGGGTGGAGACGGATCTGGTAAGTTTTTATGTATCTGCTCATGCACGACAAATACTGAAACGAAGAGGGGATCAGAAATCTAGTTCCTTTTTGCTGTAAGAATGCTGCACAATAAACCCTATAGAGGGAAAAGCATTATAAAGTAGTGCATCTTCATCTACCGAACCGTAAAAAAGAGACATTAGAAACATTTAAATCTGCGCGTAAGTAAACTTCAAAATGATTCTTGATTGTTGCCAGTACTTTGATTCGTAAAGTGGTAATGTATCTGAAGATGCATCTGCTAATTGCATCAGATGCAATGCCACTCCATGAATAAATTGAAGGGATTCAACTGGTTCAGTATCAACTTCATTGGACTGTGTTTATATTCGCCTTCTCTTTTGAATATTTGAGCGCGTATATTTTATAAAATTATTTTTAGCCTCCAATTCAAGGAATCATTGCCCAGAGTTGGCCATTTACCTGGATGCAGAACTTCAGATTGTCGAAAGCGAGTTGCTCTCTCTGCAGAAGGTGATGGTTAAATTGCAATCAGAGATGAAAGAGGCAATGGACACTAAAGGTTAGTTTTCTCGTGTCTTTTTCTTTGCTTGGGGCATTATAGGGAACGAACGTATTTGCTGACATCGTGCAAGACATCGATACTAACAATAATTTAATGAAAGCGGCAAACTTAAATTTGCCCTGGCTACAATTCGGCCCACAATTCCACAGTTTACACCCGTAATGTGGATGAGGAACATCAGGGTGGGGTTTCTACGGATGAAAATACAGAAAAATCGACCATTTTTTTGCATAAAAGTCATTTTCGAGGGCGACTCACTGAAATCCCTGACCTCCTTTCAAATGTTCCCCCTCGCCAAATGGAAGACTGACTCTCCTCTCACCGCATCTCTTTAAATCTCTGAAACTAGTGTACTGGCCTTAGCTTTCTTCGATCGCACTACGCTCCAAGAGAAGTTTTGCCTCGATCTAAGAAGAGGTAATCTTCCGGTCATACCGATCTCGGAAGAGGTAATCATCCGGTCATACCTCTGCAGCATATGGCGGGTGATGCAAGGGTAACTAATTGGACACAAATTCAATACAGCCTTCTTTACCGCTTGTAGATTGTGAGGCCGAGTTTGAAAGCTTATCGCTTGACTGGTTGACGCTCAACAAGTTCCGTTCTGAACTTAACAAAAGGAAAAAAGACCTTATTGTTCTGTAAGTACTTGTTTACGCTACAAAGCTGTTTTAAAAACATGCGCACCAGTTTAGAACAAGTGAACAAGCCCAGCTATGGGATGGTAACTAAAGCTCAGCAACAAACACGATTGATTCGCCTGACTCTTACTGAGATCGTGAGGCACACGATCAAATGTTCCTTTATCAAAATGAATTTGTTAGCTCCGGTATATGTGATCTCAAATTCCAAGCAATTTTTCCTTCAATGTATTTACATTATCACTGAGCGTTGACAGGAGCCCATCGCGTTGATAGGAGCCGTTGATGATTCACACTGTATTTTCTACTTGAAAGTTTACTACGTTTAATGTGCCTTATTTTTCGTCCGTTTTGTATTTAGTTCCAAACAAGAAAACCCGAACGAGTGTTTGAAGTTCTTACGTGAGGACCTGAAATGCCTAGTTGAAGTCAAAAGTGAGACTCAGTTATCTTTTTTTAAAGCTATTCCGTGTTTGTAATCGTTCTATTTAGTAACGTATCCCAAGCAAATGTGTTTTCGCAATCTTTGACCTGTCTTCCATCATGTGGTGAGTGATGTTTTTCACGTTTTCTGCAGGTTGGAAGAAGACAAAAGAGCACAGAGCTCAGGTGAAGAATGTCTTGGATCTTATCCTCAAGTTGGCCAACATGGCCTGAATGGAAAACTTTATCAAAAGTAAGAAACGTGCAATTAACTTGAATTTAAACACATCTGGTTCTCTTCACATAATCTGACTTTGTATTTTGCCACGAGTTTGCCACAGATCATTTTGATTACACTTATTCATTACGGTAACAATGGCTAATTCTGCTTTTTGTTTTCCTGTTTTTGCAGTTTTGATTTTACAAGAATTTACTTATTTTTGGCTTGGGTTGTGTTGTAATATGTTCATATATGACTTGAAATCCTTTGTAAATCTCTAAATTCTGCCAATCACTTTAGTTAAGCCGGCAGTTTCATTTTTCAATGCAAAGTTCTTAACCCAAGAGAATTATTCAGATATTATCTGTGAATAGCGAGAATATTTCGCATGTCAAACATTAGTCATGTACATAACTATTATGAATTCATTTGATTGTACTGTTGTAAATATTTTCGTTTTTTTATCATGAGTAATGTTTATTCATTTTTTTTCTCTTTTTTTATTGCTCGTAATTATTTCATGATTACGTAAATACTTCTTTTGTATTGTAATATCTTAAGTTCAGAGTTAAGGTTAAAAGAGCAGACCTGACTAGATATATTTTCATCATCACATTTTTATGGTTTTTTTTCGATTACGCTGTGTTCTGCAAAGGGGAAGCTAGCAAGATCTAAGGCGACGTCATGCTTTGCGTGTTAATTTCAATCTAATGGTTATGTTTCGTCCAATCAGATACGTTGATTCAGAATCATTTGTAATGGAGGTGACGTATGCGGTCACAGAGTCACTGCACGTAACTGAACATTTTGCCTTTGGCACTGCACTCTTTTTCTTTTCTGTCTTTTCAGTTCTCTCTTCTTTTTCTCCTTTTTTTTATAGCTTTTTCATTTTGTTTTTAGGTCGGTAGGTTTTAGTTTTTTTAGGTATTTTTTATGAATTTTAGATTTTAACTAGGGTATTTTAGGTATTTTGTAATTCGGTTTTAATTTCTGTTTTTTCTTTTCTTCTTTTTTTTTCTCCTTCATTGTTTCCTTTTTTTCTTTTCTTTCTTTCTTTCTTTCGTTCACTTTATTTTATTATCATCATTTTTCAATATTCAGCCTTTTTCCACCATCTGTATTAACAGTGATTCAAACGCTGTTGGTTATGTCAGGTGGTTTTCAGGCCGCATGCGTCACTTTCCTCTTACGATTCATATCAGCGCTGATTAGTAACCAAACGTAAAGAGACTGGGACTCATTAAGTTTAACGTCACTGCATAGCTTTACCTGGGAAAAGAGCAACGTAATCGCTTCATTTTTTCCCTTTCAAATTTCTGCGATATAAAATTTGGAAAATTGTAAAGTTTTGAGTTGCATGATTTGTTTTCCCCATCTCTCACATTTCACTTTGATTTGTAAAATTAATTATTATAAATAAACCTAGTTGTAAAAAGAATCAAGTGTTAGCTTCATTATATCATGGAAAGTCTATCTTTTTTCTCTGTTTCCCTTTTGATTCGCCATGAAAAAAAGCAATTCATCGTGTTTTGACGAAATTAAGAGATCCTCGCAGCTGAGAACACTACTGAAACGAGTAACTGAAAATAGTGTTCCTAGCTGCGAGGATCTCTTAATTTCGTTTTTTCACCGCAGTGCAAATACATGAATTTCATATATCTAAAATCATCATTCATCGTATTTTATCATTTGGATAGGTTTCATATTTTTACATCGAATTGTAACTCTCCTGGGTGTTTGAAAATTTGGGCAATCAGGCGTCTTGTTAGTGCGAGCTAACGTTAAAAGCTCGCGATCGTTTATTTGATCGACCATGTTTGATTTGCAGTTAGAGTGGACGGTGGGGGTAGGGGGCGGGGGAAGGGAAAAAAAAAAAAAAAAAAAACCATTCCCCCACACCCACCCCTCTCCTTATTTTTGACCGTCGACCGCCCCCTTGGTACAAATTTATTTCTCTCCCCAGCCTTCCGCTGCCGTTAAAATAAAAAATGGCAGCCATAGTATTCGTTATGAAATTACTGAGCACTCGCTGGCCAAAATTACGCCTCTTTTGCTGGCTACACATGAGGCCACATGCTGCGCAGCTAGCCGCGCCCCTGATTTGGTGTAGATTAAAACCAAGTGTGGTTCTTGGAGTAGAATGTAGAAACACTTACCTTCGAAACTGTTCATTACACTGGAAGATGTCAAGATCGAAAGTAGTAACTTATCACAGCATTAACCTGGAGTAAATTTTTTTTGACTTTGTCGTGTGGGTTTAACTCGAATTTTGACCTCATCAAACAGCCTTCCAGACAAAATTTTTGTGACGATCTTCACTTAAAAAATAACACTCCCCTCCCCATTCAATAATAATAATAATAATAATAATAATAATAATAATGATGATGATAATAATAATAATAATAAAAAACTTACGCTATTTCATTCCATTTTTATCATTATTTTTAACGACTGTTCACCGAATATTGTGGAGGTGGCTTGTGGTGCCCCGAAGTGGGAGGTGAGTTTCTGTTTTAGGATGTACTAAAACAGTGATGTATTATGGCAAAAGAAAAATGATTTTTTCCTGCAACGATTACAATATTTTCGGCGTTGCTAGAATTAGAGAAACAAAGAATATTCTAACTTCCGCGCTATCCTCTCCTCATATTGATAAAATATCATCAATATTTTAGGAGAAAACATTAAACACCCGTCAGTACTTCCTTGTATGTTATTAAAGTCTCAAAATATGATCTCTTTAAAATTGTAAAATAACTCTTTGTTGACCAGCCGAAGTCTAATTTGGATATGGAGGGATTTAGTTTTATTTTTTATATTGTCTGTTAGCTAATCTTCCGTCTGAATACTGCTAAAACACAATTATATTATATCATTTAAGCCGGATGAGTGCCCTGACGCTGTAAGGGGCATTGTGCTTTGCGAAGCACGTCGCTGTGATTGGTCGATTCGTTGCCACGGTTATCAACAAAGTTTGTCCAGTTTACCCGGCGCAGAAATAGAGTGAGTTTCGAGATTTATGTGAGCTGCGAAACTTGGCTTTTGACTTTGTTCCTTTGATCTGAAAGACTGTAATTGCGAATCTGAAAGCTTTTTACGAGGTACAGCGTTTTGTTTTGAACGATCAACGACTTTTCCTTGGTCCATTATCGATCACACCGTTTGTAACTTTTCATCGTCTAAAGTTGATCATCGGAGTGAATTCGAAGGGTAAACAACAACTGGTAAGGACAAAATCAACAGATTTGTAGAGTCCATCGTAGAGAGTGGATTCTGTAGAAGAAATTTGTGGCTTTAACGCTAGATTGGTGAGCTAATCAGGGAATTATTTGACGAAAGAATTATCACGTCAAATTAATGACATTGAAGAATTCTTCAGCTATTCAAACCAGTAAGTAAAGGATTGTATTGGTTTTGACTGCTTTATTTGAGAGTGTGAAGACGTCAGATTTCGAAGTCTAACTCTGCTTTGGATCTCAAAGTCGTCAAGAGCTAATCAGAGGATATTCAGGTCTCTATGAAGTCGATTTATCACGAAAATTAAGATACAAGGCGAAACATTTCGAATCGACCTTCAAATCCAAGTATCTGTTTTTCAGCATCTACACTGTACACCTGGTGGTACCAGCTTTAATTTTTATTTCTTTACAAAAACAATTTTTACTACAGCTTCTTTTTGTTGTGCTTCAAATCATTGGCAACGGTAAGAAATGTTTGTTAGCCTCTCCAGTTAAAGTAACCCTCATTTGTTAGACAATGCATTGAGAAACGTGAGTCTTTCGAACTGTCAGCAATCAGGTCAGAGGAGAGAAATATTTCGTATTTCACCGTCGGAAAGTTGTTTTGCTACGATAATTCTTTAGAACAATTATAGCCTCGAAACGTGTATTTAAACTCCGTAAAAATGTATTGATCACGCTAAAACTTCGAGCCACACAAGTTATTTACTTTGCACGTTGTTGGAAGTGAAAGCGTATCAACACGAAGGCGTCACATCTATTGTTCATGTTTTTACGTTTTACTGAGGGGTGCTTTTGAGGACGAAGTCATGAATTCCAAGGTACAGCTTGATAAAGCTTTATCTTCGAAGCTCAACGGGATTCAGATTACTAATCATTTGAGCAAGTTATCCAGAGCAAAAGCGACGCCGCCTGTTCTCAAATCGCAGCCTATTAGCCCACAGAAATCGTTCAAGTTCATGCCGCATCCCCCTCAAAACCGAAAGTCGGTCGGCTTTCAGAACAGCAGGAGAACTGATGATCAAAACATTAAGCCAGCGCCTCCTACAGAGCCTCGTGGAAAGAATTATATGGTGAGAAAGTTTTACGACGTAAGAAAAAAAGACAGTAATGTTGACGAAAGCAGGGTTAGCGGAGATGGAGAATCACTAGAGAATGAGGAATTTTACGAGAAGTCAAGGTGTCCGTCATGGGAGCGTATGCCGGGCGATGGATGTATCTCTGATATTGCTGAAGAAGATGAAGATGCAGAAGAAGAAGATGACGACATGGAGGAGAATGATGATGATGATGATGATGAGTCTGTTGAGGACAACTATGACAATGATTTCTATGAATGCGATGACCTTGATGAAGGTAATAACTAATACTCATGTTGAAATTGGCAAACTCCAAGCTTTAATAATGCACTTTGCAATAACTATAGTGATCAGTTTGGAAAAAAAAAACTAATTTCAACTCAGTCACCTGCTTTTGTTGTTGTTGTTGAGGCAGGCAGACATTTGAATATTTTACAGCAGTTGCATCCAATCTTGGCACTCTTGTCCCATGACACAGTCATATATGTGGCATATTCATCTCTAAAGTTTAAATGAATGGAACAAAGAAACAAAGACAAATAGACAATTCAAAGGACTGATAAAGATTTTTCTTTTAAGTTACTTCCCAAGAGTATTCTTGTTAAGTGCATTTGACTTGATGAACACAACTCAATTTTTACTAATGCCTGTCTTAACATGATATCAACTGTTGGCTATTGCACAATGTAAGGGAGATAAATATGCTATAATGTTAAAATGTTGCTTTTATATTACAGCAGGCTTTTCTGATGGTGATGATGATGATGGTTCTCAGTCACTGATCAGCACAGCTGCTTCCTCTCGTGTTTCTACTGCAAAAAGTAGAGCATCAAGTGCAAGACCAATGATGTTAGGTACTCGCAGATGGTCTGGTACAGTAGGATCATCAAACCCAAGTTCTGCATCATCCAAAAAAACAAATGCATGGGCATCAACAGGTGACGATGAAAAACAAGAGAAAATTCCTCCTCTAGTACCCAGCCTATTTCCTCATATATCTCCAACCATCTACTTTTCTGTGGAGGGAGAAAAAGGTAAACTGAATATAAAACTGTGTATTTTACACTTCAAGGAGGTATTGTTTTCTCAGCGTCATAAACTTTAAACCTTTACACCCTAACCTCAGTATCTATTTTCTCCATGCTCTTCTCTCCACATTTCTCAAGGTGCTGGCAAGGAGAATTTGTTTAACAATCAATAGTTTCTTAAGTTAGTGATCACTTCCTTTATTCTCATGACCTTAATGTGTGATTCAGGGCTGATATTATAGGGAGAAATTAGATGCTAGTCACTCTTAGGGGCAAGGGTCAATTAAGTATAAAAATTTGTTGAAGTTTATCACTTGGTATTGCAGTTCAGAATAATATTCCCACAGCACATGCATGATTTTATTGTGATATATTTTAGTAATTTTATCCAAAGTAAGTTTAAACTTAGTACAAGTACATTCTTAATTAATGGTCTTCATTGTATAATTATATGATTTTCTCAATTATATATTTAATGTATAAACAATCAACTTAGATTAGTGGGATTCAAATCAACATGCAATCACGAAATGACCTTGTAGACTAGACATTGAATCATTATTAACATTTTTCCAGCCTTTTAGTGTTATGATATTGAATGTTGTCTTGTTATAGGTAAGTCCAGTTCAGCTGCATGCAGTCATGTACAGTGTTGAGTACTAAAATCATGAAACACAAACTGGGAGCAAAATATTGTTTAATCTAAAGCAAAATAAGTACTTTTAGTGTTTTCTCTAAGCATTTAATGTACAGTACTGTACCTGTATACTGAATATATTTGCTATGGTAACTTATGTACAGTGTATCTCTATGATCTTTTGTAGTGGGTCAACTTTCACCTGAGGTGCGAAAACTTCTCCGGTGGAAGATGAGTTCTATAACACCAAATGTTATCAAGCAGTGTATTGCAAGAGCTGGCTTTAAACCAACTAAGAGTAAGTTGTTATTCTATTACTGATTTTACTTATACAAGTAGTTTCCTTGCTTGTCTGTTTTAAGTGCTGTAAAGTAGTTTAGATTAATATGTGTATACAATTGCATACATGACATGTTGTTACTGTACATCAGACAGCAAACATGTGAAATAATTAATCTCCCTATTTTTGTCTCAATGTGTGGCAAAACTGGTTTGGATATGTGCTGAATGTCTTTATGTACACTGTAGTTAGCATCAGAGAGCAAGCTTGAAAGAGATTTTCAAATCTTTTCATTCGCCCTATTGTCCTGAAAAACTAAAAGAAGTTTTTTATAACATGGCTGCATAAACTTGCTTTAATATACTGATAGGGATGGTGAGGAAGACTGTATGCTAATTTTTTTTATCACAGCTTTGTAGAAGCTCCTAATATAAATGTATACATCTGTTGGTTTCCACAAAAAGAAAGAAAGAAAGGACTGTATATCTTCTGACTCCTACAGCCCATTGCCTTTAAGTTTCTTAAAATTTATTTTGTAGTCAGGTTTTTCTGTAAGAATTAGTTGTACATGTGTACATCTCCCTGAAGATGCCTGAGAAAGGTGTTTAATAAAAATATTCATATTATTACATTTTGATTAATGTCTACTGTTAAGCAGGGAATGACTGGCTGGGATACTGGGGCAAACACATGAAAGCAAACTGTTTTAAAACTGTCAGAGAATATCAAAAGGTAAGAAATCATCTTTGTTCTTACATGTTTTAAGTATTACCAGTAACACAATTTTTTTTCTCCTTTTTTGAATCTGAAATAAAAATACTTATAGGCTTAAAATTTTGTAAGACTTTATGAATCTAAATGACCAGTCTGCAGTAACTAGATGCCTACAGTTTGTAAATAACTCTTAATTGTGGGTCACATAATAGAGGGTTTGTTGTCCCATTTAAGGCAATAAGTTTTAAACCTGGTTGGACAGTTTGACTTTTCCTTGGTTTCTCTTGAAGTGTAGTAACAGTCACATATATATATATATATATATATATATATATATATATATATATAACCCCTGAAGAGTGAAGCGATTCACGAAACAGGCTTGTCGGGAAATGTAGTTACGTCCCCTTTTTTCCTCTCATAATATTTATCCTGCTCTGCTTCAACGTATTGAGCACTGTTCCACGCGAAAATCGACTTGCAGACTTCCTATATATATATATAGGAAGTCTGTAAGTCGATTTTCGCGTGGAACAGTGCTCAATACGTTGAAGCAGAGCAGAATAAATAAATATTATGAGAGGAAAAAGCGACGCAACTACATATCCCGACAAGCCTGTTTCGTGAATCGCTTCACTCTTCAGGGGTTTAAACCCCTGAAGAGTGAAGCGATTCACGAAACAGGCTTGTCGGGATATGTAGTTGCGTCGTTTTTTCCTCTCATAATATTTATTTATATATATATATATATATATATATATATATATATTAGGGATTACGTTTTGAGGGGTTTTACCTCAGTCAGTGTGAGAAAAAACTGAAGGAAAAAAATATAAACAATTATAATGGTATGCAAAACTACATTAAGCTTAATGAAAAACTATTGGGTAACCTTTGGTTAGCTTAATCAAGCTTTGAACAACCCAGCCCAGAAACATGTACTGTTGTGTAGCCTTGCTACTATATGCATGTACATATATAACTGACATGTTCTTTAGATGAATAGGAATGCTTTCAGTTCTTCTCACCCAAGCTTCAGTGCCTGAAAAACAGTTTGAGCTCACCAAAATTTAAAGATGTGAGGATAAGTTTGAGAGCTAATCACTCAGAAAGCACGCAAAAAATGTTACTAGCTGGTACTATTGCTGCATGGTCATGCCAAGTTTTTTCCTTTTAATGTATAGTTCATAATTATATGGTTTTTTTTTCAGGTTAACCACTTTCCTGGTACATTTCAAATTGGGAGAAAAGACAGATTGTGGAGAAATCTCTCCCGAATGATGGTGCATCACGGAAAAAAAGTATGTTCATCAGAAACTATTTACATGTGGTACTTTAAATCATTTACAAAGAAGCTGGGTTCTAACAGAATGTGAAAATCTGTACACTTAATCCTTTAACTCCTAGATCAAATTTGTAACTTGAATCTGTCAACCATACAGTTCTTTTAATGTTAGTTCAGAGAATTTATATTCTTTATTTTCAAGCATCATGTAATATCTGGTTGATATTATATTGATATTGTAAGGAAAATTCTGTCTTGGTCATTCATGGGAGTTGAAGGGTTAACTGATTTGTGACAACACAAGAAAGGAAAGCAATCATAACCCCTTTTAACCAGAGACAATTTATTGGTACATTTTTTTTGGAAGCCAACTCTCCAAGACTATCTGGGAGTGTGATGTAAAATGATTCCCTACACAGGGAAGCCATTCTCAGACTGGTAAAATCTGCACTGAAAAATCTAGGATTCTGCATTTGAGGATGCATGGTTGCATTTTTGAGATTTTCTTTTCTTCTCTTTTTTCTTTTTTTTTTTTGCAATTTGGGGATTTTGTGAGGCCATTTTGTCAACCCCTGAGTTCACTAGGGAGATGCAAATTTTAAGTTAACCTAGCAGTCAAAAACAACTTAACATTGTTGGAGTCTTGTCACACCCCTTTTCCAACCCCCATAATTGGAGATGTGTTTAGTTTAAGTCAAATTGTATGGTGTAGAGCAAATTATAATGCAGAACATCATGTACTGATGCCAGGTGTTGAGCTGAAGTCGAGGAATTGAGCTCATTTGGCTTAAGCTTGTATCCATAATGATTTTGTAGAACATCCCTCGACTAACTGGCACCTTTGTTGACATTTCTACAGGATTATGGTTTTGTTCCCCAAACTTATGTTCTGCCTTATGACATGAAACTACTGAAAAGGGCTTGGGATGATGCCAGCAGTCGACAGAAATGGATTCTCAAGCCAGTAAGAAGCATTTTCTTGCCTTTGTTATATCTAAAAACTCTGGATTAATCTAACAAGGCTTAGTTTAATTGTGTGCAGTTTTGTGACACTACTGTAACATCTTCTCTGGAGTAGTATCAATGTTTTCCATATAAGCCAGTTACTAGTAACTACAATTTCAAGTAAAACATCATGCTGTTGCCTGTTAAGGGTTTTTTGTGTTTGAATGGTCCCCTTTTTGTGACTGCCACTGAATTTAAGGCATTTCACTACTGTGCAAACTTGAGCTGATCTTTATCACAAGGATCCATACTATAGCCTCATGTGCATATGTTATAACCCTTTTGGAGGTATGAAGGGTGACTAACATGTCAAGACTGCACTTAATCAACTAACTGGCAAGTCTTTGATTTGCATGGTATCGTTAGATTTTATAACTCTTTAACTCCCAAGATCTGATCGTTTATTCTCCTCTCCAGCTGCTACACATTTCCTCTTATATCAGTTATGAAAATTTAGTGTTAGATTCTTCTGCCTGATAAGTTGGAGTTTCTCAATACCTGTTTAATTTGCAGGATAATATATGAATATCATAGGAAGAAGTTCTTTGTCAATCACCTCAGAGAGTTAAAGGGTTAATCTGATTTTTTCATGTACAGCCTGCTTCAGCCAGAGGGATTGGAATCCGTGTCATTCACAAGTGGAATCAAATTCCAAGGAAGAGACCTGTAATTGTTCAGAGGTATATGCTGTATATCTCCCTCTGAGTTTATTAAACTAGTATGTAACTTGTGTATGTACTACTCAGTATTGTAGGGATAATACTCAACAATAGCAACCACAATGCTCTAGTACATGTACGTTGTGTATACATGGTAGAGAGATGCCACAACCTTTGAAGATTTCAAGTCCAGAGTTTCATTACTCATGGGTGACAGTTACCTCTGCAGTGAGGCTACTGTGACTGCCTTTCCTCCCACCCCCTCCCCCTTAAAGATGAAGCAGACCCCCCCAGAATAAATTCAAACATTTAATCAGGCTGTAATTCTCACATTGCTTCTGCAGTGGTACTTCCTTGTTGAATTGTAATTTAGCTGCACAATGCACGATAGTTGTTATAGACTATAATTGGTTAAGCTCTGATGACTGAGTGAGCACTAAGTATGTTTGTTAGAAGACTAGTCATTAATAATGGTAGTAGGACTTTGTGTCATCCAATGCAGTTTGTAATCATAGAAGTGATTTACAAAATCGGAGGACCGCAAAATGTGAGTCCGATTTGCCACTCACAAGTATGGTTACAGACAGAATCGGATGACTCAAAGTCCTGTTACCAATTAATCATAACAGTTATAATTTCTGAAAACAACAAATACATTCGGACAAATATGTGCTGGAGAGACAATGTTTAAGTGGAAAATTCCCAAACTTTTGGAAATTCCACAATTTTCCTAAGATAAGTGGTTGTTGCTATGGTTATTGTGATCAATTCTGTGATTGGTGGATTTGACTGAAAGGACTAAGAATGGTTGGCTGCTTCAACTGTCAGATTGCAGGTGTCTGATTACAGCCAATTATCCGATTACAACTGTACCGAATATTTAGTGAAGAATAAGGCAGCTAATGCACCAATCATATTTGAAGAAATTGTAACAATTTGATTAATATCATCGTCGTTGTGATTTTTAGGTACCTTGCAAAACCGTTTCTCATCAATGGAAGCAAGTTTGATCTTCGAATCTATGTCTACGTCACTTCATACGATCCACTTAGGATTTATGTCTTTGAAGATGGGCTTGTGAGATTTGCAACATGCAAGTAAGTTTTCAAAGACTCAAACATGACATTCAAAAAATAGATGTGTGCATGGTTAAATAGTTGTGAAGGTTTATTTGTCCAGCGCTACACTGTACACCTCCTAAGATTTCCATCTCCATTTTGTTTTCAAGGTACTCATCATCCATGAAAAGTTTAAGCAACAAGTTCATGCATCTGACAAATTACAGCATCAATAAAAAGAATGAAGGAGCTTACCAAGCGAATTCAGATGAAACTGTTTGTCAGGGACACAAATGGTAGGATAAAGTAGTGTTGTTCATTCACTTGTACATGTACTTACTGTAATAAGCTTAAACCCCTAAACCCTAACAGTGATTGTTCTAATTTCTCCTAACAGTATCAGCCCTGAATCAAGTGTAAAGGTCATGAGATAAGGGAAATGATCATCAGTTTAAGAAGCTCCTGTTTGTCAAACAACTTGTATTCTCGTCAGTACCACAGGAAATGTAAAGAGAACAGTGTGGAGAACGTAGTTACTAATTTTAAAGTGTAAACGGTGAATTTGTTCAGCTTTGCAAAGAAATGTGTTGGGGTAGAGCAAGCTCAGTACAGACGATATTCCGACGCCGTCGTCAAAAAATTATTCTTTCTGTCAGTACTTTCAAGTTATGGTACATTTACATTTGGAGTACATTTGTATTTAATTTGATTGCAACCTTTCTCATAGATAAGCTGAAAAATAAACATTCCATTTTGCTAATTAAACGTGACGCTTCTGTTTGTAGGAGTTTGAAAGCTCTTTGGGGTTACATGAAACGCATGAACATCAACCATGTTCATGTTTGGGAGACAATAAAGGATTTGGTTGTCAAAGCCATCATAGCGTAAGTAACAGAAAGTGCTGTTGTTGTAAAGTAATACTCACTGGAAAGTTAGTAAAATCCATCTTGACAAGTACAGCTGCACAATAGTCCATAGGTTGAAGTTTCTTTAGTAACTCAACTAGTTTGGACTTGCGTTAGTTTGGCCGTAAAAGGCAGAAGCCGCCAGCATTATAGAATAATTTCCTGCGAAGATGGCGTAGCGGTAAAAACAAGATACCGACACGTTACTCATCAATTTTAACGTTTTTTGAGCAGCAAATGTCTTATTACGTACGGAGATGATAACTTTGAAAACTTTGTAGATAATAATGAACGCATGTAAATTATCACTATAGATACATTTTTGTCGCATTTTGTTGAAAACTTGAACCCTGTCATTACACTGTGCTTGTCCAAGAATCTGAAGGTCTATTTTTACTTACTTCTACATTTTCAGCGTTTTCGCCGTTTCTTTAAATCTTAACATGCACGAGAAAATTTAGTGAAATTGAACTTCTTCATGTGAATGTTTCAGGTCTGACTCAGCGGTAAACACCATGGTGAAACAGAATGTGAGAAAAAGGTAAGAGACTGCAGTTGGTCTTGAACAACATTTGTGCATTTTGAACAGAGTTTAGTTATAGTACGTACGCTATGATTGGTCTATTTACCGCGCTGTTTATAGCTGTATGCCCTCCTCAATTCAAAATTTTGTTTGAATTGATATCTTCGCGCACTATTTGAACCCAGAGATGTAACAAGTATAAATATTAACCTGATTTCGAGTGTAATTTGGTGCTCATAAGCACTTGTAAATTTTTCAAAGACAACAGAATTGCATGAGCTCATAGGGCAAGTGCTATTTGTAATCTTTGAAAAATTTGCAAGTGCTTATTACACCAAAAAGAAAAAGTTATGAAAAAGAAAAATTATGTAATTACTTGGTTGGTAATATACTTGAAAAAACATTGCAGAAAGTCGAGACAAACGAAATTTGAAAGCGTGCGCGCGCCATTTGTAACTTGCACTTGTGCTACAACTTTGCACTCGTGTTACATGAGAATGCGCTCGTTTTCAGCTAATCAGAAGCGCGTATTTTTTTTTAATGTACTTCTAAACTACTAATTACTAAACTCGTTTTCATGGTCCGAACGATAAGTTACAAAATCTGTTTTTTTTTCCCCGCTGGAACATCTAACTCAGTCAGTATTACTAACTGTAATATCTTTACTACCATCTACAACATTGTCTAGATCTTGCTGTCATGAGCTTTTTGGATTTGATGTCATGTTGGATGAGACCCTTAAACCGTGGCTACTAGAAGTGAATATATCTCCAAGGTAATTCACGCATTTGTCATGTTCAGAAATATTGACCACGCGAGAGATACCAGTATTCAACCGAAATTCACATACTCAAGAGATTGAAATACTGACCTCGCGAGGGATATGTATCCAACTCAAAAATTTTCATTCTTAAGGGATTGTAGTTCTATGGTGTTCTTGTGAACCCATTCAAATAATTGTTTTCGCATGCAAAAAAATTTTTTTTCCATGGTCCGCCAGACATTGGAACATAGTAAGGGACAAGAAGGCTGCCATTTATAATTTTTCTCATCGAAAACGAGGACGATTTTTTAACTTATTTTTCAAAATGCTTTTAATGCACATCTTGTGTTAATTGATTTATTGCGGGACATTTACGAGCATTCGTTTTGTTTACTCTTTGTCTGAAGTGCAATAAGATGCGCAGCAAGTTGTGTAAAAGGGTGTGCAATAGGATGCGCAGTAAGATGTACAATTAGGTGCGTATTGAGATGCGCAGAAAAATGCGCCTTCGTTAATCGAGTAAACTTCGTCAACTTCCTCCCCAGTCTTCACTCCACCTCTCAACTGGACCGTAACATCAAGGGACAGATGATAAAAGACTTGTTAAACCTGGCAGGGTTTTGCATCCCAGAAAACCTGATCACAACCTCAACTTCAAGGTCAGTCTAACTATTGGAATATCAGAGAGAAATTGAAATTACGAGCTATTTGCAAATGATGAATAGTGAGGCACGTGACTCCGCCAACATGTAATTTTTCAATATGGTTGCATTGTGCAGCGCACATATGAGTATAATGTATTATGAACGTGAAATTCCTGTTTGGTTTCAGCACTAGTAACATGAACCAGTTTGTTCAAGATAAAGCTGTGACGGGTCTTTCTTCAGATGAGAGAGGAAAGGTGAATATATGTTATGGATGGCAAATACCTACAGATATTTAGAACAACATGTTTTTGTGTCAGTTTGCCAGTCTTAATTTACTGTGACAACGTCATATATATAATGGTAATAGGACCGAGTGGAGTCCAATACGGTCGGTAATCATACGGGTGTTTAACAAAATTGGACGACCGCAAAGCGGGAGTCCAATTTGTCAATCAAGAGTATGATTACAGACAGAATTGGACGACAAGAGGTCCTGTTACCAATCAATCATAACGATTACAATTTCTAAAAACAACAAATACATTTAGGTCAAATACCTCCAGTGGAGACAACGACTAAAGTAAAAAAAATTGTAGTATAGTAATAGTATAGATTTATGTTTCGAGAAGGGAAATAGTTAGACATGCTCTATTGAGTGCTTTTGTATTGGAGATTGCTGCTGACTTAATACTTCTCCTTCACTGACCCCAACATATTGTTTAATCATTTTACTTATGAGCCTGCCTTACAGATTATTAGAACGTACAAATGATGTTAAAAAGTACTGGCTATAGATACATTCCATTATTTGCGAAAATTTAAGAAGGAATTGACTTCGAACCAAGTCAAACTGTTCTTTTGTGTGTCGTCTTAATTTGTTTAAGTGTTGGACGTTATTTTTCTTGTGTTTCAGCATGCGTTTTATGTTCAACGTCATCTAGACGAGGTAGGAACACATTTTATAACGCTTCCTTCAAATTCCTTTCTTTTAAATGATTGCATTTGGAAATCCCACAATGCCTTTATTATTGAAATATCTTGCTGACAGTTACACAACATGTTTCATGAACTCGAAATTACGCCGCAGAGAGCGCTTAAAGTCTGCATCATTGAACAACAGACACTCGACCCTTTTACTGGCTTTTCTAGGATGCATCAGTATGAATTGCGTCAAAACCCAAACGAAAGTTACCACACAGCCAGTCAAAAGAAAGAAATTAAAAAAAAAAAAATGTCGCAATGAACTAATAAGACAATTTACGGTGAAATCAAGGAAAATGCTTCGAGCGCGGAAAGGTAAAAGGGACCAAGTAGTTGGGATTTGTGTTAGTGAACATCAGCATCTTGTTATTCAAGAGAGTATCGAGTTTTCTAAAACAATCACATAGCTTGTTGGAGCGTAAGGAACATCAGTTAAATCCAATGCAATCTCTAGCTGTGTTCGTCACTTACTTTGAATTACCCGAATTTTGAATTTATTGTTATGGAATTTTACTAATACAAACTTGTAATCAGTCCACTTCTCTTTCATTCATGTCTTTTAGCGCACGAAACAGTCAATCCTTGACATCTTGACACCAGACGACATTAGAATGCTTATGGAGACAGAAGATGAGGTACTCTGTACATACGAACTTTTGAACATATTTTTGTTTCCTTTATTCTTCGTAGTGAAAAGCAAAACCTATAAATTTTTTTGCTTATTGTGATGATTATGCGTGTGTAAAAGAGAAAGGTGAATTCATTTTATCCTTTATAAGAGACTGCCATGCATTCGAGAAAGTGAAATTTGCCGTAATGTAGCATAGCTCGAGCGTTTTTATTTTCCCTCACAGAATAGTCGAAGAGGATGCTTTCAGAGAGTTTTTCCATCCATGTCGTCCAACAAGTATTTAAGATTCTTTGAGTCTCAGGTGAGGATAATTTTACGTACAAACAGTCATTACTACCTCATTAAACTACGGGCAGTCCCTGCTTGTTGCCGAAGTCCGTCGCGCGACCAAAAGAAATCAGAGAAAAAAAGGAAGATTTTAGCGCGCCGCGCGGATTTATGTAGTAGGTACTACTTATAGTGTGTGCCACTCTCAGAGGTCCGAGCGGTGCGCCAACCATTTTCTTTCAATCACTGTTTTTTTTTCCCCGAATGGTGCGACGGACTCCAGCAATTTTGCTCCTTTTTAAAATGACTTTCTCTTCCCTCCATCCTTGATCGAATTTTTCTGCCAATTTCCTTATAGAGATATTACAACATTTTGTTGGACGAATGGACAAGAAAATACATGAGAGAAGGGCGGAGCACAGTCCTGGGTAAGTTTAAATTCAGGTAGAAAAAGCTAGGTCACCGTAATGTATATTCGGAAAAAGTAAACTACGTTATTTGCAGTCTATGTATGTATTTGCGATATTTAGACTGGCTGGCTCAGTGCAGCTCAGAGCTGGTTTAAATGGGGGCCTGTTTAAGACCAGACCACTACACCGGGAGTCGTGCGTTCCACAACGTGAGCTGAACAAGTGTAGTCCGTGTCACTCTTTAAAATTCTGCGTCTTTTTTGTTGCCCTTATGGTCTTAAGTTTTTTCTTGTTATGTTTCTTACGATTCTACACTGTAAATGTTTATTTAAATTGGTCTTTTTTCTTACACAGGAATCGCTGTTCTCCAAGCACTTGGTGAAAAGAAACTTCATATTGGGGCAACCTCGGATCCAACACATCAAGTGAGGCTTAATTTTATTAATTGATTTATTTGTTTTCGCAAAGAAAGTAATCATTCCTTTAAAGATTTTGAAAATAGTTCGAAATTCTATTTGGATTACTGACTGACTGATTGACGACTAACTGATTGACCGATGGACTGACGACTGACTGACCTGCTGTGTAAACCGGTTAGCTGGCCTGCTTACTGACTGACTGACAGACCGACCGACTGACTGAATTGATTGAATCGGATCCATCGAATGAATGGTTTTATCAAGTGACTTATAGACTGAAGAACTGACTGGCTGATTGATTGATTGATTGAGTAATCGATTGATAGCTCGATCACAAGATTTAAGGCTTTATCGATTAATTGATTGAGAGACGCCTTTTCCTCACAGTGGAATTGCCCTCAAGGTATAACGTACAGGTCCTCTTCCGCTCCAGCTCTCAGTTTGGACCACGGACTCATCAAATCAAGGTCGGTGTAAAAATTAAATTCCAACTTAATGTCAATTGACAAAAACTGCATATCGCTGTTTGTTTGTTTTGATATTCCTGATGATAACATTTATTTAAAGTCAATTTATAGGTTGCCCTCAATCTGAAACACCATGTCACTCTCCGTCCATTCTCAGTGTTCTACATGTTCTTGAGCGTTTCTTCTTTCTCTCAGACGCTTCTCAGCACCAGCTGCGAGAATAAAGGAGTGGAGCAACTCAAACTCTTCATCTACTTCTATTAGGTACATGCTGGAAAGGTGCTGCATGGTTTTTTGGGATTGGCGCAGTTTCTTTTATGTTGACTTTGGTCCTTTTTCTACGATGGGTTCTGATTATTCTCCTCCGTGCTCTGCACTACTTCACACACTACTTCCTTTGTTGTTCATCCTTGTTCCTCAGAAACTCATTCTAAGCTTGTTTAAGCTTTTTTCTAGAAGCTCTCTTGCCACTCTACTTCCTGGTTTTCGTGCTCAGATATCTGAGTTTGTTTGAAATGTTAAGCTTCTTTCTTTATTACAATTTCAAATTGTTTACAAGTTCGTATTTGCTATGTATTTACTCTGTAGTCCGCACACCTACTTTAAAAGCAACAACAGATCCATTGGTAATCAGAAGGACTCATTTCTCGCTTTAAGCTCTAAGTTGATTGTACTGCTCGCGCTGTTTCGAATTGAGATCATCACTGATTGTTTTGACTTTATTTTTCCTTCCTCACTGTTAGTAGGCTTTCCTCTCCTTCTTCAACTAAGACTATCAAAAGGTATTATGTCAGCAATTTTTCATATTCCTAAACATGTCCCATATGAATATATCCAAATTTGGTTGTACTACCTCAGCGCACTCGTTGCGTGAAAGTCTTCAAAGTTCAGTCTTAGTCCGGTTCTTTTCTCCCATGCAATTATTTCTCTCCCCTTTTTCCATTTCTTGCTTTTCACCTTTTTAGGAATAGCACAGCTTCCATCTTGAAAAATTCTCCGCGGAGAAAATCAGCTGTTACATCATTTAAGGGCAAAAGGTATTCTTTTTTCTCCCGGTCTTTCTTGGGACACTGGTTTTGAAAATTCATCACTAATTTCACATTACCTGTACGCATCTTTGCGACGAGGGGTGAGATTCTGATCGCACATTCCAGATTATTGAAGAGTTGAATGTGAAGAAAAGGAACTATCAGGATTCAATACGGTTAAGTTGCACGCGTTGTATCGACAGATTGTTACAGAGGAAAGTCATGAACAGGGTCATATCAAGGGTTCTCAGGAAAGGGATTTGTTTCGAAACATCTCCTTGTAGTTTAAGTCTGTCATTTTTCTCTTATCCTCAGAAGAGAAGTATCCGCATGGCAAAATGTGACAGTGACAAACGAAACTTTGTTCTTCTTTCTGAACCTTTTCCTACTCCTTAAATTTTGGATCCTCATTCTAGTTTGGCGATTTTTCCTCTACTATACTTTATTACTAATCTCGACTTCTCTTTCTTTACTTTCCTCTTTTTCTGCTGGCCGATACCCGGAAAAAGACGACGGTCCTGATGTTTTTCCTTTTTCGTCCTCTCTTACCCTCCATTTTGGGTACTCTAACTCTGTCTTTTCTTTTTGTTGTCCTCTCTTCTCCTCTCTTTATCAAATAGAAAACTTCGAACAACTCCACGATGTAAGTCAGCTCCTTCTTGTAGACGTAAGAATAAAGAAAATTCTGAAAGCTCTAACGAATCAGGGTAATATATAGTAACTTTCACTTTTTGTCTTCATCTTTTTCTTTCATTTCTACATCAAAACTCTAATCTCTGTAGTTCACTCTACACCTATTTTAGCTATTTCGTCCCATGTTCCTGTAAATTAATCGTTAATTCACAACTGACAATCAATGAATTTCGATCAATGAATTTCCTCATTGGCCTAAGAGACAATCTTGAAAACTGCAGTTTAGTTTTAGGTGTGCAAAGGTGATCTTAATAGAAAGTGGCACTTTGCTATACAGTTACATGTTCTCATAAACGCAGATGCACTTATGAAGTTTTTAGACCATTTTAACCCAACATTTACCCTAACCTGTTATCAGTTGATAGTCGTTGGGTTAGGGGAGGGGCAGGAGCGTATTTGCTTAGATACCAACAGTGATTCCAAGTTCAGTTTTAAAGAGTCAAAGCTACTTATGTAAAGTGAAACCGGTTCCTTTACTGAAACGACGATGGCCACGATGGCCATTAAGGCCCAGGGTGACCATCAGACCTACAGCTCAAACTTCCGCCAACCCAGGAGATCTTAGAACTTCATTCTAGGCCACATATACCACAGCAGTTTCAAAAGTAGCTTTCTGATATTTTGTCACAGCCAGCACTAAATAGTATTGTGTCAAGAACCACTATCCGTCTTTTTCTTTCCAGTGCTTCGGCTCCGGTGCTTCTGCCCAAAATAAAGAAGAAGTCAACAAAATCGCACACATCTAAGGTGGGTTTTTCTCAAACTTCTTGTAGAAAGTGCAATCTCTTTTTACTGAATACCCCGCTTATTCCATGGGAAGTCACTTCAGTTTTTTGAGCTCCTACTCACGATACGTTTGTCTTGCTACAACTGAATAACATACACTTGATTTCTACTTTGTATTTATGTTTATCTCCTACGTTAAACTTGTTTAACTCAATCGTCCTTAGTTTGGCTCCGTCCTCGTAGTTTTTCATCCTCTTCAAACATCGTGTTTGATTTCCAGGTCAGCCATTCAACTCTACAAAATCGCTCTAACCTAGAAAACTCTAACCGAACGTGCAAGATTCTTAGGGACTCTTCGCGCCGACTGACCTTACCTCAGATCAAAGAGCGTGAAGCAGTTAAAGCGATTTGTTGTACGGTTCTCTGTTTGTTAGTACTAACAGCACTGATTAAAACTTCGAAGAATTCATTCGCACCGTAAAAATAGTCAGTTAGCCACACATTCAGTTAGTTTACCGCTTACACAAGCCGTAAAGCAAACGAACCAACGGTCAAGCCTCGGTGAGGGTTACGGAGCTATTTTATGAACACGGAGCATAACAAATTACAAATTTTTTTCGTTATGAACACAGCCACGCTAACGCGCTGCCCTGTAGCTTTCATTCCAATGTTTTGTGACATCATTATGCAAAACTCATTTTTTATGAAGACTGCCAAATATTAGCTCGGTGAGATTTAAAAACGATTAATAGGTAATGATAAACCCCGCTGGAGCAAGGAGGGTAGAAGGCATTTTCCTCTTTTCCACTGGACTTTATCATCACACCTCCGCCCACGGGTTTCTATGATGGCCACCAGCGCCACGAGGAAGACTGAAGACCAGTCAAACCTTGCATAGGGTAATTTAGTATTATCAATTGAATTGATAACGTAAATTAGCCACCGTGATGAGTTTCGAAGATAACATTTCGAGAATTAGCCCTTCATCAGAGCGAATGGAGGAATTGTGGGTTGTGTGTATGTGTTTATATGAAGACCTTGCATAGCCTAACATTCGTAGCCTAACATATCATGAAATTGTTATGCTTGATTTTCAACTTATTCTTTTTTTTCATCAGATGTCTTCCAGCTCGGCCACATCCTCTGAGCGAACCCGTCAGATGCTGAGAGCTCGGATGAAATCGAACATCTGACTAGTGCAGGATAGAGGGCCGCTTACTGTGACAACAACTACCATACCCTCTCTCCCTAGTATTAATCCACAGCCAGTGTGTATCGGAGGGGAGGGTGAAGAGTGCATCCAGAGCCGACATGCGCATTGCACGATTGAGACGTGCCCACAGAAGCGAGTTCTTCATGAACTGTTGATTCATCTGAACAGACTCAATTTAAGCTCAGATAGATATGCTTGAGCGTTTAATTGATTCATTTCGAACTGCAAGCGTTCTTGTAATATAAATGTGCATATTCATATTTTACGTATACAAAGAGCGAAAAGTGAGAATAGACGTAATTTTCACGAGACATTTAACCCGTGTGGGGTTAGAGCAAACGTGAATCAAAAAAATCATCACTCTATCGAAGTTCTGTTTGCAAATCTGGAGCAGAAATATTTATAGCCAAAGCTTTAGAGAACTGCAATAAGGAAAGAAAGGTATTGTTGAGATGATGATACCTTATAAATAATTATTTTCTTATGCATAGTTTCCAAACACCGAATTTTCTTCATGATATTGAACAGATGTATATAACAGTAAATACTTCTTAATGCTTGTAAATCCAATTTCCATGATTGACACAACTTTTTACCATATTCTATCTGTTGCAAGTTTTTCTACGTATTTATGTACTAAATGGAAAAACAATTTCCACAGAAAAAACTAATTGATTTAACTACAAAGGAATTGATAACGAATTAAAAACGCTGCATTTCATCGTGAAACACATGATATAATACAATTATTTTAACAAATAAAAACGATTGTGAAGAATCGTTCGTTGAACTATAATGTGTGCAGGGGAGAAATTTCAACACAGAGATTCCGAAATGTGTCCATCGAGGAACAAAAGTGAATAAGCTTAACACTCAAGTCTCCAAAATGGTTTACCTGCCAAACCTTCGAATGAAAAAAGGAAAGAAATTGAAAAACAAAAGTAAAATAGTGTAAAGAGAATTAATCTTGTGCATGTTGTTAACATAAACTTGTGACGTTTCACGGAAGAGGCTGAACTGGTATATTCTCGACAAAAATATTTCAAACATGGTTGAAGAACTAGAACCAGTACAAGGAAAAGAAAGGTTTTCGTACCATCCAAGCAAGCACAAAAGCGTATTATGAGCGAGCTTATGCCGACTCATCGACTCCTACGTACTTGCCTTAAAACGGATAAAGTGGAGGTCGTTTTTCCGCTCGGATTCGGTGTTGATCCAGTTTTGAGTCCATCTCTTTTCATGTACAAGTCCTCTCGCCGTAATGGAGCGTTATATGTTGGGATCTTGAATTATAATGCATCGCAAATTGTAAGTTTCGATCGTAAGTTAGTAACTTGCGATCAAAAACTCGAATGATCCTTAAAAGCCACAACATTTTTTTTTTATTTTTTTTATTTTTTTTTTAATAGTATCTCTTTATTGCGCCGTACTCTCCAAAGGGAGATGTTAGTCTACTTACAATAAAGTTCAATAATACAATATGAATAACATAAAACGATAACTTTACCATATCCGAATACAATACGTTGATTGAAAAGCTATTACTGCTAAATTACATTTGTGCATTGAGACTTTGATACATTAAATGAGGAACTATAACAAAAGTGAAAAAAGAAAAAGAACGTAAGGAGTATTGTTTGAAGTGTTTTGGTGAGAGTTTCACTGTTGGCAGGTGTACCACTAAGTTCTTATTTATTTACTTTTTTATTATTTAAATTTTGTTTTTTATTTTATTTTGTATTTTTTTAAAGAGAGTTGAGATATTTTAACCGCATTTGTCAGGAGCTAGTTATTGAGTCTGATTGAGTCTTTTTCCCCACAAAAGCAGCATTCTTCGTCAGTTTTAATACCATATTTGAATAGTTCTCTCTTTGTTACCACGATTCTATGAATAAACTTAAATTGAAATTCTTTTAGTTTTGTTTCTTTGCACAGCTTTCGTATTGACTTAAATATCTTTGCCCATTTTTCATCATTCAAAGAAAGTATTTCGCTCCATCTTTTAGGACCTGCCTGACCTCCAGTGTGGATTTTAGCAATTAAAAGATTATAGAAATCCCTTGATTTGGCTTTATCAAGGTTGAGCGTGAAATTTCCGTTGAGGTGAAAAAGATGATCGTTACTTGTGAAAAACTGATTATTAACTGATTCTATTTGTCTTGCTTTCGACTGTAGCCGGTCAGGTATGGCACTAATAATCTGAAAAATACTGGAGGAAGTTTGTCTTGCAAGAAAACTTTCCTTTAAATTCCTGGAATGAGAGATAGCTACCATCCTCCTTCAACAAGTCTTTGATAGAAACGATTCCCTTCTCCATCCAGTTGCTGAGATAAACGGGTGTTTGATCATCATCATCACCTTAAAAGCCACAACATGAAGTGACAGTCCGTCCAGTACTGGATGATTGATAATTAGTTAACACATGAATAAAAAGGGTAATGGCGATGCTGCGTCATGGGGTATTACAAGATAATTTGGTTCTGTCAACTGACGCTCTTACGAAGGACAAACGATGTAAACGTTTGCCTTAGAAACTCTTTTCAGCAGCCAATTTACATTATCAACTCAGTTGATAAAACCAATTTATCTGGTTTTTAAATATTCTGCGTGATTGCGCAAAAATGTCGCCATCTTTACCGAGAGAACCGATAGTATTTACTGTACTATGATGTTTTTGATGGAATATTTCGGGGAATAAAATCCTTCATTACATTTCTTTAAAAATCACCTCTGATCGTTGCAATCTGATAGACAAATCGCACCATTTTATTTCCTAAATCGCATCTTTATCCCAACCAATGAGACCGCTCTACTAAAAATACAACAACCGATCAAATTTCAAGACTTGTTTAAAGAAATCAATCAAATTGCTGGAACATGAGAGAAATTTTGTATTGAGCGACTGAATCTTGTGATTTCAAAATGGATGTAATAAACTATATAATAATCAATTTTCAAGACTTGTTAAAGAAATCGATCAAATTGCAGGAAAATGAGAGACATTTTGTATCCAACGACTGAATCTCGTGATTTCAACAAATTTGAAATAAAGTGGTAGTTAATTACCATAATAAATTTCGTTATTGCGGTGATCTTAAATCCTGCTGTTTTTTCCTGCGTGTTAAGTTGTCAAAGTCTCAAAGTCTCAAAGTCGTGTGCGGCAAAACAAATTAGTGGCGTTGCTTTTGTTTCTTATTCAGTAGCCTGCGGTGAAATAATCAACCAGCCATGTCGTTTAAATCTTTTTCTGAAATTTATTTAAGTCATCGTAGCGGCAAAGGGTCCGTAAGATGCGAAAGATCGTTTGAAAAAAAATTGATGGAGCAAAATTTGAAAGAGATTACTGTCCACAAAACGGGGTAACTCCTGGAAAAATCGTCTTAAGCGCGGTACTTAACAAATAGGTTCCAAGTTGCCGTGCGTCTGTTTAGTAATAGATCACAGAGGACGTCAAAATGTGGTAAGAACAAAAAAGTGACACACTCGGCTGCGCCTCGTGTGCCACTTTGTTCTTACCACATTTTGACGTCTTCTGTGATCTATTACTGAACAGAAGCACGACAACTCGGAATCTATTTGTTTTATACAATAAAGAATTTAAAAAAGTGTTAATGATGACGAAATACGTCTGTCCTCCAATAGATCATAAGTGACAACCAATTAAAATGCGTGCATAACTGAGCTTATTATATAATTTAGAATAGACCATGAAAAACTATATGTCACTGTGGAGCTTATAAAGTATAAATTCTGAAAATAACAAAAGCTGGTTTTCACAGTATTTGTTTTGGCAGGCACACAACTTAAAAGCTTTCTCTATCTAAAAAGCGAAAAAAAAAAAAACGAAACTTGAAAGAACTTTGACCAGTGTTTTGGTCTGTATTCAGTTGTGCGTGTAAATCATGCATGGATAGAAAACATATTGCAATTTCGATGTTTCGTCCATTATTCACTCGTGCTGTGGTATTCAGAGCATCACAATACACCTAAATACACCCATCGTCATCCCTAAAAACTAATTATTTCCCTTCAGTGCGTCTAATTTGAAGATATTAAAATTACGATTGATAAACCAGTAAGTTCTTCTCTTCTCTAACAGTGTTTCAAAAACTCCACACAGCATCTATAAACATGATCGAACATTTTTTCATAATCTGAAATGTCTCCAAACAAAGGATCGTCTATATTCGACTCTCCTTTGGGGTCATATGTTCCAAACAGTTTAACTTCCGCTCGCGTAGTGCCATCATTTGGCCTAAAAATTTCATTCAGATCTTGTACATTGCCGTTATCAAAGGCCAATATTACATCGAAATGACGAAAATCATCTTCCTTTACTTTTCTTGCTCGGTGGTTGCTGGCAATTCCATGTTTCGTCAACACTTGCAACCCTCGTTCGCTCGATGGGCGTCCTTCACGGTAAACATCAGTTCCAGCGCTTTCAATCTCCCAACCGTTCCTATCTTCACGTTCCTGTATAAGGTGCCTTAAAATCGCTTTAGCTGTAGGAGAACGACAAGTGTTCCCTCGACAAACGAACAGGATTTTTCGATATTTAGAATCCGCCATCTTAGATTGCAACAAGGCGAATAAATGGTAAAGTGCCTCTATCCTAATTTGCAGCTTGTTAGAAGATTAAATTATTCAAATTACTCATCGCGCATGCACTGGGAATCAACCAACTTGAAAACATCTGGACACTCTTTCTTTCAAGTTCTCGAATAACGACAGCTATAAACACCGAATTTTATTCAAATCGTTCGAATCCTGTGATGTAACTAACGAAAAGTTTATGTTTCTTTTCAAATGAAGGATACTTATTGGGTAAGAGTGCCTTGCACCACAAACGTGCAGGGGAACAAAGAGGAAAGAGCTCGGAGAACAGAAGGCAGAAGCCTAAGAGGGCGGGAGAAGGGATCTACATGTGGGCGGGAAGCGGGAGCAGAGGCACTCGTTTGTTGTTTCTTACTGCTCATCAACCAGTGAAAAACCTGTACCCAGCAAAGGGATTTTTTTCCACTTAATTCCAATTAAGGTCTACCGAAGCATTAAAGATAATTTCATTCGATAGGAAACATAAAATTGAAGTCAGCCGGTGTAATTAGATACCTCTCGAAGTCGGTTACGTCATACGTCATGAATGAGAGAACATGAAACATGCAAACAGTGTCAGCAGTTGGAATTATTCGGCGAGCAAAGCGAATTAGGTCCAACATCGTCTAAGGCCATATTGATCAGCCTCAGTATTTTTATATATGGCAATGAAAAATCAGTCCTCGTTTCTGCAAATATTTATGTTACAATCACATAATCACATAGCTGAATCATACCGCTAGTGAATAAATGTATCATAGAATGTATGAACAACTTTTAAAACTTTTTGCAGCGGTTTTAAAAAGATCTCAATTTCTCAAAGAAATCCGAGTAGTTTTAAAATGTGACTTCGAGACCAGCCGAATAATAATGTGCAATAACAGTCTATCAGCGCTTAATTAAACTGAACGCTCAAAAATGCAAACGGTTTAACAATGGATGAGTAGTGACTTGAATCATTCGTTGGAGCCAGCTTTCATACAGCTCAAGACAACGGCTGCTTCCGGCGAAGAGCGAAAATTTAACATGATGGATATGCAATTAGTTCAATTAATAGTCCTTTTAATCAAACCGAAGACAGGAGTGATACAAAGAGGGGCGGGAGTTGGGAAACAAAGGGTTGCAAAAGAACTAGAGATGGGAGAACGTGGTACGGGAAGTTGGAAGCTGTGGGGCAAGAGTCGTATTCGAACTTCAACGAAATCAAACAAAAAAGAAGAACATAAGGGAAAACAAGAACAAATTCAGCAAGTGGTAAGATTTACTGATTATATTTCAGTTTCCACTAAATACAAAAAATTTACACTTTTCGTTTGCGGGCAAGAGTTCCATTTTGCCCGCTTGAGTAGCCAAGCAGAGCAAAGGATTCACAGCATCTCACCCGCGTGCTCTGCTAGCAATGAATTAATTAGCATTTACTGACAAGTTTAATTTGATCTCCGAGGATGATTATACTCATTTTTTTCCATCTAAATTTATCACGCGACAAAGTTCACCGCAGAAATTGGTCTTGTTTGAAAACTGTCACGCAGGAAACAACAGCCGAATAAAATACTAAATTTGATTAATGAAACATTGGACAAGAAAAGCACAAGTGCTCAAAACTACTTAAGCAAACATTGGGCCTATCACAGCACTAACTGTCCACGCATTACGCTGAAAAGACGTAATAGGAACACCATGATTAAAATATAAAATGACGCACATACGTGTGAGAGAGACTGGATATCAACCCCTTTCGCACACACAAGAGAATCACATCAGTTCAACTTCTCCTCAAAATATCCATACATTATCCAGTAAATAGGTAATGAGAATCATAAATAAATATCTCAGCTTATCGCTGTGTCAGACGTGTCACCTTGCCATGACATAAAACAATATTTTCTTCGCATTACAAAGAGATATATGGCAGTTACAATGTGCAATTTTATTAACACATCTAAAGAGGTGAGGACCACAAGCTGGTTTCCAAATAGGCATCACATCTCTAGCTAAGCCTGGAGCCATCAATAAAGTTCCTACATGATCAATGATGTAGTACTTATTTTCCAAGATAATTTCAAAACTGCATCGCATTAGTTCAATTAAATTCCAACGCATCAAAAGTTAATAAATTGAGGCTATAAAAGCTTTCATTTTGGGCATAAAACTTTAGTCTTAAGTTACATCATGCCGTGTGGAAAATAAAGGCATTGTGCTTATTATGTTAATTGCATGATTATAGATGCAAAAGACTTAGTCTGTAAACTTAGTGTGATTTTAAATTATGATTACTTTGCGTCCTAAACCATCAAGCCGAGTTGCTACTGCAATGCGGCCCTCAGTGGTCACTGCCATCCCCAGCAGAGGAAGGGACTGTCCCATATTGACAGGAGTACTTCGTACAAACTCACCATCTTTGGTGTAAATTTCTATATGCAAGATGTCTGTATCATTGTCCTTACAACCGACCACCACGACATGTTGACTTGCCCTGTGAAATGCAATTCTTGAATACACCATAGATATTTGCAGATCAAACGTGTTTAGATGGTCACCTTGTTCGCTAAATATGTCAACACGTGACGGATGCTCTTGTACCACCATAACTCTGCCATCACTTACAGTAGTGATGTCGTGGGGGCTCGTCAAGATTTGTTCTCCAAAACTGCAAACAAACTGACCATCAGTCTCATAAACATCCACAATATGATGTTTCCTTCCCCATTTAATCTTTAGTACCATCACTGTACCACTATCACTGACTGACAGTTTACACGAGTAAAATTTATAGCTCATTATCCTGACGCGAAACTTGTGATGATAATCAGCGGTTTTGTTAAACTTAAAAATCCAGTATGGGCCCTCGCCACTCTTTTCTGTGACCATAACATAAATGTTGTCATTCATGTCTGTGGTTAGCTGAACCGCCCAGTTCCATAGCTCTTCACCGCTGTCATCAATAAGAGGAGGAAGTCTTAAACATTGCACAAACTTGCCACTGCTATCATACACCTTGATTGTCGATTCATTCTCTGTTACAATATATTGCCCGCTTGAGTTGGTAGCGATATCAAGCGGACAATCATGATCAAGTATCCATGGTACACTACAGTTCTCCATACCCTGTTTACAAAGTATTTTTGTTACTCTCCGGTCTCGCAACAGATCAACTTTCTCCTTCCCTGTATCAATCATGGGCAATGGTGGCAATAATCCTTTTGCAAATGGTTCATTTGTAAATGGTTCTTTAACGTGTACTGTTTGTATGACATCGTAGACGACGCGGTTGACAAGACAGACACCGGAAATAACTTTCCGTCGTTCTTCTTTGTTAAATAAACTCTTCACTGCCATGATACCTGTCCTGAGCTGTTCTTGTAAACTTCGCTGAACCATGGGCAGACCGTTTAGCTCTTCAATGCACACTTTACATGGTGCTACAGCATCTGCGGGATGGTCTATTGTTTCTAATACTGTTGCCATGACTCGGTACTGCATTGCTAAGATGCGGTCATTTGGTGATAGCGCTTCATTAGAAAAGGCATCTGTAGCTCTTTCACGAGCACGTTCGAATCTCTTCTTTGCATGGGAGAGCTTTCTTGTAGCAGATTCAGTAAGCTCCAAGTGTTTCATTCCTTCAGCGAGCGACACAGCTTCCGCACAAGCCGCTTGTGCTGTATCCACGCCATACTCATTCCGCGACCTTTTCCCTTCAAATACTTCATACAGCAACTCGATTCCTTCTCTAAAGAATCCAATACTCGCTAATAAATCTTTCCTTGATAATCCATCCAGCTTGGACTTCATGTCATCGATTTCTCGCATGATGATGCCGCGAAACTGTTGATCTGTTACGTCGCCATCTTTAAGCTTTTTTGATGCCTCATCTCTGCTTTTATCCACAAGCCATCCAATAGTCGCTTTGAAAACTGCTGTTATGATCGCAGACATAATGGTAGCTTGGAACTTAGTAATCAGAAGAAATTGGGAGCTTTTTTCAGTGAATCTTCACGATAAGTAACTCCTCAAGCGTCGATGAAAGCAAAAGAAAAAACAAATGATGGCAAAATTTCAAGAATTATTGCAATTTTGGAATGGTAATAGCTGTCAGCCCAGAAAATAAAACAAAACAAAGCATAACAAAGAGAAAGCAATCAAGGAATGATGGCGTGAAGATTTATAGCCTCTTCGAATAATCCTTTGTTGGAAAAACATATTTGTCTTTGAAAAGTTATGTTGCTCATTGCAGACACTCAAATAGGCTGTTGTGGTCTGAAGTTCTTCCTTTCGCCAGCGAATGATAATGTGAGCATTTGAAATCCCTGACAGGTATCAGTGAAAGTACAATCTAAAGCTCTCTTTCTTTTGTTTAATAAAATGTTACTCGTTATCATTGATATGTTCAATCACGTCACGGCATCATTCGACTTCTCAATGGAAATGTTGTTTGATGCCCGAGGCAAAAAAGGATGATTATTGTTCATGAATCTTCCTTAGTTGTTAGCTTTGTTCCCAGCTGTAATGTGTTTTACTTATACTGAGTTCTTTCTTTACCTTGTTACCCGTAAATAACTGTTATACCACAACTGGAGCTGGAACGGGTTCCTTCAACCAAATTCGTATTTGGCTACTTATCGGGTTTCGGCCCCACACACGTACAATCTAATTGACTTCAAGAATCTTTGGAATCCTTTCTCACATCATGGGTTGAAAAGCGAGCCGTGTGAACTCAGAGGGTGAAAGACTGAGTTTATATTTATAGACTCAAACCCATACGCTAAATCATGATTTCAAACCAGATATCGTTATCGCCCAGCTTTACACTATACAGTTGACAAAGGAAGGCTACGGAACATAACCTGTATTTTGTTATGAAGTAATATGTCTCTCATGCACGTCACAGATGTTAGCTTCTTTTGAGTGTTTTATGCATCATTATGTAGTGCAGTGTAATCAGATGATTAGAAAGTGAAAATGCAAGGCGAGCCACTCAGAGCAAAACACAACCCAGATCACTTCACTTTTTCAGCAGCGTGTCTCTTTTTACAGTAAGTTTAACCAATCAACAATAGTTATTGCTCTTCATAACATAAACTAATATACAGCAAGATAGGGAAAAAACCGTGAGTTTCTTGTTTTGAATCGAAAAACTTAAAGGAATCTTGAATCTTGTTCGTGGTTGTCCGACGTGCGCTCGTCTATCGCGTCCTATTTAGGTTGAAACAACATTTTGGGAATTTTCATCACTAATGGTCATGTCATCAGTTAAAATACTTACTGACCAAGTTTTACTTGGCCGGGTTTTTTTTCTGTTTGTGTTTTTTTTTTATCGTCTTTTTTTTTCTCTCGTGTGTGTGTTTTTTTATTTTTGGGGGGTTTCATTTAAGTAGCACTGAACGTATAGCAATGTATATAGCATTACAGAAAGTGTCACCCCTCCCAAATGGATATCACTGGGTATATAACATTCAGGTAAATTTCACTTTCATTCACAGATAAATATTCTCGTAGCTACATATTCACCAGATGTTCTTTCCCTATCTTTTGCTCCTTATCTCCTGGTTCACTTTTTCTCGACGAAATTAAAAGCAACGTAACTAACTTTCATCACGTGCCATGTACGATGAACTGTCTCAATTTCAAAATGAAAAATTGTGAATACGCACATGATGACAATGCCTTAGTGAACCGTGACCCACATGATGAACACAGACTTACAAACAACACAACAAATCCAAAATAACTATCAAAGTGACCTTATTCTTTTCTTCCTTGGCTTTCATTTTCTCAGAATTGATCAAAGCATCACCCAAAGATGGATTTTGATCTTTACTTAGAGGAAACAGACTAAAATAACAGAAACTAAGGTCACAGACGAGTTTGTTATGTATCGTATTCTTGTTAGATTTTGCTGCCATTGGTGATAAATATGGGGAGGAAGAAGAAGAGGTGCTTCTTTTGTCGGAAACCCTGAATTAAACAACTTATTACATTGCCCGGTCTGTATTCCACTCGCTGATTTTCAACCGTCAAGGTTTCTTTTTTGTGTCAGTATGCCTTCAGAGGCATGAATTTAACAATCACTGACTTCCTTCTAAAACAGTAAGGCTCACTGAGTAATAATTGTCTCTTCATGTGAAAAGCTGAGCCCCCTTAAAGCCAATATTCCTGCAGTAATTAGGCTAGAAACTTTCCCCTTTCGAACTTCTTAATAATCACGGTTGACGAGATGAAACTTTAGAGTTGCCATCCAGTTTAGCTATAAACCCTATTATATCAGTGTCTGATACCATCAGAGCGTATATCAGATTAACACATGTACAGAATGTACTCCAAACAACCGCGATTTTAAAGACTATTTCTTATATTTTCATTGTCAGCAAGAAGAGCTGGAATTCTGAAACATTTCTCAAACTTGCCTCTGTTGTCAAACACCTTGATTGTCAAGTCACAGTCTACTACAATATTTCGCCCGCGTGAGCTGGTAACGATATAACACGGATCATTTATATCCAGTACTCCTCTACTTGTAAATCCCCACTGAATATAGATTGTGTGACACTTTAGGCGACACGATCGACGGGACAGACACCAGAAATGATTTCTTTGTTTTTCTTTACTGATCAAACGAGCCCCTTAAGGGCATTGATTCCAGCTCTTCTTTTTGACAATTGTAAATATCTATCGATTGATAAGGTGACAGGGTGACGCTTAATTAAGCCACAGAAATGAACGCCGACATCTATATGCTGGTAGACAAAATTTGTGATATTCATAGCTTCTGCATGGACTGTTACCATTCTTGGATAGGTTCAGGATTTAGAACTGGTTTTCTCCTGGTCTTTCATGCCACTGCAGACCGCGTTTAGCTCCTAAAGACACACTTAACTAGCTACTACAGAATCCGTGGGACTATCTAACGTGTTTAGTACTGTAACCATCACTTGGTTTAGCATTTCTAAGATGCGGTCAGATGTTGATAGTCCCTTCCTTCTACATAGCTCGACAACTGTGTCATGTCACTCCTCTTGGTTAAAGAAGTCTTAGAACACAAGTATAAACATTTACTCAGGAAACCATAAAATAAATATCACAACACCAATAAATTCCAATTTCTCCACACGATAAATAACCACAGCAAAGCAGTGGAAAGGCCAGGGCAAAACCAGTTCTTAATCCTGAACATATCCAAGAATGGTAACAGTCCAAAAGACTGAGGCTATGAATATCACAAGGAAAATAAACAGCTGTACACTTCAGTAGTTACAAACTTGATCCATGAGATAACCCTCTTAATGAAAATTCAGTACGTAAATTACTGCAATTTTTAAGAATATTGGATAAGTTTGTCCTAACTTTAAACTTTTATTTCTCATAACAGAAAGATGCACAGGGCCATAAAATTTCATAGCCTATCAGTCACCTCAGTTAAACTTTTCCTCCATCTCTAGTACAAAGCTTCGTTCTGCCGAAGGGCTAACGCTCGAAACTTCAGCTTTGAAACTTTTTACGGTGGCCAATTTACGATATCAACTCAGCTGATCATATCAAATTACCCTCTCGCACAAAGCAGCGAACTAAGCATGTCAACGAATTTCCTCGAGGTCTCCAAGAAAGTACTTAAGGTGTGAAGGGAGGGAAATAGTGCAGAAAAAAATAAGAGAAAAAAGACTCAAGAACTCCGGCTCGAGATATAGCTTCGTCGATTCATAAGACTGATTTCTTTTGGGGGGAGGAGAGGGGTCAAATCGGTTTTGTCGAATATAGCAATGCAATAGAGCCAAGAGAGAAAGGGTTGAGAAAGCAGAAAAAATCGTTATGACATGAAATAAAATGATAAGAAACTCTGGCATGAGTCACTGAAGCGTCATTCGCGATTTAGACTATCGTCAATCCAAATTACTGGCGTCACCCTACCACAGAAGATCTCACAAGAATGAGGAAATGAATCAGCTATTTGAAAAGGATTTATCGTTCCCAAACGAATTATTCTGCCCTCTGGCGACAGAAAAAAAGAGCTCCATTTTCGCAACTGAGCCTTAGTTCACGAAGGGATGTTTCAATCTATAGCCTCTACTTACGAGGCATGGAGGGTCACCACTCCATAAGAAAGCAGCTTCGGGCAACTGACACGTTCATTGCACCAAAAAGGCAAACACGAGAGCGATATTCTTTCAATTCTACTAGGTACCTCGCTTGCCAGTATCTTCCCCGTGAGAAACTGCTTGTAACAACTCAACTACTCTCATCAGCCTGAACTTAGGTGGGTCATGAAACAATGATTTCTGAAACCTGTAGTCAACGCACACGTACTCAACCAAACCACTCCTATTCTGGCAGATATCAGAAGAAATTGGCAAAATACCTTTAAAAAATTCAGCATGTTTTTGGACTGTTAGGAAAAAAAATAAAACGAAACAACAAAGATAAAAACGAGATTATGGAAATGTGCAGAACAGCCGTGGGTACAAGAGCTCCCGGAATTTCTCATTCCTCAAATAGTTTTTTTTTCCCTAAATATTTGAAAGTTCTTGTTTCTGTCGGGAGAATTTCGATTCAGCTGCCACAAGGGTAGCTACTATATATGACTCTCAGAAATCACGTTTCTAGGAATCCCCGCTTAAAATGATGTTAAGGTTTTAAGATCCACTAAATTAAAACTCTTACTTCCGGTGAAAATGTTTACCGTCATTTTTTAGCCAATATTGATCTTTTTGACATACGGCGTTTTTGTATGACAGACAGCTTATAAATTTTTTACATAACAATCATTTTGGTCGAAAACATTTTGAGCCGGGGCTTATAGGTTGCGATTTCAAAGTCGTCTAGTAATACCTAAATTACAATTATTCCTTGCGAGTTACATGGAAAAAGTCCGTCATCTTCTCTGCATATATTACGCGTCAGTTATTCAGCTGGCATCTGTTGCTTTGAATTATGTAAAAACTGTAAAAAAGAAAAAAATATATATATTATTAGATTTAGATTACCATAACATATGTAGAAACCTTTTACCTTTAATGAGATGGTCGCGCGAAGTATGTTCTAAACGTCATCAAAATGCTTTCAAATAGATTTTGATTACAACAATTTTTTTCACGTAAAGGAATTAAGAAACTAGTAAAGTTAATGTAAAGTGTTCGTTTACTTTTCTTGCGAGTAATTACTAGTTATTTGATCCATAATCAAAACTACAACAAAATTCTCGAACGTAATTGGTTATCACCAGCTCGATTTGAGCACTAATGGAAAGTTAACACGTCATGCCTGTGTAAGTGGACAGCACGCTGCTGTCTCGCATATCGCCGAGTTAACTGTTGTTCTATTTTATGAAAAAGTGTAATCGCGCAGTGCCGTCATTTGGCTTGAAAGTTTCATTAAGACCTCGTACATTGCCCTCATCAAAGGCCAACATTACATCGAAACGACGAAAATCATCCTCGCTTACTTGTCTTGCTCGGTGGTTCCATGTTTCTTCAACACTTGCAACCCTCGTTCGCTCGATGGGAGTCCTTCACGGACAACATGAGTTCCAGCGCTGTCAATTTCCCATTCGGTCCTATCTTCACGTTCTTGTAAAAGGTGCCTTAAAATCGCTTTAGCGGTAAGAGAACGACAAGTGCTCCCTCGACAAACGAACAGGATTTTTCGATATTTAGAATCCGCCATCTTAGATTGCAACAAGGCGAATAAATGGTAAAGTGCCTCTATCCTAATTTGCAGCTTGTCAGAAGGGAAAATAATTCAAATTATTGATCGCGTACGCGCACTGGGAATCAACCAACTTGAAAACATCTGGACGCTCTTTCTTTCAAGTTCTCGAATAACGACAGCTATAAACACCGAATTTTATTCAAATCGTTCGAATCCTGTGATGTAACTAACGAAAGTTTATGTTTCTTTTCAAATGAAGGATACTTATTGGGTAAGAGTGCCTTGCACCACAAACGTGGAGGGTAACAAAGAGGAACAAGCTCGGAGAACAGAAGGCAGAAGCTTAAGAGGGCGGAAGAAGGGATCTACACATGGCGGGTAGCGGGAGCTGAAATTGAAAAGGCACTCGTTTGTTGTTTCTTACTGCTCATCAATAAATAGTAACCAGTGAAAAACATATACCCAGCAAAGGGTTTTTTTCCACTTAATTCCATTTAAGGTCTACCGAAGCATTAAAGATAATTTCATTCGTTGGAAACATAAAATTGAAGTCAGCCGGTGTAATTAGATACCTCTCGAAGTCGGTTACGTCATACGTCATGAATGAGAGAACATGAAACATGTAAACAGTGTCAGCAGTTGGAATTATTCGGCGAGCAAAGCGAATTAGGTCCAACATCGTCTAAGGCCATATTGATCAGCCTCAGTATTTTTATATATGGCAATGAAAAATCAGTCCTCGTTTCTGCAAATATTTATGTTACAATCACATAATCACATAGCTGAATCATACCGCTAGTGAATAAATGTATCATAGAATGTATGAACAACTTTTAAAACTTTCTGCAGAGGTTTTAAAAAGATTTCAATTTCTCAAAGAAATCCGAGTAGTTTTAAAATGTGACTTCGAGACCAGCCGAATAATAATGTGCAATAACAGTCTATCAGCGCTTAATTAAACTGAACGCTCAAAAATGCAAACGGTTTAACAATGGATGAGTAGTGACTTGACGTTCGTTGGAGCCAGCTTTCATACAGCTCACGACAACAGCTGCTTCCGGCGAAGAGCGAAAATTTAACATGATGGATATGCAATTAGTTCAATTAATAGTCCTTTTAATCAAACCGAAGACGGGAGTAATACAAAGAGGGACGGGAGTTGGGAAACAAAGGGTTGCAAAAGAACTAGAGGTGGGAGAACGTGGTACGGGAAGTGGGAAGCTGTGGGGTAAGAGTCGTATTCGAAGTTCAACGAAATAATACAAAAAAGAAGAACATAAGGGAAAACAAGAACAAATTCAGCAAGTGGTAAGATTTACTGATTATATTTCAGTTTCCTCTAAATACAAAAAAATTTACACTTTTCATTAGCGAGCAAGAGTTCCATCTTGCCCGCTTGAGTAGCCAAGCAGAGCAAAGGAGTCACAGCACCTCACCCACGTGCTCTGCCAGCTTTGAAATAATTAGCATTTACTGACAAGTTTGATTTGATCTCCAAGGATCATCATACTAATTTTTCACCATTTGATTTTGTCACGCGACAAAGTTCACAGCAGAAATTGGTCTTTTTTAAAAATTGTCACGCAGGAAATAACAGCTAAATGAAATACTAAATTTGATTAATGGAACATTGGACAAGAAAAGCACAAATGTTCAAAACTACTTAAGCAAACATCAGGCCTATCACAGCAGTAACTGTCCACGTATTATGCTTAACAGACTGACAACGGCTAATGTTAAAATCATCGAAAGGCAGGAACACCATGATTAAAATATAAAATAACGCACATACATGTGAGAGAGACTGGATATCAAGCCCTTTTTTACTCACAGAGGAGAATCACATTCAACTTCTCCTTACAATATCTATACATTATCCAGTAAACAGGTAATGAAAATAAACAAATATCTCAGCTTATTGCTGTGTCAGATCGTGTCACCTTGCCATGTCATAAACAAAAATATTTCCTCGCATTACAAGGAGATATATGGCAGTTGCAATGTGCAATTTTATTAATACATCTAAAGAAGTGAGGACCACAAGGCTGGTCTCCAAATAAGCATCATATCTCTAGCGTAAGCTTGGAGCCATCAATAAAGTCCCTATATGATCAATGATGCAATACTTATTTTCCAAGAAAATTCAACTGCATCGCATTTGTTAATAAATTGAGGCCATAAAAGCTTTTATTTTGGGCATGAAACTCAAGTCTCAAGTTTCATCATGCCATGTGAAAAATAAAGGCATTGTACCTATTATGTTAATTACATGATTATTGATGCAAAGCACCAATTTATCGTTCATAATAATTAGTTGGTAAACTAAACGTGGAAGTAAGAAGGGAAAATCAGTGCGTTTTTTAAATGACGATTACTTTGTTTGAAAACCAGGGTACTACCGCAATGCATCCCCCAGTGGTCACTGCAATCCCTTGCGGAGAAGAGAATGGCTTTCCTATATAGATAGAAATACTTCGCAGAAATTCACCATCTTTGGTGTATATTTCTATGTACAATTCGTCTGAAAAAAAATCCGCAATACTGACCACAGCGACCTGTTGACTTTCCCTGTGAAATACAATTTTTGGATAGAATACAGACCTTTGCAAACGAACCTTGTTTAGATGATCACCTTGTTCGCTGAATATGTGAACAACGCTCGGACCCCGTTCTTGCAGCACCATAACTCTGCCATCACTTACAGTAGTGATGTCGCGCGGGTAACTCAAGATTTGTTGACCAAAACTGCAAACTAACTGACCATTAGTCTCATAAACATCCACAATCCCATATTCCTTTCTCCAGCAACCCTTCAGCACCACCACTTTTCCACTATCACTGACTGACAGTACACACAGATCAAAGTCGAAGCTCATTCCCTCGACGCGAAACTTGTGATGCTGGTCAGCGGTTTTGTTAAACTTGAAAATCCAGTATGAGCCCTTATGACTCTCTTCCCTGACCAAGACATAAATGTTGTCATTCATGTCTGTGGCTAGCCGAAGCACCCTGTTTTTAATCGATAGCTCTTTATCGCTGTCATCAATAAGAGGAGGAAGTCTGAAACCTTGCACAAACTTGCCACTGTTGTCAAACACCTTGATTGTGAAGTCAAAGTATGCTAAAATATATTGCCTGCTTGAGTTGGTAGCGATATCCCTCAGCTCCTTTAACCCGTGCTCCTCTTCGCCATCATGATCAAGTATCCATGGTACACTACAGTTCTCCATACCCTGTTTACAAAGTATTTCTCTCACTCTCGGATCTCGCAGCAGATCAACTTTCTCCTTTCCTGTATCAATCGTGAGCCATTTTGGGAATAATAATAATTCTTTAACGGGTACTGTTCGTATGACATTGAAGGCGACACGATTGACAAGACAGACCCCGGAAATAACTTTGCGTCGTTCTTCTTTGTTAAATAAACTCTTCACTGCCCTGAAACCTGCCTTGAGCTGTTCTCGAAGACTTTGCTGAACCACCGGCAGACTGTTTAGCTCTTCAATACACACTTTACATGGTGCTAAAACATCCTCGGGATGGTCTATTTTTTCTAATACTGTTGCCATCACACGGTACTGCATTGATAGGATGCGGTCATTTGGTGATAGCGCTTCATTAGAAAAGGCATCCGTTGCTCTTTCACGAGCACTTTCGAATCTCTTCTTTGCATCAGCGAGCTTTCTTGTAGCAGATTCAGTAAGCTCCAAGTGTTTCATTCCTTCAGTGAGCGACGCAGTCCCCGCACAAGCCGCTTGTGCTGCATCCGCGCCATACTTACTCCTCGACCTTGTATCTTCAAATACTTCATACAGCAACTCGACTCCTTCTCTAAAGAAGCTAATACTGGCTAACAAATCTTTCCTTGATAATCCATCCAGCTTGGACCTCAAGTCATCGATTTCTCGCATGATGATGCCGCGAAACTGTTGATCCGTTATGTCGCCATCTTTAAGCTTTTTTGCTGCCTCATCTCTGCATTTATCCACAAGCCATCCCATAGTCGCTTTGAAAACTGCTGTTATGATTACAGACATAATGGCAGCTTGGAACTTAGTTATCCGAAGAAATTGAGAGCAATTTTTTAGCGAATCTTCACAATAAGCAGCTTGTTAAGCGTCGATGAACGCAAAGAAAATAGCAAATGATAGCAAAATTTCAAGAATGATTGCAATTTTGGAATGAGAATTACTGTCAGCCCAAAAAATGAAACAATACAAAGCATAACAAAGAGAAGGCAATCAAGCCTGGCGTGAAGATTTATAGCCTCTTCAGAGAATCCTTTGTTGAAAAACATATTTCTCTTTGAAAAGCTATGTTGCTCATTGCAGACACTTAAATAGGCTGTTGTGGTCTTAACTTCTTCCTTTCACCAACGAATGATGTGAGCATCAGAAATCCCTGACTGACATCAGTAAATGCACAATTTAAAGCTCTTTTTGTGTTGTATAATAAAATGATACTCGTGATCATTGAAATTTTTAATCACGTCACGACATCATTCGACTTCTCAATGGAAATGTTGTTTGATGCCCGAAGGAAAAAAGAATGATAATTGTTCACAAATCTTCCGTAGTTGTTAGCTTTGTTCTCAGCTGTAATGTGTTTTATTTATAGTCCTTTCTTTATCTTGTTACCCGTAAAAAACTGTTATACCACACCTAGAGCTGAGACGGGTTCCTTCAACCAAATTAGTATTTGGCTATTTATCGGGTTATGGCCCTACACACAAACGATGTAATTTACTTTTAGAATGATTGGATGGGTTGAAAAGCGAGCAGAGTGAACTCAGAGGGTGAAAGACTGAGTTTTTATTGATAGACTCAAACCCATACACTAAATCAAAACAGATATCGTTATCGCCAAGCTTTGCACTTTACAGTTGACATAGGAAGGCTGCGGAACATAGCCTATATTTTGTTATGAATAATAAGTCTCTCATGCACGTCACTGCTGTTAGCCTCTTTTGAGTGTTTTATGCATCATTAAGTAGTGAAATGTAATCAGATGATTAGAAAGTGAAAACGCAAGGCAAACCACTCAAGGTAAAACACAGCACAAATCACTTCACTTTTTCAGCAGCGTGTCTCTTTTTACAGTAAGTTTAACCAATCAACAATAGTTATTGCTTTTCATAACATCAACTAATATATAGCAAGATGAAAAAAAATATGTGAGTTTCTTGTTCTGAATTGAAAAAATTAAAGAATCTTGAATTTTGTTTGTGGTTGTCCGACGTGCGCCCGTCTATCGCGTCCTATAGAGGTTGAAACAAATTTTCGGAATTTTCATCACTTTTGGTCATGTCATCAGTTAAAATGGTTATTGACCGAGTTTACTTGGCCGGGTCTTTTTTCTGTTTGTGTATTTTTTTTTCGTTTTCCTTTCTCTCTCGTTTGTTTGTTTTGACTTTTTTGGGTTTTATTAAAGTAACACTGAACGTATAGCGATGTATGCAGCATTACAGAAAGTGTCACCCCTCACAAATGGATATCACTGGGATTACAACTTTCGGGACGACAGATAACTATTCTCGTAGCGACATGTACACCAGGTGTTCTTTCCCAGTCTTCTGCTCCTTATCTCCTGGTTCACTTTTTCTCGCCGATAATAAAGAACAATTTAACGAACTTTGACGTGCCATGCACGATGAACTGTAGAAATTTTAAAAATGAAAAATTATGAATACGCGCATGATGACAATGCCTTAGTGAACCGTGACGTACACAATGAACACAAACTTACAAACAACAAAACAAATCCAAAATAACTATCAAAGTGACCTTATTCTTTTCTTCCTTGGCCTTCATTATCTTAGAAAAAAGTACAATTTAAAGCCCTTTTTAAAAAATGTTTTGTTGAATAAAATGTTACATGTGATCATTGAAATTTCAACCACGTCACGGCATCATTCAACTTCTCAATGGAATGTTGTTTGATGCCCGAGGTAAAAAAGCATGATAATTATTCATGAATCTTCCTTAGTTATTAGCTTTGTTCTCAGCTTTAATGTGTTTTGAAGTTCTTTCATTCACTTATAGTTCTTTCTTTACCTTGTTACCCGTAAATATCTGCTATACCACAACTGGGGCTGGAACGGGTTCCTTCAACCAAATTTGTATTTGGCTATTTATCGGGTTTCGGCCCCGCACACTTACGATCTAATTTACTTCTAGAATCTTTGGAATCCCTTCTCACTGCATGGGTTGAAAAGCGAGCCGTGTGAACTCAGTGGGTGAAACTGACTGAGTTTATATTTATAGACTCAAACCCATATGCTAAATCATGATTTCAAACCAGATATTGTTATCGCCCAGCTCGCACTTTACAGTTGACAAAGGAAGGTTATGAATAACACATCTCTCATGCGCGTCACTGCTGTTAACCACTTTTGAGGGTTTTCTACATCAGTAAGTATTGCAATGTCATCAGATGATTAGAAAGTGAAAATGCGAGGCAAGCCACTCAGAGCAAAACACAACACAAATCACTTAACTTTTTGCAGCAGCGTGTTTCATTTGACATTAAGTTTAACCAATCAATAATAGGCATTGCTCTTCATAACATCAACGAATATATAGCAAGATAAGGAAATAAAACTGTGAGTTTCTTGTTCTGACTCGGAAAAATTGAAGGAATCTTGAATTTTGTTTGTGGTTGTCCGACGTGCGCCCGCCTATCGCGTTCTATAGAGGTTGAAACAAAATTTTCGAAATTTTAATCGCTTATTGTCATGTCATAAGTTAAAATACTTAAATCAAGGTCACAGATGAGTTTGTTGTGTATTGTATTCTTGTTAGATTTTGCTGCCATTAGTGATATATACGGGGAGGAAGAGGGAGAGATACTGCTTTTGTCGGTAGCCATGAAAACAACTTATTACATTGCCCGGTCTGCATTTCCACTCAGTGATTTTTAACCGTTAAGGTTCCTTTTTTGTGTCAGTGTGCCTTCAGAGGCGTGAATTAAACAATCATTGACCTCCTTTTAAAACTGTTAGGTCACTGAGTAATAAGTGTCTATTCGTGTGAAAAAACGAGCCCCCGGTTCAGAGAGTAAATATTCCTGCAATAATCAGGCTAGAAACTTTCCCCTTTCGAACATCTTAAAAATCGTGTTGACAAGAAACTAGAGAGTTGCCATCCAGTTTACCTATAAACCCTATATCAGCGTCTGATACCACCAGAATGTATATAATTAACATAAAGGCTATGTACAGAATGTACTCCAGACAACTGCGATTTTTAAGTCTGTTTCTTATATTTTCTTTGTCAGCAAGAAGAGCTGGAATTCTGAAACATTTCTCAAACTTGCCTCTGTTGTCAAACACCTTGATTGTCAAGTCACAGCCTACAGCCATATTTCGCCCGTGTGAGCTGGTAACGATATAACACGGATCATTTATATCCAGTACTCCTCTACACCATCCTGCTGATCAAGTATCCATGATACATTACGATGCTCCGTATCCTGTTTACACAGCGCCTAAGCTATCTTTACGCATGCAGCAAGTCAACTTTCTCCTCTCCTGTATCAACTCTGAGCCATTCCAGGAGCAGTAAACTCCAACTGCATATAGCTTGTGTGACACTTCAGGCGACACGATTGACGGGACAGACACCGGAAATGATTTTCTTTGTTCTTCTTTACTGATTAAACAAACCCCTCAAGGGCATTGATTCCTGTGTTGAGCTGTACTTTAAGACGTTCCTGAACCACTGACAGACCGCGTTTAGCTCTTAAATGCACACTTTACTCGCTACTACAGCATCCGCAGGACTGTCTGTTTGTCTTTTTCTGTCCGTTCTCGATTTTTTTCATCCTCTCCAAACATTGTGTTTGATTTCCAGATCAGCCATTCAACTCTACGAAATCGTTCTAACCTAGAAAATTCTAACCGAACTTGCAAGATTCTTAGGGACTCTTCGCGCCGACTGACCTTACCTCAGATCAAAGAGCGTGAAGCAGTAAAAGCGATTTGTTTTACGGGTCTCTGTTTGTTAGTACTGACAGCACTGATTAAAACTTCGAAGAATCCATTCGCACCGTAAAAATAGTCAGTTAGCCACACATTCAGTTAGTCTACCGCTTATACGAGCTGTTAATAAAACGAAACCACAGTCAAGGGTTACAGAGCTATTTTATGACCACGGTGCATAACAAACTTTTTTCGTTATCAACACAGCCACGCTAACGCGCTGAAATAGCTTTCATTCCAATGTGCCATCATGATGCAAAACTCACTTTTGTGAAGACTGCCAAATATCTGCTAAGTAAGATTTAAAAACGAATAATAGGCAATGATAAACCCCGCTGAATATCCGAAATGATAAATCCTCTTTTCCACTCGACTTTATCATCACACCTCTGCCCTCGTGTTGCTGTGATGGCTGCCAGCGCCACGAGGAAGACTGAAGACCAGTCAAACCTTGCATAGGGTAATTCAGTATTAAATTAGTAAATTAGCCACCGTGAAGAGTTTCAAAGATAACGTTTCGCGAATTAGCCCCTTCGTCAGAGTGAATGGGGGAATTGTGGGTTGTGTGTGTGTGTGTGTGTGTGTGTTTATATGCAGATGTTGCAAATGCAGACCTTGCTTAGCCTAACATACATAGCCTAACATATCATAAAATTGTTACGCTTGATTTTCAACTAATTCTTTTCTTTCATTAGATTTCTTCCAGCTCTGCCACATCCTCTGAGCGAACCCGGCAGATGCCGACAGCTCGGATGAAATCGAATATCTGACTAGTGCAGAATAGAGGGCTCAGCTGGCTGCTTACTGTGACAACAACTACCATACGTTCCCTTCGTAGTATTAATCAACAGCCAATGAGTATTGGAGGGGAGGATAAAGAGTGCATTCAGGACTGACATGCGCATTGCACGATTGAGACATGCCCTCAGAGGCGAGTTCTTCGTGAACTGTTGATTCATCTGAACAGACTCAATTTAAGCTCGGATAGATATGCTTGAGCGTTTAATTGATTCATTTCGAACTGCAAGCGTTCTTGTCATATAAATGTTCATGTTCATATTTTACGTATACAAAGAGCGAAAAGTGAGAATAGATGTAATTTTCATGAGACATTTTAACCCGTGTGGGTTTAGAGTAAACACGAGTATAATGTTTAAAGAAATCATCACTCTATCGAATCTATCTATAACGAATGAAAAACACTGTATTTCATGGTGAAACACGTAATATAACCCAAGTATTTTAACGAATAAAAACGATTGTGAAGAATCGTTCGTTAAACTCTGATGTATATAGGGGAAAAGTTTCGACACATATATTGCGAAATAAGTCCATCGAGACACAAAAATGGATAAGCGATACACTCAAGTCTCCAAAATGGTTTACCTGCCAAGCCTTCGGATGAAAAAAGGAAGAAAAAATGAAAAAAAGAAGTAAAATGGTATAAAAAGAATTGATCTTGCCCATGCTGTTAACAACCACCATCCAACTTGTGACGTCAAGCAGAAGAGGGTGACCTGGTTCTCGATAAAAACATTTCAAACATGTTGAAAGCACTAGAATCAGTACAAGGAAAGGAAAGTCTTTCGTGCCATCCAAGAAAGCACAAAAGCGCACTATGTGCAAGCTTATCCAGCAAAATTAAGTCTTCTTCGCGGAATCTATAGCCGACTCATACTTGACTTTGATCTGGATAAGTGCGGATTGTTTCTCCGCTCGGATTCGGTGTTGATCCCGTTTTGTTTCCATCTGTTTTCGTGCACATGTCCTCTCGCCGGCATAGGGTATTTTTGTTCGGATCGCGAGTTATAACTGAGTTGCGATCGTAAGTTGTAACTCGAATGTTCCTCAGCAGCCAGTACATGAAAGAGAGTCCGCCCAGTACTGCATGCATTAAATAACACATGAATAAAAGGGGTAATGGTGATGCTGTGTCGATGGGGTATTTACAAGATAATTTGGTTCTATCAACTGACGCTCTTACCAAGGACTAACGCTGTAAACTTTTGCCTTAGAGACTCTTTTCAGCACCCAATTTACATTATCAACTCTGCTGATAAAACCAAATTATCTGGTTTTTAAATATTCTGCGTAATTGCGCAAAAATGTCGCCGCCTTTACTGAGTGAAACGATAGTATTGACTGTACTATTCTGTTTTCGATGCGATATTTCGGGGAATAAAATCCTTGACAATATTTCTTTAAAAATCACTTGTGATCCTTGCAATGTGATCAACTTTCCGTGACCAGTGTGATATATCCACAAATCGCATCTTTATCCCAGGCAATGAGACCGCTTTACTAAAACACAACAACCAATCAGATTTCAGGACTTGTTTGAAGAAATCAAGCAAATTGCAGGAAAATGAGAGACATTTTGTTATGAGCGAATGAATCGTGAAATTTGTGACGATAGGTTTTCGCGCACTAAACTGGACTTTGCGGAAAACGTACAAAACGGGGGAAATAACTCGGTAGAGATCACTCGGCTTGCGAGAGCGGAAACTCCTCACGATTTCCTAGTACACTGAGATCTACTTCGAGCGAGCTTATACGGACGTCAAGGATGAGACAGCGTTTTGGTTCCACAGCAGACTTTATTCGAAGAGCACTCTAACATAAATCATGCCACAGTAAAAGCTAAACTAATTGTAGTAAAAGCTGTACAAGGTACTTGTTTAAAAACTAACTGGTGTGAGGTGCTATTGTAACAAAAATTACAATATTTGAACAAGGACACAAAGAAGCAGAAAATGTCTCCTTGAAGTTATAAGAAAACTACTTAAATGTTCCCGCTGTTTCTACGATGAAAAGAATTTCAAAATTTAACGAACGGATACAACAAATTCGAGGCCATCAAAAATAGGAAACTTGGGTGAGAATTCACAGCTCTGGTATAGAAGATATATCTATCTTAATTAAAGTAGAGCAGCTTAGGAAATAAAAGCGGAAAAGTAATTAAAAATTTCTTCTTATCTATGTAAGGTTGGTGTGGAAATTATCGTATGAAAGGAAATTAATATTACGAGTATAAACTCAGCTGCTAACTACCGTGAGAATCAATTTTTCCAAAAAGATCATTAACACCTATATTTACTTAATATTTCACTAATAATGAACAACAAAAGTACCAATACACAGGTATACAATGAAAGCAAGAACAAAGCAAAAATTTCTTAGTTTACTACTCAAAAACTGCTGTGGCTTTTTAAGTATTTTATTTATTTAATTATTTTTTTTAACTTACTAGAAGGAAAACCCGAATGAAGCCGAATATTTTAAATATGAAAGTATACGAATACATATGGAAAATTATCGAATATATATGCCCAAAAACCCACGAAAAACCCTAAGTATATCATTTTATGATACGTCAACAATTCAATTTTTGGCTATAATTTACACAATGGTAACAACAATTTGAATGGAGCAATTTGTTCATCGTTCTTTATAGCTCGACCGGTCGAGTCAAAGAACAAACAGAATAAAAGAAATAAATTGAAACGTGAAAAATAAAAGTTGAATTGAAACAAAACTTGAACTAACATTACACGAACTAAAACACATGAATTTTTCCCCTAACATTGAGTAGCCTGCTATGAAATAATTAGTATTTACTGACAAGTTTGATTGATCTCTAAGGATCGATCTTTCTACTAATTTTTTATCATCTAGATTTGTCACGCGACAAAGTTCACTGCAGAAATTGGTCTTGTCTCAAAATTGTCACGCAAGAAACAACAGCTAAATAAAATACTACATTTGATTAATGAAACATGCGACATGAAAAGCACAAGCATTCAAAACTACTTAAGCAAACGTTAGGCCTATCACAGTAGTAACTGTCCACGCATTATGCTTAAAAGACGGATAAAGGCTAGTTTTGAATTTATCGAAAGATAGGAACACCATGATTGAAATATAAAATGACGCACATACATGTGAGAGAGAATGGATATCAACCCCTTTCACACACACAAGAGAATCACATTCAACTTCTCCTTACAATATCCATACATTATCCAGTAAACAGGTAATGAGAATAAACAAATATCTCAGCTTATTGCTGTGTCAGATCGTGTCACCTTGCCATGACATAAAAAAGTATTTCCTCGCATTACAAGGAAATATACGGCAGTTGCAATGTGCAATTTTATTAATACATCTAAAGAAGTGAGGACCATTAGGTTGATTGCCAAATAAACATCATATCTCTAGCTAAGCCTGGAGCCGTCAATAAAGTTCCTACATGATCAATGATGTAGTACTTATTTTCCAAGAAAATTTTCTAAACTGCATCACATTTGTTCGATTAAATTTCAACGCTTCAAAAGTTAATAAATTGAGGCTATAAAGGCTTTCATTCTAGGCATAAAACTTTTGTCTCAAGCTACATCATGCCCTGTGAAAAATAAAGGCTTTGTGTTTATTATTATTATTATTATTATTATTATTATGTAATAATAAACAGTTAGTAAACTAAACGTGAAAGTAAGAATGGAAAATCAGTGCGTTTTTTAAATGATGATTACTTTTTTTGTTGAACCTAGAATCCGGGTTACTACTGCAATGTGTCCCTCGGTGGTCACTGCAATCCCATTCAGAATAAAGGACTCTCCCATATGGATAAGAGTACTTCGCACAAACTCACCATCTCTGGTGTATATCCCTACATACAAGATGTCTGATTCCTTATTACCGGCCACGACGACTTGTTGACTTTCCCTGTGAAATGCAATTTTTGGAGATCTCAGAAACCTTTGCAGATCAAACCTGTTTAGATGGTCACCCTGTTCGCTGAATATGTGAACACCTGGCGTCGAAAGCCATCCTTCCACCACCATAACTCTACCATCACTTACAGTAGTGATGTCGCACGGGTAACTCAAGATTTGTCTTCCAAAACTGCAAACAAACTGACCATTAGCCTCATAAACATCCACAATCCCATAACTCTCTCCAGAGTTTCTCTTCAGTACCACCACTTTACCACTATCGCTGACTGACAGTTTGCATTCGCAGCCCATTGTCCTGACGCGAAAACTGTTATGCTCGTCAGCAGCTTTGTTAAACTTAGAAATCCAGTATGAGTCCTCACAACTGGTTTCTTTGACCGGCACATAAATGTTTTCATTCATGTCTGCGACTAGATGAACCACCCGGTATGTAAAGGATAGCTGCTTACCCATGTCATCTAAAAGAGGAGCAGGAACTCTGAAACGTTGCACAAACTTGCCACTCTTGTCAAACACCTTGATTGTATTGTCACAGTCTGCTACAATATATTGCCCGCTTGAGTTGATAGCGATACCACTCGGATTATTTAACCTGTGCTCCTCTTCGCCATAATGACCAAGTATCCATGACACACTACAGTTCTCCATACCCTGTCTACAAAGTATTTTTGTTACTCTCCGGTCTCGCAGCAGATCAACTTTCTCTTTTCCTGTATCAATCATGGGCCATTGTGGCAATGGTTCTTTAACGGATACTGTTTGTGTGACATCGTAGACGACACGATTGATAAGACAGACACCGGAAATAACTTTCCGTCGTTCTTCTTTGCTAAATAAACCCTTCACTGCCATGATACCTGTCCTGAGCTGCTCTTGAAGACTTTGCTGAACCACCGGCAGACTGTTTAGCTCTTCGATACACACTCTACATGATGCTACAGCATCTGCGGGATGGTCTATTGTTTCTAATTCTGTTGCCATCACTCGGTACTGCATTGCTAAGATGCGGTCAGTTGTTGATAATGAAATTTGAATCTGTCTTTTGCAGTGGCGAGCTGCCTTGTGGCATATTCAGTAAGCTCATCCCTCGACCTAGTCTCTTCAAATACTTTATACAGGTACTCGATTCCTTCTCTAAAGGAGCTTATACTTGTTTTCAACTCTTTCTTTGATATTCCATCCAGCTTAGACTTCACATCGTCAATTTCACGTATGATGATGCCGCGAAGCTGTTGATCTGTTACGTCGCCATATTTAAGTTTTTCTGCTACTTTTTTCTGCCTTTCTCCACAAGCCATCCAATAGTAGTTTTAAAAACTGCTGTTATCATCCAGTACATGATAGTGACTGGGAAAAAAACAGGAAATTGAAAATGTTTTGCAGCTTATGAAGATTCCTTCGATATTAAAAGTTTTTCTCGATTTTTCCGGCGCGAATGAATCGAAGGCCTATCAACAACTAGGTTCAAAGTTTGTACACTAACCGGTAAATATTCGACGAAAGAAATGAAGACAATTTTGTCGATATGTGTTCAAAGTTAGACAGTTAAAATGAAGCAACCCTAAAAAATATTCAACTTCTTAAGTTGTTTTCCTCGGGCAACTGAAGACACAGCGAAAAAATACAACTCAAGGAAACATCATTCATGGCAAATAAACGACAGCTGGAAAGATAGCAGATAGCTATGAATACATTATGACTGTGAATGAAATTGATCTGATGTTTTGAGCCAGTTCTATTTTTTGACTGATTAAAGAGGATCAATTCATTTTCTTTTTGGCTCTATCATAATTAAATGCAAACCTTTAGGCTAAAAATTGTTCAGTAAGAATTCCATCATGGAAAGTAACACAATAATACGCGACCATGCTAAAATCAGCGATAAATTTTTTTCCAGAAAAGGAACAGGAGAATGTGAAGCTAAATTTTTCGAGTAGTTTAAGATGCAGAGAAATAATTCAAACGGAGAGACGCCACCCGTGGCTAGGAAATCAACAAAAGCTGAAAACAAAACAGACGGGTGTGAATATCATTACAATGATGAATTTGAACTGTAATTAATAACGTAGTCTACATTTCAAGAAGAATTTCTCCTCGAGTGTTCAACTCGATAGCTCACGAGTGAGCACAGCGAACGAGTGAGATGTCGGTCTTGTGGTCTTCGTCTCAGTCTTTCATCTATATTATGCTCACGTGGGTGCACAGTTCCTTCAAACGAATGATCTCGTCATAAATGTGACCCTCCACGGGCAAACAGAGAATAAGGTGAACGAACGGCAGCGAGAAAACTGACACGCCGGCTTCGCAGCGGAGCCGGTGTTCATGGTTTGCACGCCTAATTAAAATTTTCTATCGCTCAAATTGCACGATAAAACAAACGCACGTATTACAGAGAACAAAGAAGTGTGTCGAGCTCGGCGCTGAATGAAATGAAACGCTGGCGAGTGAAATAGCACGCCGTTTAAGCGAGTAAAATGACGCAGTAGCCGTGTCTAAAATTTTCGTAAGCAGCGTACGCGTGCAACCCTGCACGCGTGTCCATCTCTCATTTTTACCCAACTGCAACTTCAGCGTGGTAAGTACGATCTATGGGGATGAACGAATCTAGGAGACCATCGTTTTGTCAATAAGACATGTTTTCCGTGTGACGATTGCTAGTCTGGTCGTTCTAATCAGGAAGGATCAAGAGACTACAACTCCTTTTTCCAGTCTTCTTGATTCTCTTCAAATAAACATCAAAGCTTTGTTTTGCATATTCTGCTTTTTCTAGAAAAGAAATACCGGTAAGCGCCCTTTTCTTAATCAGCGCCCTGTCCCTAATTACCGCCTTGTCTCGAATAAGCGCCCTCCTTTGAGGTGCCAAAAGTAAGTAATCGCCCCAAGCGCTAAATGGAATCATTACAGTGAATGCCACTGCTGCAATTATACAGGGTCTAGGAACACGCTTATTAAAATATAAAATCATACAAATACATCCAAAGAAAATTGTCTATCAACCCTTTCACTTAAAGAAAGGAATCACATTCAGCTTCTCCTTATAATAACCTTACGTCCTCCGACAAAAATATATAACGAGAATAGACAAATATATCCACTAGTGCTGGTTTTACCTCGGTATAAGAAATGATTAGCAGCTAAAATCGTAAATTAATAATCGCATCTTGAAAAGAAATATACCTACACGAGGTTGAGGGTCAGTGATGATTAGCCTAGAATCATGAATGAGATTCCTAAATTGATAAGCTTTGTTTATCAAGAAGAACCGAAACTACGTTACATTCGTTTGCGAATGTTCCAGGGTCTAAAAAGACATAAAGTGAAAAACTCGACTAAGTGGCAGAAAAACGTCGCTAACAAGGTATATGATTCTGTGTCCTATCTAAAACGTATTATGTGTTAAACTGTTTTATAATTAATTTCGTAAGGAAAAAAAGAAAACCCACATAGCAAACAATCCAGACAAGAACGAAATCAGATCATACACTTTGCAGTAGACCTCTCTTGAAAGTAGAATTGTTCAAAACCTTCCGCCCAAACCAAGAGAAAGTAAGGGGGTTATTTTCTCAGGCCTGAGTTGATTCCGCAAAATGAATGAGGAAACAAGTCAAGAACATTTGCATCAGTTTTATAGAACAATCAACTGATATCCTATTTTGTTCAGTAGCCTGCGGTGAAATAATCAATCAGCCTTGTCGTTTGAACATTTTTATGACCTTCATTTTGGTCATCGTAGCGGTTAAGGGTCCGTAAGATGCTAAAGATTGAAAGTTTGAAAAGAAAATTGATGTAGCAAAACTTTCAAAGAGGTTACTGTCAACAAAATAGGGTGCCTCTTGGAAAAATCGTCTTAAGCGCGGTACTTATAAAACAAACCATGAAGAACTATATGTCACTATGGAGCTTATAAAGTATAGATTCCGAAAATAGCAAAAGTTGTCACAGTTTTTGTTTCGGTGGGCACACAACTTAAAAGCTTCCTCGATCTAAAAAGCAAAAGAAAACGGGAAACTTGAAAGAATTTTGACCAGATTTTATTGGCAGTGACCTTAAATGAAACATTCAGAAGATCGATAGTAAATCGACTTTATGTACAGTCCCTTCAAGTATATGGCATGGCGCTCTGGTCTATCCTCATTTGAGTGTATAAATCCGGCATGCATGGATATAAAACATATTGCAGTTTCGATGTTTCGTCCATTGTTCGCGGTGCTGTGGCAGTCAGGGCTTCACAATATAAATGAATACACCCGTCGTCATACCTCAAAACTTAGTATTTCTCTTCAGTGCGTCTGAATCGAAGGCATTAAAATTATTGACTCGGTGATTGAAACACCAGTAAGTCGCTCTCTTCTCTAACACTGTTTCAAAAAATCCACACAGCATCTGTGAACAAAATCGAACATGACTTCATAATCTAAAATGTCTCCATAGTAAGGATCGTGTATTATCAACTCTCCTTTAGATCATATGTTGCAAACAGTTTTACCTCCGCCCGCGCAGTGCCGTCATTTGGTTTAAAATTTTCATTCAGATCTCGCACATTGCTCTCGTCAAAGGCCAATATTAGATACCTTTCAAAGTCAATTACATCGTAAGTCGTGAATGAGATAACATGAAACATGTATACAGTGTCAGCAGTCGGAATTATCCAGCGAGCAAAGCGAGTCACGTCAAACGTCGTCCAAGGCCATATTGATCACCCTTAGTATTTTTGTAGGCAATTTAGTGCTAACAACTAAGTTAAAAACGTAAATTGGCTGACGTTTCGAGCGCTAACCCTTCGTCAGAGCGATGGACCAGGGGCTAACGCTCGAAACGTCAGCTTTTTACTCTTTACGGTGGCCAATTTACGTTTTCAACTCGGTTAACACCAAATTACCTGCTATACTCTCCCACCGACGCAGCACCACAGATTCCTTAGAAAATTACCCCCTTTTATTCAGTATTTTTGTATGTGGCAATAAAAAATCAGACCACGCATCTGCAAATGCTTCTTTTTAAATCACACAATCACAAAGCTAGATGATACTGCTAGTGAATTAATGTATCAGAGAATATATGAACAACTTTTAAATCTTTCCGGAGAGGTTTCAAAAAGACCTCGACTTCTCGAAGAAATCCGAGTAGCTTTAAAATATATCTCCTAGACCAGCCGAAGAATAATGTGCAATAACGGTCTATCAGCGCTTAAACTGAACGCTCAAAAATGCAAACGGTTCAACAATTTTATGAATTATTAGTTGGAGCCAACTTTCATATAGCTCACGACTAAAGCTACTTCCGACAACGTGCGAAAATTGAAAGTAAAGGAAAAGGAATTTGTTAAATCAATAGTCCTTTTTATCAAACTGGAGACGGGAGTAATACAAAAAAGGGCGGGATTTGGGAAGAAAAGGGCTGCAAAAGAACGGGAGGTGGGAGAACGTGGTACGTGAAGTTGGAGGCTGTGGGGCAAGAGTTGTACTCAAAGTTCATCGAAATCATATAAAAAAGGAAAAACTTAAGGGAAAACAAGAACAAATTCAACAAGTGGTAAGATTTGATGATAATTGACCATATTTTAATTTCCACTAGATACAAAAAAAATTACACTTTTCATCGCATCAGTGGGCAAGATGGAACTCTTGCCCACTCGAGTAGCCAAGCAAAGCAAAGGATTCGCATCACCTCACCCACGTGCTCCGCCAGCTATAAAATAATTAGCATTTACTGACAAGTTTGATTTGATCTACAAGGATCATACTAATATTTAACCATCTAAAATTTGTCATGCGACCAAGTTCACTCAGAAATTGGTCTGGTTTGAAAATCGTCATGCAGGAAACAACAGCCTGATGAAATACTAAAATTTGATTAATGAAACATTCGAAAAGAAAGCAGAAGTGTTAAAACTACTTAAGCAAACATTAGGCCTATCACAGCAGTAACAGTCCACGCATTATGCTTAAAAGACAGATAAAGGCTAATGTTAAAATTATCGAAAGATAGGAACACCATGATTAAAATAAAAAATGACGCACATACATTTAAGGGAGACTGGATATCAACACTTTCACTCACAGAAGGTAATCACATTCGACTTCTCCTTACAATATCCATACATTATCAAGTAAACACGGTAACAAGAACAAACAAATATCTCAGCTTATTGCTGAGTATTTATTAGACGTGTCACCTTGGCATGATATAAAAAAATTATTTCTTCGCATTACAAGGAGTTATATGGCAGTTACAAAGTGGAATTTTATTAATACATCTAAAGAGGTGCGGACCACAGAGCTGGTTGCCAAATAAGCATCATATCTCTAGCTAAGCCTGGAGCCACCAATAAAGTTCCTACATGATTAATTATGTAATAATTATTTTCCATGAAAATTGCAAAACTCCATCGCATCTGTTCGATTAAATAATAGCGCATCAAAAGTTAATAAATTGAGGCTATAAGAGTGTTTTCACTTTAGGCACGAAACTTTAGTCTTAAGTTACATCATGCTGTGTGAAAAATAAGGGCATTGTGCTTATTATGTTAATTGCATGGTTATTGTGCAAAACACCAATTTATCCATAATAATAATTAGTCTATTAACTAAAAGTAAAAGTAAGAAGGGAAAATCAGTACGTTTTTTAAATAATTATTACTTTAGGTTTTAAATCGTCAGACATGATTGATACTGCAACGCGTCCCTCAGAAGTCACTGCAATCCCAAATGGAGCTATGTTGAACTCTACCAAATAGATCGAAATACTTTGCATCAACTTACCATCATTGGTATCTATTTCTATATACAAGATGTCTGAAATCATACCCTTAACACCAGCTATGACGACTTGTTTACTTTCCTTGTAAAATGCAATTTGTAAATATCTTAGAGCCTTTTTCAGATTAAAACTGTGCAGATGGTCACCTTGTTCGCTGAATATGTGAGCACACGACGGATCCCCTTTTTCCACCACCATGACTCTGCCATCACTTACAGCAGTGATGCCGTACGAGTAACTCAAGATTTGTTCTCCAAAACTGCAAACAAAATGACCATCAGTCTCATATACATCCACAACAGACCATTTCTTTGTCACTTCCATTTCTTTGTCACTCTTCAGTACCACCACTTTACCACTATCACTGACTAACAGTTTACACAGCTTAAAGTCGAATTCCGTTGTCCTGACACGAAACCTGTGATGCTGTTCAGCGCTTTCGTTAAACTTATAAATCCAGCGCTCGCGACTCGACTTTTCTTTGACCAGCACATAAATGTTGTTATTCATGTCTGAGGCCAGATAAACCGGCCAGCTGTCAATCGATAGCTCTTTACGGCTGTCATCAATAAGGGGAGGAAGTCTGAAAAGTCGCACAAACTTGCCACTGTTGTCAAACACCTTGATTTTCAAGCCACAGTCTTTTAAAATACAATGCCCGCTTGAGTTGGTAGCGATACCACTCGGATTATTTAACCCGTGCTCCTCTTTGCCATCATGACCAAGTATCCATGATACACTACAGTTCTCCATACCCTGTTTACAAAGTATTTTTGTTACTCTCCTGTCTCGCAGCAGATCAAATTTCTCTTTTCCTGTATCAATCATGGGCCATTGTGGCAATGGTTCTTTCTGGGATACTGTTTGTGTGACATCGTAGGCGACACGATTGACAAGACAGACACCGGAAATAACTTTCCGTTGTTCTTCTTTGTTAAATAAACTCTTGATTCCTGTCTAGAGCTGTTCTTGAAGACTTTGCTGAACCACTGGCAAACTGTTTAACTCTTCAATACACACTTTACATGGTGCTACAGCATCCGCGGGAATGGTCTATTGTTTCCAATACTGTTGCCATCACTCGGTACTGCATTGCTAAGATGCGGTCAGTTGTTGATAGCGCTTCGTTTGAAAAAGCAATTGTTGCCATTTCACGAGCACGTTCGAATCTCTTCTTTGCATTGGTAAGCTGTCTTGTAGCAGATTCAGTAAGCTCAAGTCTTTCATGCCTTCAGTGAGTGACACAGTTTCCGCACAAGCCGCTTGTGCTGTATCCACGCCATACTCACTCTTCGACCTTGTCTCTTCAAATGCTTCATACAGCAACTCGATTCCTTATCTAAAGAAGCTAATACTCGCTAACAAATCTTTCCTTGATAATCCATCCAGCTTTGACTTCATGTCATCGATTTCTCGCACGATGATGCCGCGAAATTGTTGATCTGTTACGTCGCCATCTTTAAGCTTTTTCGCTGCCTCATCTCTGCCTTTATCCACAAGCCATCCTATAGTCGCTTTGAAAACTGCTGTTATAATCGCAGACATAATGGCAGCTTGGAACTTAAAAATCAGAAGACATTGAGAGCTTTTCAGC